TCCATTCACTGTGCAACAGGCTATATAAATTCTCTGTAAGATTTTAGGCTTAGGGAAACACTGCCATCTCAAGGTAACATGGAAATCTGTTAAACAGCAACTGATGACAGCATCTATAGTCACAAAAGCACTCAACTAAACACAGACTTTTACATAACAAGTCTGACAAAGTGGCATGTTGCTTAAGCTCTGTCTCCAACCTGCTCCCTATGAATGACAGCGTTAATGATTATGCACCATAACACCACCATTCAATCCACACACAATTGCAATAATCCTGCACAATGTGAGACCTGTGCATGGTTGAAATTGAGCGCTTGTTTATTTGCATCCCCCTTAATTTCACCGGCCACTTAACAGACACGCTGAGCGGATCCTAGCGGATGACTCATTGGGGTAATCTGCTTCCTAAATGACTCTCGGTAATTAAAACTAAATTGGTATTCGTGTTATCAACTTAAAACTGCTGCCTTACACCTGCTGTAGCCATGGTGACAACAGCTGCAAACAGGCTGGAATAATAATAGTCAGACAGGAGGCCTGAAGGGTGTCGGTGAAGAAATACAACCACAAAGAGGAAAGTGTCAAGACTTCATAGAGTATGCTCCCTCTCTGTCTTCAGACTCCAAACAGAACAGGAAAGCTGTTGTCAAAGTGCTGAAAGACATAATCAATATCTCTGGACAGTAGGTCAATAAATATACAATAATGTATGGCATGCTATTATGATACAAGAAAATAAATAATGCCACATTTTCACAAATGACTGGGATTTTTCTATACCAGGACACCGGTGTGTATTACTGTACTCATACCATGGCTGCTTGCCAAACTAAAGTGTTAGACTGTCTTTACATTACATTTAAATGCATATCCAAATTTTTTTCACCATTTTTTGTCACATTTTCAATAATTTATTGACTGTCCATTGTTTTTGGGTAAAATGAAACACAAAATATTTTCCCCTATTTCTTGCTTTTCATTGTGAGGATTTCCTTCTTTTCTTTGTCTACTGTACACTGAATATCTTTGAGTTTAGGTCAACCCTTCAGCCAGTCAACATTCAAGGGAAGGACATTGAGGTGGTGCACACTTATAAATACCTAAGTTTGCACCTGGACAGTAAACAGGACTGGTCCCTGAACACGGATGCCATCTACCGGAAGGGGCAGAGCCGGCGATTTTTCCTCAGGAAGCTCAGGTCCTCTGACGTCTGCAGTGAAATGCTGCATGTTTTATTTGTCAGTGGTGGCAAGTGTATTTTTTTATGCTAAAGTTTGCTGGGGCAGCAGCATTTCCGACATGAACACAAGGAGACTGGACAAGCTGGTCAAAAAGGCTGGGTCTGTGCTTGGTAGGAGTCTGGACTCACTCAGGACTGTTTCGGAGAGACGCATGCAATGTAAGATGGAGGCCATCTTGGAATATACCAACCATCCTCTCCACAATATTCTGGCAGGACAGAGAAGCAGCTACAGGTGCAGCAAACGTCTCATCTAACTGCGCTGCAGAACAGAGTGGTTCATCCTTTGTGCCCACTGCCATCAGGCTATACAACACCTCAGCCAAAGGAAGTGGACTTATCTAATTATTATTGTTTATTTATTATGAACTGTTTTTTATTATTACCAACAATAAGCTAATGGACACATGAATTTCCCCTAGGGGATAAATAAAGTATCTATCTATCTATCTATCTATACAGCTGTTATTTTCTGCCATTTAATAAACCAAACAATTATTCAATGAATCTACAAATAATCAATAATAATAATAATTGCTAGTTACAGGCCTTCATGTTTCAAGTTTATACTTAGTAAAATCCCCTCTTAGATTTTATTAGTGAGAGTTAACTGGTTAACACAGTTAGAAGCCAAAGCACCGTTGCTATGGTTACCTGCACTTTAATGTGCTGTATTTTGCATGATTTACAACAGTGCATAAACTGTTGGCCAGAACCGTGTTTGAGGTGTTATGTTATGCAATTTTCAAGACCAACCAGCATCCAATAACAAAGAAATGTTTTCTGTGGCTAACATGTAGTTATTACGTTTATTGGGCCGATATTCAATAATAACAAAGATTGTGATATTTCCCGGCATATGCGTTATTATTCACAATATCCTTTGTTTTTTTTTAATCAATTCACTGCTTTGCTTATTGTACTTGGCATGTGACAAATAAAACTTTGAATTAATTTTAAATTTTAAAAGTAATTAAACAACTAAGTCCTTTCTTGCTCTTCTTTGCTAGTCTCCACCATCTGCTCCAAACAGCCCTTTCCAGGACCCAGAAGAGGTGGCTACCATACTGCTGCACTTGTATGCTTATGCAAATGATCTCATGCATATTTAAATGATTAATTATTCAGAGTCCTCTTAGGATATTGGTGAGGTAGGTGATTTCGTACTGGGATAGAAATATTTAGTCATTGGCAGACACCTGCATTGCTTGACCTTTACAGTAGGGAAATGAGGGATTGTTTCCTGGTGTAAAATGCAGAAAAAGGGGGGGAGGGGAATCAGAGAGAGAGAAAGAGACAGGGAGGGAGAGGGAGAGAAATAGGAAGTCCCATGGGTCCTGACATACATTCAACTGACAGTGACAGATATGATTCCAAAGAAAGTGGTTTACGGTGCATCTATAAATCGATGCGGCAGGGCAGATATTATCTCCCTGTCTGTAACACCATGCCAATTACACTGAATGTCAGGTAAAGTCATTATCCTCTTAGACCTCATTGATGCACTTGGCACCTGCCTGAAACTATACTGATAAATGGATTTTTGTGCTCCAGACCACCAGGTATATGTAGCAGACAACCTGAGAAAGGATGACAAATTTTATTACATTAAACTAAAACTAATAACTAAAACTTGAATTTCATAAACCAGTTCGAATTAAATCAGAACTAAGTGAGCATATATGATTGGATACATTGCACTACAGAAACACTGAATCCTGTCTTTACTATTTCATAGCCTCCTAGGCTCCTAAGTATTAATGTGCATCTTTTCTGAGGACAGTGATAGCCTTATTGTAGCTGTTATTACCTTGAAAGTCTTGTCCATGGAGGCAGACAGCAGCAGGTGACTGAGATGAGGCACAGGACACCATTGCACTGTGTTGACTGGTCCCTGGTGGCCTCCCAGGCTCATCAGAAGCCTCCTTGGTATCCCTGCTGTGTCGGGCTTGAGAGCAAGATACGGCTTCACTATCGCTGACACATCTGAGAGAATTTGGCTTTCCCTGGTCTGATTCCCTGTGACTTGCTCTGCTGGATACTTTGGGTCCACTGTCTCCACTGAAGTGGCAAGTTTCTGTCTCTTGGGAATGTATGGTCTGACACATGATGGGACAGTGTACTGTCTTTTTGCTGAGTTCATCCCATCACCAAAGCTTTGTGGCACGTGTGGAAGAATGTGCTGTGGTGACATCTTCCCCCGAGTTGCAGGTAAACTTGGAGGAGCTGTAGTATCTCTGAAATGCTTATGTTGTGATATCCTGCTCGCGTCAAAAAAGTTCTGTGGCTGTGAACGGGGTTGTAGCGAGGAAATGGTTCTTTCTGAGATATTCCCATGATATTCCAACACCGTCCCCTCAGCGTCATGGGTAAAACTTCGAGGGTTGGCTGGTACATCTGAGTTATTACACACCACAACTTCTTGGTTTTGTTCATAAGATCCAGTTTGGACAGAAGCTGATGTTCCCTCCTTCGTTTGATCCAGAAATTCATCCTCTGACTCTGAATCCTCATAGGCCACTAATGAAGACATCTTCACAGGACACTCTTAAAAAATAAAGGGACAACAGGTGAGATCTAAGTATAGTTATTCCATAAGATACCTAAGGGTGACATCTAGTGGATGCTTGGACTTCTGCACCTAAAAATAGCATACTCACTTGTCACTTTTAGGTAGATTTGTTGACATTAAAATAACGTGACCTGGCAGTTTAACCACAGATTTACAAATGGGAATTTATTGTCACTAGTGAGGTGAAATGTGTAGCAGCCACCTCCACGCACCAGCCAAGCAGGCGGGGAGATAAATATAAAGAGGGAAACTCCACAATGGGCTCATCTTAATCAAATAGGACAGGGCAGGACGATCATTTTCGGTAGAGCCCAGAATTTGCAGTCGGGCATGAAACGCCAATGCTACGTAACTAGTCGTCCTGTTAAGGCTTGTTATCTAGTCAACACAAAGCCAAAACAGAAAGAGAGCAAACTGCCACCTAGCTCAATTTACTACCTTCAGACAAAGCAAACACACTGTTTCTTATTGTTACTTAACTTATAAACGTAAAGAATGGACGCTGTCACTACAAAGGTTAACGTAAATCCTGAAGTTTAACGCTAAATTACGCGTTAGGCTAGTGTGTTAAGTAGCGCCTATATAGCAATTTTAGCTAACGTCAATCATTTGCACTTCTGGCTAAAAGCCTAATATAACCTACAAAGAAAGAAAAACTATCCAGTAAATCTGCGTGTAACATTTTATACCTGCAGTCCTGTAAATTCATCAACATATCCGACTTCTGAGAGTTAACAGTCACACACATGGTAACAACATCCCGCAAAACCATTTGACTAGACGCAACGTTTCAAAATAAAAGCATAGTTTCGATTTTCCAACTCATGTGGTAGTCATTCTACGCGTAAAACTTTTATTTTGAAAGCAGCCGGAAAGTACTAATGGTTGTCCGTCCCCTCCGACAAATGCCGTATTAAGTTTACTTGTATTATATTTAGCTTTTTTGATTCATGTCCAATGAATCTGACAAAATACAAGCCTTATTTTTTTAAACTATATAATATAGCCCCCAAAGTAACATTTTTTTCGCATTCAGTCATTCGCACCATCGAATCCATAGCGGAATCATTGAGGAAGCCATGTTGCGAGGGAAGAATTTGATTTGAATACTTCCAAAGATTCTGTTTCGATATTAGTCATGGATGTACTACAAGACCATATTAGCTCACTAAGGCTGATGCAAACTTTCAGTCTTCTGATTAGGCTGATGCAAGCTGACAGTCTTCTGATTAGGCTGATGCAAGCTGACAGTCTTCTGTGTAAAGACTATCATAAGGTATGGCGCTAGTCATTTTTATTTATTCTTATATTGTCGCTACTCCATCATTTATTGTAATTTCAGTAACTGTATCATATATGACATCTATGAGGGTAAGATAAATGTAAATAATCAGTAATATTTGACGCTTAGCTGTTGAAAAGCTACCTAAGTTATCTGTTGTGTGTTCACATATGGGAGTCTTCTCAAACTGCTGTGGAAGATGATACAGTACAGTATCACTAACAGTGCTAACTTTGATCCAGATGCTCTTCAGAACATGTCATATTTACCTATGTCATGTGTTTGGTAACAAATTAGTTTTATCCTATCTCTGGGGCAGTGTGAAGAAGATGACAGACTGTCAGGGTGACGGCGAAGGAGCGAATAGTCCAATGGAGCTGTATGAAAAACTGAACGCTCAAGGAGATAAAGTCAGAGTCTTGAACACGGCTAAAGCTGAGAGAGTAAGTGCTTGTAAACTACCTTGTAAAAACAGTATTTTTATTCGATGGGTTTGGTTAAACAAAGTTACAAAAAAAAACATAACGTATTCTCACTTCCTACTTGTTGGCAGTTTGGGGTTTTCAGATAAATGTCATTTGAGATTTTCTGCCACTACTCCACAAATTAAATGTCTATTCATCTTCACTGTAATAGCGGGAAGCAGAAATCTTAAGAGAGAGATATTTCAACTTAAACCGAAACTATCTGGAAGCCTTTATGTAATTTGGATAAACTGATGCTTTAAAATATAAACCTTCTATCTGATTCTGGTGGGATTTGGCTGCTTTTATTGGTGTGATTTTTCTGACAGCAGTGATTGGGTTTTACAGGCTGAAATTGATGCTGCTGTCCAGTTGCTGCTGAAGTTGAAAGTGGACTACAAACAGATGACAGGTCAGGATTACAAAGCAGGAAGTCCCCCCTCAGAAAACTCTGTTGTCCCCGACAATGGGCCAGCAGCAGATGATGCAAATGATGAAGACACAGTTGACCCATGGAACGTTTCCACCACCAGTGCCAAGGGGGTAGACTACGACAAACTCATAGGTAAGATTTAAATGAGCTTCATGCGTGGCCTTTACTTGAAGAGCTGAAGCTCTATGTTTTCTTTCTTATTTTTGGACTCAGAATATGAATGTCAACAATACAGCTCATACTATGAAGTTCTTTAAGGGTAGTTCAAGCTGAGAAATTAACATTGTGTCATGTCTTTCTTTAGTGAGGTTTGGCAGCAGTAAAATTGAAAAGGAGCTGGTGGACAGAATAGAAAAAGTCTCGGGACAGAAACCTCACCGCTTTCTGAGAAGAGGGATCTTCTTTTCACACAGGTCAGCATTCCAGGAACTGAAGATGTTTCATCAGCTTTATTACTCAATTACAGTAACTCCTCATATGTTTCACAAATTACTCAGTGTCACATTATCAGTGAGTCTGAATCTTTTTCCTGTTTAGTAAAACAGACGATGGCAAGAATGTGGGTGTTCATAGGGGAATAGCACGTCAATGAATCACTTACCTTGTATGCCTATTTTTGTTTTGATAGAGATATGCATCAGGTGCTTGATGCGTGTGAGAAGCAAAAGTCCTTCTACCTTTACACTGGCAGAGGTCCGTCCTCTGAAGCCATGCACGTTGGTCACCTCATCCCCTTCATCTTCACCAAGTGAGTTCTATTCACCAAGTTATCTCAGTCCTTCACCTGTATACCTGATCTTACTTGTGGATTTTTAATTTATTGATTGTAATTTATAACTGAAACTTACTTCATTTCTCCAGGTGGCTTCAGGATGTATTTGACATCCCCCTGGTGATCCAGCTGACTGATGATGAAAAGTATCTGTGGAAGGATCTAACAATAGAAGACTGCCACCATTTCGCTGTGGAAAATGCCAAGGACATCATCGCGTGTGGTTTTGATGTCAACAAGACTTTCATCTTCTCTGACCTTGACTATATGGGGTAAAATCATTAGTAATGAATGATCCACCTTTCATGTAACTGAGTCAGCATATAATTTCTTGTCGTCTGAATTGTTTTCTTTTTTAATATACTAATTTTGAATTAATTTCCACAGAGCATCTCCTGAATTCTACAGGAATGTGGTTAAGATCCAGAAGCATGTCACATTTAACCAGGTCAAAGGCATCTTTGGCTTCACAGACAGTGACTGCATTGGTAAGACATCTGAAAAGTCTTTAGTGACAAAAAAATAGAACCAATACTTTGGTAAGAGGAGGAAACATTAAATTAACTGTTTAATGCTGCAACTTTTTGTAACTGATCAAATCATTTTCTTATGATGAATGATATAATTTGTAAGAAGCTAAATGCTCGTGCTGGTTGCCAGAGCTCAAAGAGCTGTTTTCAAATTGCTTTCACAGTCAGTGCAGTGTCTGAAGTGTGATTGTATGTTGGTATTTTATGATGTTTATTATTTCTTATCGTCCAGGAAAGATCAGCTTCCCAGCCATCCAGGCAGCTCCGTCCTTCAGTAACTCTTTTCCACAGATCTTTGGAGGCAGGAAGGACATACAGTGTCTGATCCCCTGCGCCATAGACCAGGTCGGGACAGCACTGCATTATTAGATAACAATACTATGTACTGGCATTCATTGGTTAAAATAATGTGTGTATCTGTCCACTCACATTGCAGGACCCTTACTTCAGGATGACCCGTGATGTAGCTCCAAGGATCGGCTATCCCAAACCAGCACTGCTGCACTCCACCTTCTTCCCCGCCTTGCAGGGGGCGCAGACCAAGATGAGCGCCAGTGACGCCAACTCCTCCATCTTCCTCACGGACACACCCAAACAGATCAAAAACAAGGTGCTGCTATTACTAGTTATTACAAGTCACTACTTACTAGTCAGATTTATATTGCCTATGTTTTCTGAATATCTGATCTGTGTAATTGTTACTTACAGGTCAACAAACACGCATTTTCGGGGGGGAAAGACACAGTAGAAGAGCACAGGAAGTACGGTGGAAACCCAGACGTAGACGTCTCCTTCATGTACTTGACCTTCTTCCTGGAGGACGATGAGCAGCTGGAGAAGATCAGACAGGTGAGGCTGTAAAGAACAAGGGAATCCAATATGATTTTTCAGGTTTAATTTCCTTTGCTAATCACACTCTTTCTGTGTTTTGTTTTCCCTGCTTTGTCTCTTCCCGTGAGCTCTTTATTTTTTTTTTATCATTCCTCTCTGCTCACTCATCCTCCTTTAATTGTTTTCTGCTCCCTCACCCCACCTCTTCTCTCTGCAGGACTATTCATGTGGAGCTCTGCTAACAGGAGAAGTGAAGAAGATTTTGATTGAGACTCTGCAGCCGATGATCGCTCAGCATCAAGAGAGACGCAAACAAGTTACAGATGAGACAGTAAAGCAGTTCATGACTCCAAGACCTTTGAATTTTAAGTTGTAGTCTGCTCGAGCTTCTGAGATGTCGGGGGTCATTATGTTGTTAATCTCAATACAAGATCAAAAAATGCATTGTAATAGAAAAATCATATTCTGCACTTTGTATGGCTTTCTATAAGCTTGGACATGAATCTGTCCTCACATTTATAATCCTTATTTGGCACTATGAATCTGTCTTCACATGTAAACTCCTTATCTGGAACTATCTGTTACTTCTTTTCGACAGTTAGACAGTTTTGATAGTATCCATCATTGTTCGCACACACACATCCTGATCATGCCTCCTTTTTCCCTCTTCATATAAAGTTCATATACACTCTTTGTTCTATAACAGTCTGCGGTTGCACTCTGTGTGACTGTACGCTAATCCTTTGCAAAGCTTTTATTAAACTANGTCAGGGGTCATTATGTTGTTAATCTCAATACAAGATCAAGATCAATGCATCTATCTTTTTTCCATCTAAAAGCAATGTAATTTCATTACATATTACATTGTCTCATNAATCTGTCCTCACATTTATAATCCTTATTTGGCACTATGAATCTGTCTTCACATGTAAACTCCTTATCTGGAACTATCTGTTACTTCTTTTCGACAGTTAGACAGTTTTGATAGTATCCATCATTGTTCGCACACACACATCCTGACCATGCCTCCTTTTTCCCTCTTCATATAAAGTTCATATACACTCTTTGTTCTATAACAGTCTGCGGTTGCACTCTGTGTGACTGTACGCTAATCCTTTGCAAAGCTTTTATTAAACTATATAAAGACAACTTGATCATTTTGTCAACTCTTCATTTTCAGATTTCCATCACAGCATCTATCTTTTTTCCATCTAAAATCAATGTAATTTCATTACATTACACAAAAATGTAAAAAAAAGTATAAATGTTAATTACTGGAGATTATGTGCTTCTCTGTGTCAAAACTAAGCATGGCATTGCCCACGTCTTCACGCCACTTGTCATGCTACTTGTTAAATGTACATGCTTTTCTTCATGAAGTGTTTGCAGCGCTGCAAAATCGGTTCAGGAGTGAAAGAAGATTCAAGTGGAGTACAGTGCATATTGTGGCAAAATCTGCGCAGTGACCAACAGTAACACAGCTACACACCCACTTTACAGAATGTTGGTTAAAAGGTCTTATTTTACTTTAGGAAAAAAGCCTTCAGAACAATAATTGTTACTTTGTGATTATCAAAACAGGTGTGTTGTATATGGTGTGAAGAGAGAGGCGTAATATGATGAGATATATTATGATACGTTAATCTCTTCAGAGTTGGAGCACATACCATTAAGTCTTCATCTGGCTTCGTTAAGGAAATTAAAGCAAATGTAATTGTGAGGAGATTTGAATCAGCTTTTTCTCTAAGCATGGTTTAAATCAAGAGGTTTCATTCAACTTATGCCCAGACTAAAAATAAAACTGTACTTCAACAACAAAACTTTGGAAAACATGTTTTATTTAAAAATGTAATCATATCCTAGACCTGGAGCTGGTGACTGTAAATGCCATAGCATATGATTTGCATCAATTTCATACTCATCAAAGCATTCAGTGACCCCTCATGTCCTACAGATGGCGGGATTGTCACCTGGTTTCAGTGTTAAGTGTTACCTAATGCATGCATGCATGCACATAATATTGTTTTAATATTTCTGGGGTCAAATAGAAAGAGTACCCATTTTTCCCACAATATCACACCCATCAAACATATCAACATAGGCATTCTGTGATATAATTGTCTTGCTGAAGTCTTACTTCACTTTAAACCACTACTAAAGGTGCCTGAGAACCACTTCACTAACAGATTGTCATTGTCAGTTTCATACAGCTCCACACCTCCAATATTCTTTATAAAAACACATTTACTTACTTAATAAATTTGTGTCATACAAAAATAATGTAAATATATTATTCAGCACAGCCTTCCATGAAAATCCTTCTTTGCGGCATTATTTGAAGTTTCCTTGTCAGAATTCCCAGGTGCAGGCTGCTCCCTATGAATGACAGCGTTAATGATTATGCACCATAACACCACCATTCAATCCACACACAATTGCAATAATCCTGCACAATGCGAGACCTGTGCATGGTAGAAACTGAGCACTTGTTTATTTGCATCCCCCTTATTTTCACCGGCCACTTAACAGACACGCTGAGCAGATCCTAGCGGATGACTCATTGGGGTAATCTGCTTCTTAAATGACTATCGGTAATTGAAACTAAAATGGCATTCGTGTCATCAACTTAAAACACTACTGCCTTACACCTGCTGTAGCCATGGTGACAACAGCTGCAAACAGGAAATGGTTCTTTCTGAGATATTCCCATGATATTCCAACACCGTCCCCTCAGCGTCATGGGTAAAACTTCGAGGGTTGGCTGGTACATCTGAGTTATTACACACCACAACTTCTTGGTTTTGTTCATAAGATCCAGTTTGGACAGAAGCTGATGTTCCCTCCTTCGTTTGATCCAGAAATTCATCCTCTGACTCTGAATCCTCATAGGCCACTAATGAAGACATCTTCACAGGACACTCTTAAAAAATAAAGGGACAACAGGTGAGATCTAAGTATAGTTATTCCATAAGATACCTAAGGGTGACATCTAGTGGATGCTTGGACTTCTGCACCTAAAAATAGCATACTCACTTGTCACTTTTAGGTAGATTTGTTGACATTAAAATAACGTGACCTGGCAGTTTAACCACAGATTTACAAATGGGAATTTATTGTCACTAGTGAGGTGAAATGTGTAGCAGCCACCTCCACGCACCAGCCAAGCAGGCGGGGAGATAAATATAAAGAGGGAAACTCCACAATGGGCTCATCTTAATCAAATAGGACAGGGCAGGACGATCATTTTCGGTAGAGCCCAGAATTTGCAGTCGGGCATGAAACGCCAATGCTACGTAACTAGTCGTCCTGTTAAGGCTTGTTATCTAGTCAACACAAAGCCAAAACAGAAAGAGAGCAAACTGCCAGCTAGCTCAATTTACTACCTTCAGACAAAGCAAACGCACTGTTTCTTATTGTTACTTAACTTATAAACGTAATGACTGGACGCTGTCACTACAAAGGTTAACGTATATCCTTAAGTTTAACGCTAAATTACGCGTTAGGTCTGTGTGTTAAGTAGCGCCTATATAGCATTTTAGCTAACGTCAATCATTTGCACTTCTGAATCAAAGCCTAATATAACCTACAAAGAAAGAAAAACTATCCAGTAAATCTGCGTGTAACATTTTATACCTGCAGTCCTGTAAATTCATCAACATATCCGACTTCTGAGAGTTAACAGTCACACACATGGTAACAACATCCCGCAAAACCATTTGAGTAAACGCAGCGTTTCACAATAAAAGAAACGATTCGTTTTCCCACTTATGTCGTGGTAGTCATTCTACGCGTAAAACCTTTATTTTGAAAGCAGCCGGTAGGTACTAATGGTTGTCCGTCCCCTCCGACAAATGCCGCATTAAGGTTACTTATATTATATTAAGGCTTTTTTGATTCATGTCCAATGAATCTGACAAAATACAAAAAGCCGTATTTGTTTTAAAACTATATAATGCAGCCCCCAAAGTAACATTTTTTTTTCGCATTCATTCATTCGCACCATCGTATCCATAGCGGAACCATTGAGGAAGCCGTGTTTCGAGGGAAGAATTTGATCCGAATCCTACCTCAAGCTGATGCAAGCTGTCAGTCTTCTGTGCAGAGAGTATCATACGGTATGCCGGCTAGTAATTATATTTAGTCTTATATTGTCGCTACTCCATCATTTATTGTAATTTCAGTAACTGTATCATATATGACATCTATGAGGGTAAGATAAATGTAAATAATCAGTAATATTTGACGCTTAGCTGTTGAAAAGCTACCTAAGTTATCTGTTGTGTGTTCACATATGGGAGTCTTCTCAAACTGCTGTGGAAGATGATACAGTACAGTATCACTAACAGTGCTAACTTTGATCCAGATGCTCTTCAGAACATGTCATATTTACCTATGTCATGTGTTTGGTAACAAATTAGTTTTATCCTATCTCTGGGGCAGTGTGAAGAAGATGACAGACTGTCAGGGTGACGGCGAAGGAGCGAATAGTCCAATGGAGCTGTATGAAAAACTGAACGCTCAAGGAGATAAAGTCAGAGTCTTGAACACGGCTAAAGCTGAGAGAGTAAGTGCTTGTAAACTACCTTGTAAAAACAGTATTTTTATTCGATGGGTTTGGTTAAACAAAGTTACAAAAAAAAACATAACGTATTCTCACTTCCTACTTGTTGGCAGTTTGGGGTTTTCAGATAAATGTCATTTGAGATTTTCTGCCACTACTCCACAAATTAAATGTCTATTCATCTTCACTGTAATAGCGGGAAGCAGAAATCTTAAGAGAGAGATATTTCAACTTAAACCGAAACTATCTGGAAGCCTTTATGTAATTTGGATAAACTGATGCTTTAAAATATAAACCTTCTATCTGATTCTGGTGGGATTTGGCTGCTTTTATTGGTGTGATTTTTCTGACAGCAGTGATTGGGTTTTACAGGCTGAAATTGATGCTGCTGTCCAGTTGCTGCTGAAGTTGAAAGTGGACTACAAACAGATGACAGGTCAGGATTACAAAGCAGGAAGTCCCCCCTCAGAAAACTCTGTTGTCCCCGACAATGGGCCAGCAGCAGATGATGCAAATGATGAAGACACAGTTGACCCATGGAACGTTTCCACCACCAGTGCCAAGGGGGTAGACTACGACAAACTCATAGGTAAGATTTAAATGAGCTTCATGCGTGGCCTTTACTTGAAGAGCTGAAGCTCTATGTTTTCTTTCTTATTTTTGGACTCAGAATATGAATGTCAACAATACAGCTCATACTATGAAGTTCTTTAAGGGTAGTTCAAGCTGAGAAATTAACATTGTGTCATGTCTTTCTTTAGTGAGGTTTGGCAGCAGTAAAATCGAAAAGGAGCTGGTGGACAGAATAGAAAAAGTCTCGGGGCAGAAACCTCACCGCTTTCTGAGAAGAGGAATCTTCTTTTCACACAGGTCAGCATTCCAGGAACTGAAGATGTTTCATCAGCTTTATTACTCAATTACAGTAACTCCTCATATGTTTTACAAATTATTCAGTGGCACATTATCAGTGAGTCTGAATATTTTTCCTGTTTAGTAAAACAGACGATGGCAAGAATGTGGGTGTTCATAGGGGAATAGCACGTCAATGAATCACTTACCTTGTATGCCTATTTTTGTTTTGATAGAGATATGCATCAGGTGCTTGATGCGTGTGAGAAGCAAAAGTCCTTCTACCTTTACACTGGCAGAGGTCCGTCCTCTGAAGCCATGCACGTTGGTCACCTCATCCCCTTCATCTTCACCAAGTGAGTTCTATTCACCAAGTTATCTCAGTCCTTCACCTGTATACCTGATCTTACTTGTGGATTTTTAATTTATTGATTGTAATTTATAACTGAAACTTACTTCATTTCTCCAGGTGGCTTCAGGATGTATTTGACATCCCCCTGGTGATCCAGCTGACTGATGATGAAAAGTATCTGTGGAAGGATCTAACAATAGAAGACTGCCACCATTTCGCTGTGGAAAATGCCAAGGACATCATCGCGTGTGGTTTTGATGTCAACAAGACTTTCATTTTCTCTGACCTTGACTACATGGGGTAAAATCATTAGCAATGAATGATCCACCTTTCATGTAACTGAGTCAGCATATAATTTCTTGTCGTCTGAATTGTTTTCTTTTTTAATATACTAATTTTCACTTAATTTCCACAGAGCATCTCCTGAATTCTACAGGAATGTGGTTAAGATCCAGAAGCATGTCACATTTAACCAGGTCAAAGGCATCTTTGGCTTCACAGACAGTGACTGCATTGGTAAGACATCTGAAAAGTCTTTGGTGACTTAAAAAAAAAAAAAACACTTGACTTTGAGCAATCCTTAAAATATTCTCCTCATACTTTGGTAAGAGGAGGAAACATTAAATTAACTGTTTAATGCTGTAACTGATCAAATCATTTTCTTATGATGAATGATATAATTTGTAAGAAGCTAAATGCTCGTGCTGGTTGCCAGAGCTCAAAGAGCTGTTTTCAAATTGCTTTCACAGTCAGTGCAGTGTCTGAAGTGTGATTGTATGTTGGTATTTTATGATGTTTATTATTTCTTATCGTCCAGGAAAGATCAGCTTCCCAGCCATCCAGGCAGCTCCGTCCTTCAGTAACTCTTTTCCACAGATCTTTGGAGGCAGGAAGGACATACAGTGTCTGATCCCCTGCGCCATAGACCAGGTCGGGACAGCACTGCATTATTAGATAACAATACTATGTACTGGCATTCATTGGTTAAAATAATGTGTGTATCTGTCCACTCACATTGCAGGACCCTTACTTCAGGATGACCCGTGATGTAGCTCCAAGGATCGGCTATCCCAAACCAGCACTGCTGCACTCCACCTTCTTCCCCGCCTTGCAGGGGGCGCAGACCAAGATGAGCGCCAGTGACGCCAACTCCTCCATCTTCCTCACGGACACACCCAAACAGATCAAAAACAAGGTGCTGCTATTACTAGTTATTACAAGTCACTACTTACTAGTCAGATTTATATTGCCTATGTTTTCTGAATATCTGATCTGTGTAATTGTTACTTACAGGTCAACAAACACGCATTTTCGGGGGGGAAAGACACAGTAGAAGAGCACAGGAAGTACGGTGGAAACCCAGACGTAGACGTCTCCTTCATGTACTTGACCTTCTTCCTGGAGGACGATGAGCAGCTGGAGAAGATCAGACAGGTGAGGCTGTAAAGAACAAGGGAATCCAATATGATTTTTCAGGTTTAATTTCCTTTGCTAATCACACTCTTTCTGTGTTTTGTTTTCCCTGCTTTGTCTCTTCCCGTGAGCTCTTTATTTTTTTTTTATCATTCCTCTCTGCTCACTCATCCTCCTTTAATTCTTTTCTGCTCCCTCACCCCACCTCTTCTCTCTGCAGGACTATTCATGTGGAGCTCTGCTAACAGGAGAATTGAAGAAGATTTTGATTGAGACTCTGCAGCCGATGATCGCTCAGCATCAAGAGAGACGCAAACAAGTTACAGATGAGACAGTAAAGCAGTTCATGACTCCAAGACCTTTGAATTTTAAGTTGTAGTCTGCTCGAGCTTCTGAGATGTCAGGGGTCATTATGTTGTTAATCTCAATACAAGATCAAGATCAATGCATCTATCTTTTTTCCATCTAAAAGCAATGTAATTTCATTACATATTACATTGTCTCATACAGTTTGCATCAGAACTGGAGAAAAATGTAAAAAAAAAGTATAAATGTTAATTACTGGAGATTATGTGCTTCTCTGTGTCAAAACTAAGCATGGCATTGCCCACGTCTTCACGCCACTTGTCATGCTACTTGTTAAATGTACATGCTTTTCTTCATGAAGTGTTTGCAGCGCTGCAAAATCGGTTCAGGAGTGAAAGAAGATTCAAGTGGAGTACAGTGCATATTGTGGCAAAATCTGCGCAGTGACCAACAGTAACACAGCTACACACCCACTTTACAGAATGTTGGTTAAAAGGTCTTATTTTACTTTAGGAAAAAAGCCTTCAGAACAATAATTGTTATTTTGTGATTATCAAAACAGGTGTGTTGTATATGGTGTGAAGAGAGAGGCATAATATGATGAGATATATTATGATACGTTAATCTCTTCAGAGTTGGAGCACATACCATTAAGTCTTCATCTGGCTTCGTTAAGGAAATTAAAGCAAATGTAATTGTGAGGAGATTTGAATCAGCTTTTTCTCTAAGCATGGTTTAAATCAAGAGGTTTCATTCAACTTATGCCCAGACTAAAAATAAAACTGTACTTCAACAACAAAACTTTGGAAAACATGTTTTATTTAAAAATGTAATCATATCCTAGACCTGGAGCTGGTGACTGTAAATGCCATAGCATATGATTTGCATCAATTTCATACTCATCAAAGCATTCAGTGACCCCTCATGTCCTACAGATGGCGGGATTGTCACCTGGTTTCAGTGTTAAGTGTTACCTAATGCATGCATGCATGCAGATAATATTGTTTTAATATTTCTGGGGTCAAATAGAAAGAGTACCCATTTTTCCCACAATATCACACCCATCAAACATATCAACATAGGCATTCTGTGATATAAATGTCTTGCTGAAGTCTTACTTCACTTTAAACCACTACTAAAGGTGCCTGAGAACCACTTCACTAACAGATTGTCATTGTCAGTTTCATACAGCTCCACACCTCCAATATTCTTTATAAAAACACATTTACTTACTTAATAAATTTGTGTCATACAAAAATAATGTAAATATATTATTCAGCACAGCCTTCCATGAAAATCCTTCTTTGCGGCATTATTTGAAGTTTCCTTGTCAGAATTCCCAGGTGCAAATGTGGAAAGCAAAATTCTGGTGTGTTCCCCCCTTTCATTATGAACATTAAAGTGAGAAAAGTGAGTTTGAGTTAATTTGTTTGTTTGAGCAGGCGCATCACTATCTCATACGAGGAGAGGACTGCCATGTTGACAGGGACGGCTCGCATGCAGTTGAGACTCAGACCTCTGAAGAAGACACCAGGACCCTCAGAGCGGACGCTGTCTGTGATACAGTGCAAAAAGCCTCGGTACCTCCGCTGCCCAATCCAGTCCATTTGCAGACGAGCTTTGATCAGATCCATTGGCGTGCTAACACACCAGCCACACATCCCTGACAGACCTCCTGCCAGAAGCACCACTTTCCACTCTGTACGAAAGGGAAACATTTGTCTGATATGATTCCAATGACATTATAAGTTACTTTACTAAGAACATGACAACTGGCTCCCAATTGAGCTATCCATACTTCCAATATTTATTAATATCAGGTCCTGGGTGTTTTAGAGCAGATTTACTCCTATATTTAACAGGTAAGTTGTGTTTGGATTTACCTGGTTCAGTCAGTCCTGGAGGTGTCAGCTGTTCACAGATGATATGATAACTAGTGAGGAAGGTGGCAAAGAAGGGTCCATCTCTTAGTGCCAGAGCCTGGGCTCCCTTGTAGAGGCCCAGAGCTCCTTCTTCACGGGAGATGGTCAGCAGACAGTGGATGGGGCCATGGTATTTTGGTTTCGGGGCTTCTGCTGTGAATTTTGAAAACGCAACCCTCTGACACTGCAGACGCACCTTCACCATGTCAGCTGGAGACACCAGTAAAACCTGAGCAAAAGAAATGAAGGTATTGAAGTAATTGGAAATTAAAGATCTGGATTCCACCTGAAAGTTTAAACAGAAAAGTCGGAAAAACAATGCATTTCAATATTTTTCCAAGATTTAAATAACAAGAATACAAATATTACACCAAACAGGTGTTTGCCTCTTTGCTTTGGTTGTTTGGTGTTATTGGATGGAAACTAGCCTCCAGTCATTCAAAGGAGACACATGTTAAAGTCTCTTCCAGGCTGTAAAGAATTAAATGTATTTGCTTTACATGAGACATGTGCTGCAAAACAAATATAAACAGCAATTACATGTGCAAATATTCTTTGTATAGGTGGAAGTCCTTCTAGAAACATCTGAATTGGTCTCAAATGCTTTTAATTATGTGAAATCAGTGTGACAGGTTCCAGACAAAGATTAATAAATACACTTTGAAAAAAATATTTACCTGTGCAACTCCTCCAGTCAGACCTGAGAGAAAGAGATCACATGTGGCAGGCCGGGCCTCGGGTGTCCCATGCCGTAATTTACAGAGATACTGCAGGACATTCCTGTAGGTGCCAAACGCCAAAGAGAAGCTGAGGGACACAGCTATGACTGGCATCGTCATGCCCTTGTAGAAACCATACACCTAAGAGAAGACACAGTTAAGCACAGCAAGCTTAAAGAATAATAGGATGATAGTGTTCCAGATGTGCGTTTATGTGGACAGGTGGTGGGGTTTCAGGGAGTATTCACAGTGTAGATACACAGAAAGTTTAAACTAGGCCACAATAGTGAAAAATCAGATGTCACTGACAATATTTTGCAGTTTGAGACACTCACCCCCTGGTTTTTGTATGTTGACTGGACACAATGCCAAATTCCTCTGTACATGTTTTGGGTTTGAATGTTCACCTACAAAGAGTTCATAAAGGAGAGAAGGATTTAAAGATGTGACTCTTCAAGCAGCAGTAAGGACAGTATGAGTGGTGTGTGTGTGTGTGTGTGTGTGTGTGTGTGTGTGTGTGTGTGTGTGTGTGTGTGTGTGTGTGTGTGTGTTTCCAACCATACCTTAACAGTGTCAAAAGGGTAGCCAACCATCACACCAAATGCCCCTGCAAATACAAGCATCAGGTCAGATGATAAACACAAAGCCTGAGGAGTACAATGAATGTTCCCCAGGTCCAGTACAAGTCAGCCAGCAACACTAATATTAGGTGTAAACAGTGAAATAAATTAATTATACATATTAATGAAATAAAATAAAATATTCATTTTTTTTAGCCAAAGTCTAACTTTTAAAATATAATCATACCTCCTGCAGATCCAGCAATAAAGTCCATTATTCTTCTGTTTTGTTGCATATGTTAGTAAATAATTGAGCTGCTAAACTGTGTTACTAAAAAGCCCAAATTCCGACATCATGTGCACTCAAGCACTGTATACAATTTGTTGAGTCTGAAAGTGTCTACAAAATGTTTTTCCTTAAGTTAAAAATGAGCAAATGAGCTCTCACAGAACTCCTAGCCGGCTCTATTATGCGTCATGACGTAAACTTAAACGTCAGAACTGGGCGTGTACGTCAATATTGTGCTGTGAGTTTTCGTGTCCGCATTTATTGGCGTCTCAAACAGACTACTCGACCAGCCTCTGTGTAAATAACACATTTTTTAAACAAATATGAACCAATGTCAAAATATTTGATGATCTTGACACTTAATCTCTAGACTTAAAGCCGCTCCCACACCTGTTTGTCTCTCCCTCTCCTCTCTTTCTGCTGCACCTGTTCATAAAGCATATATAGAATAGAGTATATGCATATACGGATATACGGTATATACACTCACTTATTAGTTATTATTTACGCTTAGCTAATATGTGTTCATTACTTGACACAGAAAAATATTTTACTTGTTTGGTAGGATTGATAGGACTGCTGTATTAGACGGCAACAATTAAGATCTTAAAACCTTATTTTTGACAGAAGTCCACAGCTCAGGATGGGGGAGGGAAGACCCATCATAGTTGACAATGCACTTAAGTGGTACAAATTTCTAAATTTGCAGTTAATCAAATTATGTTGACCCAAATGATCTGGGGTTTTGTTGTATACAGTCTATGTGGAGTAAACCTAAGTCTTTTAGGGCTACTGATCTGTTTTCTGCTTTACCCAGGTGGTGATCCATCATTGAGAGCCAGTATCTTACTATTACCAATGTACTGTAAATTAACACAGGCTAGAGTTAAATCGGTATTTCTCTAAAAGTATCAACAAACGTGATTATAAATCTCAGATATTTGTCCTGCTTTACTGAATTGCATCACACTGCACATGGCTTCCTGATGTTGTGTCCTAAACTTAGCACAATATACTGCACATGGCCTCCTGATCACCCTGCTTAAGTAGCCCACCTGGTCAGTCATATAGTACACATGCCGATGAGGACCAGTGTGATAACAGTGTTGATTTTGACGGTGGGGAAGATCAGCAGTGACCGTTTCAAACTCTCTTCTGCGGCCCTGCCCGATGGGAGCCAATGGGTGTGAGGGGCGGACAGCAGCGACTGGGAGTTGTCTACCTCCAAGTAACCCGATTGGGCTGCCTTAAAAAGGCCAAACACGCTTCTTCTCCTGTGCTCTGAGCCCCCGCCTCCTACCGCAGCACAGAAATAGAAAGATTTGGCAGAAAGAGCGCGTCTTGTAGTGAGAGAGTGAGGACACATCAGCAAAATAAATCTGTCACAGTTTGAAGCAGGTTTCAAGCTCCGAGTCCCAGTGCTTATCATTAGCCACAGGAGATCGTTATCTTTCGTTTGCTCAGCATCAGCAACGTCTGAAACCCAAAAGAGGGTACCAGCTCGGCTGAACACCAAGCCGGGGTTTGTAAAATATCAAGTTCAGGCAGATACTGAAAACAAAGTGCTCGCTTAGGGCTTGTGAATTGACCTACAGATTTGTCATCCGCCGAGTTAGCTTGACAAGTTTCAGCCGTTAAGAGTTTTTGAGGGAATGGCATTGGACTTCGCTGCGGGCTGCGTAGGAGGTAAGTAGTTAGCCACGTTAGCAGCCAGGTTAACAAGTTGGAGCTAACGACTACTAGCATTAGCATTAGCAAGCTTCCCTTCTGTATTCTTCCTGCAAGTCAGGCTGTAATGATTTATACCCAGCTGCCACGTCTGAGAAACACTAGAAACTAGAATCGCAGGTTAAAGACTCAAACTCAAATCATTAGCATGATCTTTTTTCAGGGTTATGTATAAAAACCCGGATGTAATTACAAGTTTGTGAAGTTACATTCCACACCTGTGGCTCATACACAGGAGTGTTTTTTGTGTGTATTTAGGAAACGGCTAAAACCATGTGAACTAAATTTAAACACGTCCAGTTTACTCAAAATGGAAAATTTCATTTTGGTCTCCAACAGTATTAAAACTATCAGGATATGGCATCATCCTATCTTTACGGTTATTAAATGATAGTTTCTCCCATTCTGCATTGTTAAATACTCTCCATTCCACACGAGGGAGGGACCCTCTAGAGAGAAGGCACACCAAAAGTTAACAGAGTTCATGTTTTCCTGTTTGAATGGAGTTTACAGCTTGCAGCCACTGTCATTAAACCCTTATCCCAAACCCTTGGGAAGCTTGTCAGCTGTTTTGTCTCTGCCCAAGGCCAGGTCTTCCCAAACTTCAGTACGCCAAGTACCCCAGATAAAGTCCAGAGAGCCCAGTCAAAGAGTTGTGTTGTCTGTACCATTATAGAGTTGAATTTTCATTTTAATTAACTAGGACCTCATTGAAATGAGGACTCTCTGGACTTCAGTGTTGGGACTCTGTGCATTAGTCTGATAATACATAGGCATATAGCAATGTAGTCTGATTTTGTGCTCACCATAGTCACTGATATATTTTCTAAAAACTACTCTGGATTCACTCCACTACTGCCATACATTGTTTTTCATTCAATGATTCAAACATGCCAAAGCCTTTCCCAAAGCAAGCTGGTTACTTCCAAGTAAGAATAGGAGGTGTGTGTATAATTTGTAATCATAAACTAGAGAGTAGTGCAATAGTGCCATACAACCCTTGAAATAATAATCGGATTTGAAAAACTTTTCAATCATTAAATATATAAGTTATATAAAATCTTTCATATTGATACTAATATAATATCCTGTTACAATTGAATATAAGGAGATGATGATTCTAGGTTAATAAGTCCTAATAAGACATGGTCAGAAGTTGCTGCTATATAATGGATTTTTGTCTCCTTGGCATAAGTCAAGGACAGCACACTGTTAAGCTTTCGTCACTGGGTACAGTGCAGTGACCAGCTGATCAGTCTCATGATGGGCGGGCTGTCCACTGTTGCAAGATGAGCTACTTAATCATAAGCCATTTTGCTTCCAAAAAACAAACCATATTCTTGTTGCAGAGTGTTACCGTGATGGCTTCATAACTGGGCTACATTGTATTTGTACCATATAGCTTTGAATATGTACAACTGTAGTGCTCTTAGCAGGACAAGAAGACGGTGACAGTTTGATTCAGTTTAAAAAAAATATATATATATATATGATTTTAAATTCTGTCTTGTCTTTTTCAGGTGCTGCTGGTGTTTTGGTTGGACATCCATTTGACACTGTGAAGGTGGGTGTCTGTTCCATCCTCTCCACTATTTACTCATGTTAGGCAATGTTCATGATCCAGGAACTGTGCTGTTAAAATGTTGTAAGTCAGACCACTCCGTTGGCAGCCTGAATTTGCATCCAGATAACCTAAAGTTACACTGTCAGCCTACAACAGGAATGGCTAAACTGGGCAAGAGGAAAGGGCCATCTGATTACTATAGGGATACTATTAGGACAAAGATATTTGTAGATCTATTAAATGCATATAATTGTGTTTTAAGTTTTGTAGATCACATTTTCCGTTTCTTTACTACTAAACTGAATGAATGAGTCTCCAAAATTCCCATTTAAATGTAAGTATTTGTCAGCAAGCAAGTACTACATACAGTTTAGAGAGAGAGTAAAACCTTTAATAGATTACTAACTCTGTATTGTTGTCCACCACCAAACAAGTTAGCAGTATTGTTCCAGCTCATAGCTACTTGAAAGCCTAGCTTTTTAATCATTAAAGGTGCATTCACTTCTTTATAGATTTCAGTGAAATAATCATTTATCAAGTCACTGTCATGTTGCTGAATAACGGTGGTATTCCCTAATCCAGTACAGTCATCATTTTCAACTAACTGGAAAGTTATGCAAATATAGAAATATTTTATTCACAACTTCTTCTTTTTTTTTTTTCACTCACTTGATATAGCATTAAATTGTGTGAATTTGCAGCATCCACTTTAGAGGCACACAGGGATGATGAATAGTTTGGTTGTAGCTCTTGTATACTTTGCTTTAAATGTTGTTTCTCCCTGAGCTGGTGTCTGTTTGGGGGCCGGGGGAGGCTGTCTTTAACAGCAACAGTGTCACTGTGTTGTAGATGAGAGAGAGAAATAAACAACCTCTCCACGGAAATGTGACCTAGTAAGTATGGTCAAGGTCTTTCTTTCTCTCACCCAATGTCCTGTCTTGAGCTATAGAAATATAAAGCACAGAAGACATTTTTTTCTTTAGATACAACTTTATTCCCGGTTAATGTTTTTGTTTCTCCCTCATGTTGCACCCCCTTAAGCATTCCAATATGTGGTTTGTAGTTATTGTGGTCCTCTTTGGCTTTATTACTCTTTCATAGAACCCTAACATGAGACCTCTCATCCACAGGTGCGGCTTCAAGTTCAAAATGTGGACAAACCTCTGTACCGTGGGACATTTCACTGCTTCCAATCCATCATACGCCAGGAGTCGGTAAGCCTGTGCTTGTTGTTGTGAATGCCTCTTAATGTTTTTCCTCTTTATATCAAATGATTCCTGGGTTGCATTTAAAACTGTGTGTAGCTTTTCACCATGTGCTCCCTACTATGCCAAAGTGGAGAAGTGCCACCGCACTGATTTAAGTGTCCAGTTACAGTCCCGGGATCAGACAGCATGCTCCTAACATGGGTTGTTAGGGGTGAAAGGGGGGTTGGGGGGTGCATCTGTTAGTCAGGGTCGGTGAGGACCTTTTTCCTGCGTGGGCTAAATAAAGATTTGGATGTCGTGGCATTTGAGCTAAGTGGAGTATGCTCAGTCCTTTGACTGAATTTTCTCATGGAAGCATTAGAGTATATTCCTCAAACAGGACAATATTAAAATGTTAAGTGGTTTCTCAGCTTAATTTGAATGTTTGATGATAATTTTTGGGGACTAAAAGGGATCAGCAGACTAGAACATTTGACTGTACATGTTTTTGTCTTAGCAGTATCAGTGTGGTTACATAATTTTTCAGTATTCCAGCGATGCCTCTGTGATAACCCAAGGGCTTTAACACTTGACATGTTAAATGCTGTTTCATCATAACTTTTGGCATCTCACTTGCTGAGGTGTTCCTCTGTTAGTGTGACTGTAAAACAAGCACACTGCTACAGTTACTCTTACTCTTATTACTGTATTCCTACAGGAACAGAAATAACAGTTTGGAGAAGCTCATACTATTTGCATTTTTAGTTGAGAGCATCTAATCATTTAAAGGTCAATTCAGATCTGAAGAAACATGGAAAATAGTAACTTAAGACTTTATTAGAGGTGCCATTTTTATCTGAGCCATGTATCAAAACAGTTGTGAGCTGATGGTTGCGTGTCACAGTACATGTGAGCAGTAATCACCGGTTTGTGCAAACAAATCCTCAGATCCCAGTAATGTGTCTTTGTATCCGTAGGCACTCGGCCTGTACAAAGGCATCGGCTCTCCGATGATGGGGCTGACCTTCATCAATGCCATAGTTTTTGGTGTCCAGGGGAATGCCATGCGCAAGCTTGGCCGCGACACACCGCTCAACCAGTTCCTGGCTGGAGCCTCCGCTGGAGCCATCCAGTGTGTCATCTGCTGCCCAATGGAGCTGGCCAAGACGCGCATGCAGTTGCAGGGGACAGGAGAGAAGAAGTCAAAGAGGAAGATGTATAAGAACTCCCTGGACTGTCTGGTGAGAATCTACAGGAAGGAGGGAATCCAAGGTATCAACCGCGGCATGGTGACCACCCTGCTGCGTGAGACACCTGGTTTTGGTGTGTACTTTCTCACGTATGACATGTTGACACGTTCCCTGGGCTGTGAGCCAGAAGACCCGTACATGATCCCCAAGCTGTTGTTTGCTGGTGGAATGTCGGGCATCGCCTCCTGGATCTCCACCTACCCCGTGGATGTGATTAAGTCACGTCTGCAGGCAGATGGGGTCGGTGGTGTCAACCAGTATAACGGCATTATGGACTGTGTCAGACAAAGCTTGAAGAAAGAGGGGTGGAGGGTGTTCACACGTGGACTCACATCCACCTTGCTCCGTGCATTTCCAGTGAATGCTACCACATTTGCCACTGTGACTCTATTTTTAATGTACATGCGTGAGGGAGAAGAGTGTAGCATTCAGGACTCTGAGCCACAGTCCGTCCAGCTGCAGCCTCTGCAGCCACAGACACAGCCAACCAGCATGTAAGCCGCTGTGCAGCAGTGAGCATTACTACAGTCATCAGCAAATCTGTCAAGTGTAGATGGACTTTGCAACTTCCTGCAGGTCTCTGATCTGTAGCTTGGTATCCATCCTGGGTAAGCATCTGTCCACTGAGCTTCATCCAAGTGACCATGTAGTATTTAAATAATATATATTTTAAGATAAAATCTGCACTTGTAAATATAGTCTCTTTTTAAACGTCCTTGGTTTTATACATGGTATGTTGAGTTTTAAGTAATTTAGTAAACTTGACAGTTACAAGAGTTACGGTTACAGTTCTCCCTAAAATTCTGAGTCAAAGAAACACTTTGTCTTGATGCTGTGTTCATGTCACGATTTACACCTGGAAGTCGTTTTAACACTGGTCTCCACTATTACCAACAAGCCTGAACTTGAAGAGTAATCACTCACAGTTACGGATTACCAAAAAGGTTTGGGCATGCTGGTGAAAATGAATGCATTTGTACCATGCCTCTCTGCAAACTCTAATCAATGAAAATAACATGTATTAAATTGAAGTGGTTGACCAATCCATAATACTCTCCATTGCATCCAGGTCAAATCATCCCCTTCCTGTTTACCTCTATGTGAACACAGCATTTCAACATTGTGATGTAATGGTTACAAGTACATATACATGTACATTTATATAGATATGGTTGTATTCATTTTCTGAAGTTACAACTGTGTATGTACTTTCCTATGAAAAGTCATAGGAATTTAATCCAAATTGTGACTGCTGCCTGACGTTTTAATCGAGTATGAGGTTACAACTGTCTTCTTTTTATTTCAGTTCTTTGTCCATCTTTAATATAATACCTTAGATTCTGAAATTTAAAGTGAACATATTACAGGCTCAGATGTTGCCCATTGCAGTAGGACATAAAGTTTAGAAGAAGTCAGACAGAATAATGATGTGTAATTATTTCTTTAAAATGTTTGATTATTTGACACAATCATTGTGTAAAAACCAGATCTGATGCAGTTTGTAATGTTGTTTTGGACATTGTGCAGTGTCCAAAGAAAGCACCTTATGGTATGATAAGAAAATGGTTACATTTTTGGCAATCCCATTTTTTACTTTACACTAAATAGATTTTATATTTTGTATTTACCACTAATGTAAGAATCTGTTACAGTGTTGAGCAAAAGTGATAGCTTATTTAAAAAGTGGGCTTTTTTTAAAATCCTAAATGCATTTTTAAACCTTCCTCTTCCTGTCATTAGATGTGAAGCACAATCTTCCATGTTGTCCACAAGGAGGCATTGTCAGACCAGTCATGTACACGGTAACCTGCACCATAATGGAGGCAGAGCAAGTTAATAGCTCCTGCATATTTTGTCACTTGTAGCTTCTGTTTTTGAGTTTAAGACAGTACAACTGTACTACCTGTTAGCAAAATTATAATGATTAAACATCATCTCCAGTAGCTACTTAATAGTCAACTAGAAATAAAATCCAGCTTGTGGCTTAAAACAACTGATGTGAACTTAGAAAGATTTTACAAATCATTTAATCATTTACTTCCATCTCTACATTTTTTAACCTGAAACAACATTATGATGGCATTTTCAGACATTTGACCACCAGACTTGCAAGTGTTATTATAACTGAGAAATACTCCCTTGCCGAAAGCTTCAGCACCAAAGATAGAACCAACATATTTTGAGAAAGGTTCTGTTGTCTTAAAACCTCTAAATCTGAACCAATTATTTTTTTAAATCAAAGAAAAATCAAACTAGTTAAGGCTCCCCTGCTTCCCTCTCCATACTAACAGAGGGCACAGACAGTGTCACTCAGAGCAATGTGACCTCTGTATCCAGTAAATAATTGCACAAGTGAAAACTCTTTACATTTTGCAGGTTTTAAATGTAAACTTGCATGTTAGCTGCAATCAAACATCAACTGGCCTGCAGGTGGCACAGATATCAAAACTACATAAGCTTTTACTTTCCCTACACATCTTCATGTCTACATTTGCAGTTGTAAACTGCTCTTTACCAGTGAGTGGGAAAGTTTAGACTGGGACTGTAGGGTCAGAAATGCAGGTCTGAAACTGCTTTGGAGTTGTCTTATGACATAAGTGTACATACTGTGTATTTGGTGTTTTATGTTTTCATGTCATCTTTTTAATTATGAAGGTGTGAAATTTATCTGGGTTTTAAATTTACCCTCATTACAATTCTGTATTTCTGTTTCAAGACTTTACTTCTATATTTCGTAATGTTTATATATTAGGTTTGTCCGACTTTATTGGTGGATGATACATGATTGCTGACATCTTTGTGTAAGGGGTGCTTTAATTATCTAATGTTGCCTTTTTGTTCTGTACTTGTCTATGTACAAAATCTTGTACCAAAGTAGCGTGCCCACTCTGTATTTCTTTAAGAGAATGGTGAAATAAAAGCCACTTTTTTTTCTCATATCCTGAAAGACACAGATCTTTATACAGTTTTACTACAATATGTTGAGCATTTGAGTTTTAAAAATTGAAAGCTGATTCTAAGCAATCAGACATCCCATAAAAATAATGAACAGAATGAATGGATGCGTTAGACATGTGCTGAGCCACATGTTCCTTTTTAAAGATATAAAAGGCTGACCTCTAGTGGTTAGACTTGGGAATCACAGGTTTTACCTACATTTTGTGCTCATCCATATTTTTCAATCACAAACTGACAATTATGTAAAAAAAATATCACCGTTTATTAAAGAAATTAGAGTACAGTTGTAAACAAAAGTGTCCATTATTGTAGCAAAAACAATAAGTTATTCAAATATTGATTGAGTTCTTATGATCAGTGTTGTCTAATACTGTGACAGGATTACTGCCAGTACAAGTCTTAAATGATTTTTAAACAAATACTATGCTTATATAGAGAAACTCAATGTATTATATAATAATTATATCAGGTTGAGTTGGGTTCCCCTTCAACTTGTGCAAAAAGGTTGAAGCCATATCCTGAGGCTCTTATCTCATTGAGATACAACATCTGATAGAACAGTTACTGCACATAGAGTAACTGGCATCCTCTGGTCTGATGTGAGACTGAAAATAAAAGAAGGCAAAACAAAGGGCAGGGAAAAGTAAAGATACTTCACCATTAATCTCCACCTTTTTTCTTTTTTTTTTTTTTTACCAGAGATGATTTCAGCTTGTGGAATTCCTAGTCAGCCTCCCCCAGGTTGCTAAATGGTTTTTCCTGCTTTGGATGTGTTCATAAGGAAGGAGTCACAGGAGTAGCGCAGGACGCGGTAGACCTCTTCAGCTCTGGATTGACTCATGCAGCCTCCTTTCTGTATGGCTTCAATGGAGCTGGAGGAGGAAAACACGTAAATGAGAGGAGATGTTATGATGTGTAAACAAGAGGGGAAAGAAGGTATCAGGCTCTTGTCTTTCCATGATATAAACACACACTTCTTTTACCTGTTTATTAGTTGGCTGATTGACCTGAAGTTGTGACTCATGTTGAGAGCATGGACATAGCTGACTGAAGGCAGGCTCAAGTACAGCTGCAGGGCCTGCTGCCTGTGCTGCCCTTTGACCTCCAGCGGCACACTGATGCCCTGACCTTTTCGCTGCTCCAGTCGTGCCAGGTCGGCCAGCAAGCCCGCACTCTCCTCAGCACCATCGCTCCACAGCAAGCGAACTCCAGTGCGCACCAGGCCCGCTAATGTGCCGTCATAGTAACGTGTTCGTTGAAATGGACGTGAGGCCTCACCTGAGATAGTGATGATCGGAAACAAATATGATCTCACAGTTGATCAAATTTGAAATCTGAATTATTTCTTATTCTTTACACCTGTGGGCATTAAGTGTACATCTGTGGAATAAGCTAGTTCATTTAACTTTATTCAAAGCAATAGTTGGACATTTTGGGAAACACTTATTTCCTTTCCTGAAGCTAGTTAGCTCCTGAAGCTGGTTAACTTAGCTTAGCACAAAGACTGGAAACAGAGGGAAAAAGCTAACCTGGCTCTGACTGAAGATGACAAAATCTGCCCACCACACCACCACGCCCTACAGCTCACTGTTAAACATGTTCCGCCTTGTTTATTTTATCCGCACAAAAACCAAAGTGTAAAAATGTTTTTTTACACGGAGATGTGCTGGACTATTTCTTGGCCTGGCGTAATGACAGACAGGCCTGGAGCAGACAAGACTCCAGGAAGTCACTGCACATGGCTAAGAAACAGTCCAGCACAACCTCCCATAACACCACAAACTGTCACAACTACATTTGGGTTTTTTGTACAGATAAAACAAACAAGAACTTAAGCTTAGTATAGCCACACGAGAGTGGTATCAATCTTCTTATCTTACTCTCAGTAAGAAAGCACATCAACTAAACATAAACAGTTACAGGAGTAACCAATTATAAATCATGTATAAAAGCCTTAAAATACACAGCAAAATACAGAGTGTATATTATATATTAATAAAAAAAAAAAAGGCTTATTATTAAGTCACAAAATCAATACACAAACTGACCTGACTTGGTACGGTCCTTCTCCACAATCAGACAAACACGCTCAAACAGTCCCTGCAGGCTGTTCACTCTTTCGACCAATCGCTTCCGGTTCTGCACTGCGGCCAGATCTGACTGGCTGTGCCTCTCCACTGCCATGCGGTTGCTGACGATGAAGTAGCTGCCGTCCAGTGAGCAGACGTGGACGGTGGCCGCGTGGCGTTGGCGCAGGCTGGTCATCAAGTCCACTCCGGTACTGATGCAGCGACTGTCCACCAGAATACAGACAGACCCGGGTGGAGCTGGGGACTCACTGACCGACACATCCTGACCGATGGACTTCTGGGGTTGAGGCACTGAGGAGGTGGCAGAGGTTGCCTGGACATGGGAAATGAAATGTCAAATGTAGATATTTTTAAGTTTCAAATAAATTGTTTTCGGGAGCAAATTTTAGAGATAAGGTATCCATTCTATAATCAGTACAGTGTGTTTCTATGTACTCCATCTTGCTTTCACACATACTGTATGGCCCTATGAACAGGTGTGTTTATATCTCGTCTTGTTTGCTTTTACCTGTAGTTGAATGTTGGAGGATAACAGCGACTCTGACTTCACAAAGTCTAACTCATCAGAGAGGAGATGTTGATTTTCTAACCTCTGGCGGCACCTGCAGGAGAGCGCAATCAATACCCTAGTAACTGGTAAGTGTTTGTACATGCGTGCAACTATATGATGGTCTCTTTACCTCTCGTTTTGCTGTTCTTCAGTCACTGAGCTCCTCCGTGCTTTACTCAACAATGAGACCTTGGATGCTATGGTTGAAGACGAGGAGGAGACGGCTTTCTGCTGCTGCTGCTGCTGCTGAGGTCTGCTGGGCTCCGGCTGTGCCACATTTGGCCGCAAGGGGACAGCAACATCCCCTCCTGTTGGAGGACTTCTCTCTTTATTACCTTCACCTCTCTCCTCATCACTGGAATCATTAATGCGGATGACCCGGGTACGCTTGGTTTTCACCCCCGCTCTCTGCTCTGGTGGAGCTTCAGCCCTGGTCTTAACGCCGGCTCCAGCTTCTGCTCTGACTTTGTGCAGGAAAACACGTCGTCTGGTGGCATACTGCCTCCTACCGTCTACATACGAGTCCTCAGGCATGAGCTCAACGTCTTCAGCCTCTTCCTCGCTGCTCTCCACCTCCTCTACCTCACTGCCGACCACAAAGCTGTCCTCTGCGTACGTTTCATCCATCTCAGGCACCTGGGAATAAATGTTAGGGACATGGGTTATCTGAGTTTGGACATTGGAAATTTTTATTTGTATTGAATAAAGAAAAGCTGAGAATAAAATATACAGCATTACCTGGGAAAAGATGTCAACGTGATGGTTTCTGTAAGACATTTTGAACTTGCCCTGGACTGCAGGGCTTCTCACTGACTTTAGGTAAACCCCATGCATCTCTGAGTCTAATGTAAATGAGAACAGACAGGAAGCCCAAGTGTAAATGTCACAGCAGGACTCCTTCAGGTTACTAAAACACTCAAACACTTAGTTCAGTGAATCTGATTTGAATAAACTGCTAAAGATACAGTCCAATCGCTTTTCTTGGTGCTGTACCATTCAGTCCCTGGGAGAGGTGCATGTTGTCGACCACAAACCCATCAAGAGACTGGTTCTGTTCCTCTCCATCCTCTTCATCAGATGACACATCTGGCCCCTCTGCATCCTCTGACAGCTCCGCTTCTTGATCCAGGAACTGACGCCCTTTTCGACATATGGCGTGCTGACAAAGGAACGATGGAAAATGTCAAGGTTGACAAATAGTGAAGGCGCAACTGATAATGGATATTTATAGATTTGACATATATATGGTCAAAAATATGATCAGAAAAATTTGTTTTGACTGTGTGTTGAAAGAGACCAACAACAGTTAGCTACTTCAAATGAAAGAGACTAGGGCTTAGATTTACACTCATAACGGAGTCAGAAACAAACCAGATATGTCTTTGTATCATTCACTGCATATAAACGCGATGACTAAAGGACAGGATTGAGATTCAGATCACAGCACCCTGCAGAGCTATCTGTTGCTGTACAGACCTTGGCTCTTGCCTGTTGGACTTGTTTCCTCTCAGCTCCCTGTGCTCTAGTTCGGCGCATGAACACACTGTCATTCTGGAAATCATCATCAGAAACAGCTTCGCCCTCTTCGTCAGACTGGAGAACGATGAGGAGAGCAAATTAGTCAAATACTGTACGCTGTTAATAGTTTATGGTGCTGCATATTAACTACATAATGAGCATGTGTTTAAATTATTGTAAATAATGCATGGAGTGAAAGTTTAATTTAAATCAAATCAGCTGTGTTGAAATGGTTGAACCGTGTGGCATACTTAAACACTAATGAAGAAAATCTTACAGTATTAAGTGCAGCTGCACGTTTCCTGTTCACAACCACCGGAGAGTCCACGTCACTGGAGACCTTGGACTAGCAGAGACAAGACATGTCACCTTTTACATGCATACATAGATGTTCTGTCTGGACTCAACAACTCAAGTTAGTCAGTGTTTATTATAAGAATAGTTCTTTCTTTCTTTAATCAAGATATGTTTTGCTGAGACACTTGAGGAGCTAAAAATGCTTCATTACTGCTTGCAGGCAGGTTGCCATAACAACTACAGGTACCTTGGTGACGATGGACGGAGGCAGCCTGAGCCGTCTCAGTCCTATATCTCCTGTCTTACATATATCAAGAAGAGCTGCAATGATTAGTCATTTAACAGACAGAACAAATTAATCTGCAGCAATTTTTTAAAATCAAAACGGCAAAAAATTTGCTGGTTTCAGCTCCTCAAATGTGAATTTTTCTGGTTTTCTATGATAGGAAAGTGAACAACAAAGGTTTTGGACTGTTTGGATAGGAATTGCAGAAAATGTATATGTGGTATCGGAAAATCTCACAATTTCACAATTTTCTGACATTCAGTCTGACATTTCTTCTGACAATTTTATGCACAAAATGATTAATCGATGAATTGAAAAAACAAACAGCAGATTAATAAAAAGATAGTCATTAGTTGTAGTCCTAATATCAACAGGCTTTGCTCACCACTTCTGGGGATGACAAAGGGTTGACCTTGTTCTGATGTCTTCTTTTAAGAACCACAACTTCATCTTCACTGTCACTGTTGCACCCCACTGAGAAAGGTGAGACAGAACAATGACAGTAGTTTCAGGATAGATCAGGGCAAAACAAACTGAGCCAATATAAAGAACTCTAAAGTTTAGGAATCACATTTTTTAAGGGGTAAACAAACCTGGATGAGGAGGGGAGTCAGACACAACAACAGGTTCCTGACTTGACTTGTTTTCCACACCGGACCCTCTCTCAGCCTTGACGGGGTGACCCATCGGTCGTCTCCGTTTCAAGCTGGAGAGTGAAGTCGGTGTGTGAGGCCCGGCTGGACCAGGAATGAGCGTCCTCTTTGCTCCCAGTGACGTGATTGGAGATGGGAGTCCCCCACCTTTAGGCATCAAAGGTGAAGTCAGAAGAGGAGACATTCCTCTCCTCCTTTGCTCTGAAAACATTTGTGCTGTAGACGATTTAGATTCACTGAACTGTGCAGGCGTTCTCTGTCTAGTGAAGGTGTTATTGGGTGTGGAAGACTTAGAGACGGCTGGCAAAGACAAAGGAGAGTCAGTCTGCTTTTTGGGCCGTGGAGAGGTCAACATACATGGGGCAGCCTCGACCTCTGCTTCATCCTCCGAGTCCTCCAGTGAATAGCCGAGGTCAAAGTTGACGGAGAAGTAGTCAGGGGAGGTGTCTGCATTTCGATGCACTGTGGGAGATTTGCAATCAGCCGTAAATACCTCGTCTGTCACTGAACTGTCTATTATACGTTTACTGGGTGCTGTTGTGTTTGTATTATGTTTTGTAGTGTTATACATATTTGCATCCTGAGGTGTCAGCTTGGCATGTGTAGTATGTGTTATCAACATTGTGTGCGTTAATTCATCCGTTTGCACTGTGTTTAATCTGTGTGTGCTGTCTGCTGCGTGCGTTGTGCTGCACGGGTGTGTTGGGTCGTGCAATTGTGAAGTGTTAGTCATCTTTTTTGTGCTGTTGGAAATGTCTCTGGCACAAGGGGATGTCCTGGGTGTGATGCCAGGAGTGGAGATGTCTGGGATGGACATCTGCAGGAAGGCTTCGTCATCCTCAAACAGATCCATGCTCTTGTCTGTTTTAGAGCTGCACTGAGAGGCCCTGTCGTCTTTTACTCCTCCATCTATCAAGTCTGGCGTTCCCTCATTGCTCAAATCATCCCAGCTTCCCTTATTGTTTTCAGCATCTTCAATAATCTGTTCCTCCTGGAGGTCTGTCTCCCTGCCGTCTTCCCTGAGATGATGGTCATCGTTTACTTCTTCGTCCCCAAAGACCTCATCCCAGCTGGGGCTGTCCGCGCCTTTACGGACAAGCTGCTGCTCCTGATGAGGGCAATCATTATAAATTTCACTCTCCTCTTCACCCACTGGACGCTGATGCGAGTCTACCCTTGGGGATGCATTGTCAGCTTCACTTACCACCACTTCGTCGTCGTCGTCGTCGTCTACGTCCAAGGTAAAGGTGACCTGAAATGGCTGATGAAGCTGCCGAGGAGAGGGAGGAAGTGACGGCGCAGCCATGTCAGCCTCTAAACCTGCAGGTGGTGACGGTGGAGATCGGGACAGGAGCTCCGCCACGTTGGCCAGGATGACCTTCAGACTCTCATCATTCCCTGAGAGGAGTTTAGCAGAGGATGGAGGAGGTGCTGAATCCCATTTAGGAAGGTAGAACATGGCCTGAAGTTCAACATCTTCATCTTCATCAATTTTTGTAATCAGCTGTGAAATACTGTGCAAATGTATAGGCTCTGTCACTGCACACTCTGAATTTATGACACCCTCGTCAATAATGGCGCAGTCGTCATCCATGTCAGCTTCTGGACAGTCATTTTTTGAAGGAGGAGGATGGATCGCCTCAGGTCTCAGGTGATCTGAGAAGTCTTCATAAAGTGCTTCAGTATCATGTTCAGCTGGAGGTCTTTGTTTTGTCACAGCTAACGTGGAAACTAAACTTGTTCTTTCTGTTTTTTCTCTGTCTGCTTCTTCATCGGGACATTCTAGATCAGACAACGTCGAGTGAGACAGTTTGGGTTTGTTGTTAGTAGTTTTAGTGCAGGTCTTTGCGCTCCTCTGCTTCTTCTGTCTGTTCTTCACGTGGCCAACAGCATCGGCTTCGTTGAGGTAAGGTAGAAGCTCCTGTTCGTAACGGCATTCCCCCTGAACACAAGCCCGTGCGCACGCGCACACACACACACACACACACACACACACACACACACACACACACACACACACACACACACACACACACACACACACACACACACACACACACAGAAGAGTTGTGTAAGAAAACATCCCACAGCAGGAGAACCAAGGTCAAAAAGCTGTAATCAGCCTCTGGACTTGCCAACCCATTTTAGAACACATGTGATTTCCACAGCGGCCAATTCAGCAATCAAACAGTAATATAATCAGGAAGTGCCCTATGAAGAGATGTCACATGGTAACCACACATGGGGCACATACAAACGTCTGATGTAACATTCCCCAAATTAGTTTTTGTAAAACATCGAAGGCGGACGTGGGAAAGTCTCATCACAATTAGATACTGTTCCCCAGGAAAACTATTTTAATGGACTGTAAAACAGAGAATCTCCTTCAAAATTAAAAAAAAAAAAAAAAAAAAAAAGTTTCCATCTTTCCATCTCTTTCTCATTGTACCTTTCGCACAAGTGCATACACATCGTAATCATCCAACACCTGTCATGGTTACAGACCATGTGACCCAGAAATGATTCATCGAGAGTGGTATCCAGCTTGGGCCGGCAGGGTGCCATCGAACCTGTGAGCGGCAGGAAGAAGGCGCTCCATGAATACACAAAGGAAAGAAAAAGACGCGTCATGTAGAGTGGGAGCCAGGGTAGAGTTGCATGGAGAGCAAAATAACAGTTTTGCCTCGGAAGAGGGCAATAAAACTGAATAAGAGGAGACTTTATGTCACTGTATTAAATAAAGCGTCACACTAAATAGAGTGGGAATGGTTTAAATGGGAACAAATAGCCCCTGGTGTTAGAAAATAGGAAACTGCGTAAAAGACCTTCTTAGAGCGAGGAAATTTTAAAAAAAGTATGTTTCTACTTTTATTCTGTTATAAAACTGTGTATTAGTGACGAAAACAGGCACACACTTGCCTTTAGTTCCAGATAGAGTTGGTAAGACCCTGCTGGCTCTTTGCCCAAAAAGTCACTAAGTGCAGTAAGCACTGTATGGTGGCACCTGCCCACTATTCGACTGACAGTGAAACCGTGTCTTTTAATAGACATGCTTTCAAAGCCAACTCAGTTTAATCAAATACATAAGTGTCATTAAAACGAAATAATTTTCTGTCTGACGCTGACCTGGTGTCTTGATTATTTGAGCCTCTATATTGAGGGCTCAATAAAAAAAAGCGATAAATTGTCTTTGATGGGTCCAAAAGCCTTTTAACTGGAACTAAAAGAAAGAGAACACGTTACCACCTTTTATTGGTTTTCCATTGATTTCAGAATGCAGTTTAAAATTGTATTAATCACTTATAAGCTGTTAAATATTTCAGACCTACTAAGGCCATACATTCATACAAGGGCGTGCATGCAATTCCTAAATCTAGATTTGCTGTATAACCAAAGGTGACTGTGTATTTTGTGGTTTTTAGTGGAGCTGCTAGCTAGGCTCAAAACTACTAATAAAGCTTGTTTGATTCACTGATTCTCTTTTGTTTTGTTTTGTTTGTTTAATTTTGAATTTACTTTTGATTAATTGTACCACTGAATTAGCATCAGCAGCTTGTTTTGTAATATTGCAACATACAGAAAAGTCACCCCTGTTTTCTTTATGAGGAATCGACAGGATCTGATTCTGGATCAGCAGGTTTCGACTTCCAGACATGGCGCCAGTAGTAATGGTTGTGTGTCAACAACATTTTTTTTATTGTTCATTCACATCTTTCACACCTAATCAGCACACTATTGTGTTCCTGATGATTTTTTATGTCATGTAAGAACAGCTTCCGAGTAATTCAGTCAAAATTGGGAGCGAGATTCAGCCTTCATAGAGACTGCAGAACATATGTAATCTAATCAGCCACTTAACATCAAAACATGTCTTACATTACACTCTGACATGACAGGCATCTTAAATAACAGTTATAGCCATATTTACTGTGAAAAGCAAATAAAAGAATAAAGAACTCCTATACATGTATTTCTTCACACCTTGGATTAGTTGAATCCCTTAATTAGACAAACAAACCTGGAGGCAAACATTAACAGCTTGAAGGTGTCACACTCCTGCAGCCACAGCATGAGAGCTGTAATTAACACTTTAACACTCAGCAGTTCCCATAGGGGGCTGAATACTTTTCACAGGCGAGGCTTTCTCCTGAAAAATAGAATCTATTTACGTTTCTGAATGGTCTCTGAGTACTGTACAAATATTATCACTGGAGCTTTGTAATTGCCTGCCACGGCCGTGGCTTTGGTTCATGTTACAACATAATCTGATGGAAAACATAACCACTTAACAGCTGTTATATTTTGAGAGGAGAAAACAAATACATACTGCTAGCTACTTGTAACTGCACCACTCTGCACACTGGTCCTCGGAGACCACACTGATTCAATAGTCCTCACATTATGGCGGATAAGTACAAGGAGACTAAAAGAATGGATGTTCTTACATTTACAGTATTAAGGAAGGAAATCTGTAATCAAGACACAAATAATTTCTGAGTTAGAATATTTTATATTTAGTTTAGATTTTAAATATATCATATATATCAGTTTCTGAGAAAAAAAACATTACATTTAATAATGTTCAAAAGTAAAATTGGAATGTCTTTTTTAATTCCATCTTACTGATCCAATCAAAAATAAATTTTCCTTATTAATCATTTTAAGTCACATTCTGTATTTTTTGTCCATGTATAAAAATTGAAAAATTATAAGATTTAAAAAAAAATAAAAAATCATTAGAGAAAAAATAACAGGATTTTGTGATCTTCTCAGCTGATCATAACATAAAAAATAAAAACATAGACCTATTTACACCCGCTTACATTTTACTTAACCATATACATTTTTTTTTAACTATTTATTAATACTTAATGAATAATATCCAGTCTGTTTTTGTTTTTGACCATACAAATTATTTGCATACTTACATATAAAATTGAAAGTTTTGGAGTTTAGATAAAAGAATTCTAATTTTTAATTTTCTTAACTGATCATTATTTAAAATATTGATCTGTTTACATATGTGTTTACATTTTATAAATCATACTTATCATTTTTTACCATGTAATTGTAAATTCACATTTAAATGACTAATATATTAACACAGAAAATTAAGCAGTGTGTATTCTAAATCAGGAGTGCGCTTTCCTTATATGATCATATTATGTGTTATTATATGTTGTTTGTTGAAAGTAATAAATAAATAAATATTATTCACTCACAGGCCTTTTTCACATAAGACATTTTGAGATATCACAGTAGGAAAAGCACAGGTGTAAATAATTAAATTAATGATAGATGAACTCTGTAATGGCTTTCTGGGACACTTAATACAAAGCCCTCATAATGCTGTTAGTAACACGTTTGCTTTTTCACCTGTGTGACAACTCAATCAAGAAAATTGGCCTTAATTAACAACTGAAATATTCGATAATTACTCCCTGCAGTTAATCAGCATCAACACAGTCCACAGATCACTGACCTGAGCGAGTTTGAACGATCAAGCCAAATGTTTCCACCAGCTATTCTCATAGGAGGTTTGTTATAGTATAACCACAATACTCTGGGTTTCTGATAGTTAAAAGTAAAAGCAGCACTTGTCTGGTGAGCTGATAAGCCAGCTACTTCTTTCAAAAACTGTCACAAATCACATAAAGAGACATGAAGTGCAGGTTTCCTGAGGTCACTGATGTTCCGTACTGCAGCTGCGAAAAATTTTGTGAAAGTATTACCCTCCATCTGAGAAATAAATCACAGGTTTTTTGGGGGTAATCCATCTTATACAAATCCTTAAAACTCCTGTATCCCTCAGACACAGCTTTGGTCAATGCTGTCCACCAAGGCCGCAGCTCGTCCTCTAAACATCACAATCCTGATAAAAAAAAAAAATGGAACAGAGGCTTTTAGGCATTCAAGGATTTAGTCACACTGGACATTGGGGGAATCTATTATCATGTTCCTCCCTTGAAGAAAAATTTTAATACTTAATTTCTACTGAGTTTTAACAGCTTTTCTTGCTGAAAAATAATGCACTGCACTCGATTCACACAGGATTAACCTTAACCCCTAGCCCACAATTAATTAATGATCAGATTAAGTCTCTAGATCTAGAGATGTGGCAGACTGAAATAAACTTGATGACAAGGAGAGAGGGAGAGAGAAACAGAGAGAGAGACTGCCAGAGGGTCAGAGGGTTCATGTTGTTCAGACTGCATGAGGAGGAAGCAGCAAAGTGGAAACTCCTCTCCGCTGATTATCTCATTGCACTACAACAGTCATAGGAATTTGATGCTCATGAACACACACAAAAAAAGCATCAGCCGTATGAATCAATCTGGATAACTTTGTTTCCAAACATGCCACATCGCAGGATAAGAATTCCTCGAGTTTCTTTGTCCTCAGGCTGGTAGACACAGATCGACACAAGATGCCTTAATTCAAATGACGATATTCTGCAAATACTGCGAACTTTACCCATTAGAGGTGTTGTAGCAACAGTTGCTAGGAAGCACAGCTACAGTTTCTAGCTGCACACACTTGGACATTTCAGCTTATCTGAAAAGGCAAACCCTATAACTTTGTGTCTTTTTAGTTCTCTTCAAAGTTTTATAATTGTCTTTTTCTTTATCCTTTATTTTTTTGCATCTGTTTTTTGATCTCCCACTAGCCCCTCTTCAGACTAGTACACTGTACATCTAGGTCATTACAGCGTGACCTACTTCCAGCTTCCTGGCTTTATGTAACAGTTCAGAGAATCGTTACATAATCACAGGAGAGGAGGCCTGCCTGCCATGTGTCCTCTCATCATAAAGAGAAAGCAGCGGCACAATGAAAAACACTGCATGGTTTTGAACGCACCCAGACAGAAAATGGCCTAAAATGAGCATAATGGCTTCTGGAGTGCAAGGCTATTAAGGAGAGGAGGACATGTGTGGGCAAGATTTATAAGAAAAATAAAGTTTGGACTTTCATTTAGGTGCTTTCTTCTTTTTGTTCCTCCTCTGATGTTTGTGGAGCAAAGGGTCAGTAGGCCTCCCTGCAAATTCAGGCCAAGCAAGTAAGTTGTGGCGAACGTTATCCCTCACAGTATACAGATGAGTGTAGGACAGAGCTGGGGCATAAATTGTTTTCATCAGCACTAAATGATGATTTACTGTTTATCAAACCATGTTTAAAAATGGTGTCAAAAAAGATTTGGTGTCAAAAAAGTTTCTTAGTCTATTTGGTAAAATGGATTGAGGAAAAATAGATTTTTCTGGAAAGAATCACTTAATTTTGGTACTTGAGATTTAGTGTTCAGAGGACAGCAGGTCAGTTAAACATGTGTCCACAAACAAAGATAGAATTCAGCATAAATAGAGAATAAAGTTTCCAACAATAAACTCTAATGACTAATAAATAGTTGCTTGTGTAAATGTAGCAATTTCTTTCCTGGAAATGAATCTGGAAGTCCATAATAAACACAACTAATTGTATTAACACTACATGGTCATTTCCAGGAAAGTTTCAAAAAAAATGTTTTGGGAAATAACAGATCTTCAAACTAAAGCTTTACCAAGATTGGAGGAGGATAGGAGGTTACAGGATAATTTACTGTATATAATATATATTACTTATATTTACTGTATATAAAAGTAAAGCTGGCATGCAACTCCACCTGCTGGGGATTAAACTGAAAAAAAAAACTGCCAGGTTACACTGCATGATTTACGATGAAGCAAATCGAGCCAAAAAGCAAATACAAAGGCTTGTGACATCCAGTGCAAGCAAAAATTACTCAGTGAACATTATTTACCCAAACAACCACAGAGCGACAAATTATATTCACAGTATCCCGCTGCCATTAAACAAGCCCAGCCTCTGCACTGTTTAATAATTCAGGTTTATGCATTTATGTTCTACAGCGTATTGTTTTTTACTTTTGGAAACTGTTGTTTTTTTTCATGTTCAATCAAATGTTTGAATATAAGTTCTGTTTTGTTCACTGGTTGTTTCCTGACCTGAATTCATCCATGGAAGCATGTGAGGCATTAGCTGCCATCTCGCCATGTAAACCTGTTTTGTTTTTACAGGTGGGCTAATTCTCTCCTCTCCTAGTACGGTCAAGACCCACTGTAGAAAAAAAGGTAATAAGAACCCATTTGTTAGTTCAGCCAATAGTCAGTTTTACCATAATCTCTGACCCAATTTCAAGGATTTAGATAAATTCAGGGGTCTTATCGATGGCACAATCTTGTGGAACAGCAGATGGTGGGACAAGGAAGCCTAGAACATTCTTCAAAACTGATATCTAAGGTGATACGGTGTGCAGTGAGGAGGGATTGGCTAAATGTAAACAAGGTCAGGAAGAGTCTGTGGTTAAATTACTTGTCTGATATTGATTATTAAACCACACCATAACAACACAGTTGTATGAGCCTGGTGTATTTCCTTTTTTTTAAAAAAAAAAGTCTTCTCCTGCTGGAGACGTTCTGTAGATTCAACATGATAACAACTGTTATGTGACTAGTGCTAGTAGATCTGATGACCTCGCTGATATAATTGATCCATTCAAGCTACCAGAAAAACAAGATTGCTATCAACTAGCAGCTAAGACCGTCAACCAAACCGCTATTGGGTCAGCATACAGCAAAAGCAGATGAATTATGAGCTGAGAAACATCCAAATTTGCTCTTTTAGCAGCTTTGTTTACTGAGGCAGAAAAACTAGTTAACTTCTCTATAAAAATAATAAAGAATGTTGATCAGAAATTTGGAAACAGGTGACTAGAAAAAGATTAATAACACACTGGGGGGGAAAAGTGCACCAAAGAACCTCAGCAGTGTGTGATTAAGTATTTCCAGAACTATGTTAAAAATAGTTGTTTTTTTTTTTTTTTTAGTTAAATCTAATTTAAAAGAAAGAAGACAAGAGGAGGAGCAGCCTTGAAGCACCCTGTTGAACACAAATAAATGTGTTTTTTCTTTAACCAAAACCACAGTTACGCCATGGAGCCTGTTTATCATGCCAGGAATTTGCCTTCCAGATCAAAACGATGAATGTAGTAACTCAACCCAAATCACAATTTTATTTTCACATGCACCTCAGCTGACTCCTTTCAGCCTGGTGAGTTTATGAAGTTTGGTCTTCCCTGGCATAAACATCGACTACTTTCTGTCTTTCATCAAACTAACCAGGATTTATTGAAAGTGTTTGAAGCCAATTTCTAAAACCATTTACTTAACACCAGGAAGCTTTGATTAACTTATGTATACTTTTAATTAGTGTTTACACAGTCATCTGGTTAACCTTTTAACCTAATGACACATTAAAGACAGTTCAGTTGTTTTCCTTCATGCCACACAGTAACCTTGATGCTCATGATGTTAATACAAAACATTGCGATCATATTAGCTAGCTGTTCCCCTTCTTACCTCATTTTCCTCTCTCATGCCGTCTATGAGCTCCATCACCTTAATGAAGTGGTGGCAGCGATGGGAATGATCAACAACATGGGTAGGAAGCACTTTGTGCTGCCAGTGTCTCCATTCCCACAAAGACAGCTCTCTGGATCGGGGCCCATTTTTGGAAGCTTCCTCCTGTAGGACATCAAAGAAAGGATTTAGTAAAATAGTAACATTATATTCAGTCCAGTAATGAATGGCACAGAGGCAGGAATACAACAGGGCACAGATTCTATTTCTCCTGACTTTTTTCCACATGTCATTTTCCAACCTCGGGTGTTCCTCCGCAGGAGATTTTGCTAACTGAGATCATGGCAAATTCAGTGGCTGTCTCCATGCATTGCTATAAACTGGAACCAGTGGAGAACTGTCATAATATTTAATATAGGAAGGGTGCAAACAAACTCAAATAATAATAATAATAATAATAATAATAATAATAATAATAATAATAATAATAATAATAATAATGATAATTATGATAATAATAATAAAATAATAAAAATAATAACATTTTCAGTCAGTTTTTTTTTTTGCAAAAACATCATGGTGTCAGTTTGCAAGTTCACTACTTCCATTGTGTTTATTAGTTTCAATCCGATAACATGTAGTTCATTCAAAGATATTATAGTCTAAGGTGAGGTATGCTACAGAGCATGTTGCTTGACTAACGAAATTCTAATCAAGGCAAAACATCTCTTTATATGTTGTATATATAGTATATTTTCTAAAGACTTTGAGGCAAACAGTGTCTTTGTATACTGAAGACAAAAAAAGAATTTTATAATTTCATTTTTAAGTATTCTATAAACATTCTATAAAACATAGTATGAAAGATGTCATTGTATGGAGGGGTATTAAAATGAGCTCACAACAGCTTTATCTTCATTCACAATGTCCTCGATACTTTTCAGATGTTCAACAAAAAAAACAAAGAAAAAAGCAGTCAAAAATAAAGGCAGAAAGAAAGAAAACCTGAGGTGGCAGATCGGCGCATATGGACACAAAGTGGGACTGCTTCAGGGTTGGTTGAGCTTCATCTTCCTTCAGCCTCATGGTAGATGTCCACAGGGAATACTCTGTACTGCTCAGAAACCCGTCTGATGTTGCACTGCCCTGCATAACTAACACAGTGGACACATGCAAACTCAGAAACCCATGTCCAGGTTCTCTTCTCCATCTTCATTTTAAATAACCAAAATATACTCCTGCGTAGCCCCTTACTCAGGTTTTGAGGGTGGATGAGTGAGGCCCTTCCCTCAGAGCGGGACCGTCGACCCCTGACAGACCGTCTGCTGCTCTCCTGGTGGTCAAACTGGCCACAGGTAATGTACATCTTATGCAGGTTGGGGTTCACCCCCTCTGGCAGCATGCGGGGACTGTTGGGGTACATGTGGAACCCGCTTTTGTTGCCAGTGATGGACTTGTACACACTGCGCTTGTTGCTCTGGCTCTGGTTGTAGGTCTGAGGGAATCAAAAGTTAAAATGACCATTAAGGTAGTTTTGTGGAACTGTTTGTGAGTAAGGAAACGAACGGTGCACCAAACTTTTAATTTGAGGGTCACACTCACCCTCTCCTCGCGTCCCTCAGCCAAGATGACAACAATGCGTCCCTGCCGTTTACGTCCAGTACGTCCCATTCGCTGCACGAGGCGGATAGGATTCTTCTGTGCATCGAAGCAAACAATGAGGTCCACCTCTCCGATATCCAGCCCCTCTTCACCCACACAGGTCGACACCAGTGTATTAAATCCTCCCTGACGGAACCTGTGCACCACCTAAAACACAAATGACAACAGAAACAAAGCCGTCGTAAAAGCATTTTAATCTTTCCATCTTATGTTGTAATCCTAAACATGTCTATTTTTACTATGTGAAGTGTGTACAGCAACCATCAGAACACAATGTACATGCACATGTAAGCGCCTTTCCTGCATTATTTACTCAGAGGAAATGGCACAGACTGTATGCAGAGAGAAAATAGAAACTACCCACACTAGGCACCCAGCAGAGAAATCAACAGACCGGCAGACAGACATTTTTCTTTCTTTTTATTTATTTATTTATTTATTTTTTAAAATCGGTTTACTTATATAGTACCACACTACTAGATTTAAACGAGACCTGTCAAACTCAAAAATGATCTTATTCACAATAAGGTGAACCGTACCACCGTAGTATCCTTTTATCTCACTACATATTACTAAAATTACCAAAAATCGGTCCTTTTTTCAAAAACCAAAAAAAAATCAGGCAGATGGTCTCTACCTCCAGTTGCTCCTTTTGGGTGAAGCCTTTGACCCCCTTCCCAGCTGAGGCTTGGCCCATAAATGTCATGACCCTGATCAGCGGAGCATGGCGGTTCAACATGGCTGCGATCTCCTGTACGCTTTCACGGAACGACGAAAAGATCATCACGCGCGTGCTTACTTCCCGAGGACCTGAACCTGGCCATTGGTGAGACAGGGAAAAAATATACTGATTACAAATTACTTCAGTAACCATGAGCCAATTTCTTACGGCACTTTAACATTGAGTACGCCTCTTTGATTCAGATTCTGGAATGCTTTGTTCTGTGATCTCTCCAAATTGAATATGCTCTGATTGATCAAACACTTTGTTCAAATTTTATTTTGGTTTTCACTTCCAAGTTTAGGATCAAGGTATTAACTCCAACGGACTGAATTACATTTACAAAAAATGCTGTATTGTGGCTCTTTTCACTGCTTTTGCTTTCTCAGAAGGACTCTGGACAAGAGTTTTACATATAACTGAGGATTGGAAGTATTGTATGGACACTGTGGTGCCATATATTAACCAGGAATTTTAGAGAAGCCACAAGACAAAACTCCAACATTGAATCTTTAATGTCAGCAGAAGAACATGATTAATCTAAATGCAATGCTGTATGCTTTGTCTTTGCTGTAGTTAGAACATGAAAATAATTATTTATCCAGCTTTTACTCAGAACAATATTTCCACATATGAGTCACAGCATAGCACTGCTATAATAAGTAAATCACCATTATTGTCTGCAGAGCTCTCAGCCCACTGGGCAAAGTGCTGCAGCACCACCCCCTCCAGTTTCTCCAGTTTGGGATGACTGTAAATGAAGGGCTCATCTGGACCTAAAAATATAAATCACACAGGATTTTATCAAAGTGTCTCATCCAATAATAAAGGGTCAGAAATCTGGCTGATTTTGTGTTCAGGTACCAGCAGATGGCTTCACAAACATTGCTTCCATCTCATGGTAGAGGTCCATGAAGGTGGGAGTCCTCTGCAGCTCATTCCTCGCCCTGGACATCTCTGGAGCAAAAAGCGCATGGAGAGTTTCTTATATCAGAAGTTTTACAAAGCATACACTGTATATTATTGGGTATGCATACAACCTGTGGCCAGGAAGAAAAACCTTTGGTGGAAATCTGTTAAAGTGCAAGAAATAAGCCAAGCGGTGAAGTGACTGACCTCTTGATCCATCCACGATTCCCTGAATGTAAAAAAAGAGCGATCGGAGGCCCATCTGCATCAGCAGCTCATAGCCGTGGTACAAACTGATGCAAAGGGCAAAGTCGCCCTCCAGCATTCCCTGCTGTGGACCCTGTAGAGTGCAAGAGGTTATATGTCTATGAGATCACTGGTAAGAATTTGATTAAAAGGCTTTGAATGAGTGAAATATTCAGGTTAGGAGTTTTCTGTGTATCAGTTGCAATAGCATCCTTTATCCTGCTTCTATTGTATTTAAAAATACATTAAAGCATGATTTTCATTTGCAAGTAAGATGTTATATTATAAAATGATATCATTTGATGCATTTCCACTCAATGCTTCCTTAGGTAGCCACGCTTATCAGGAAAATCAAAACTTAAAACTCTAAAATCTATAAATTTTAATTCAACTAAAAGATAATGCTCTAAAGACTTGAAAGAAAATAACATACAAGTCCAATTATCTAGAGAGGTTAAATTTATATTATACACATTTGAGCTGGCAAGCTAAGGCTGACAAAGTTAATGAACAAATGCTTTTTGTTGTATGTTGTTTTTGTTTGCATTTTGTTGAATGTTTTTTTTTTACTAGCTGTTAGGAAGTTAAAACAAAAGTAAAAGGTTGTATACATTTATCATATCTAACCGCCAACACTATTTATCAATGTAATCTAAGCATTTACATTTTTCACTCGTCTGATAACTTTTTACTATATTTTGTCATTTCCTAGGCTCCATATATCTTTAAACTGAGTGCCAGTGATTGCTAGATGCTGTGTATCATATCATGTAAAGCTGTATAGCGCACAGTAGCATCCAATAATTCACACAGCAGAGTCCATGCCTTGATGTATGGTGGTGGGTTTTTGCGAAACTGGTCCCTGGCGAGGATGAGCTGGTATTTGGTGAGAGTCTTCAGGTCCTTGTGTGCCATCACCCGGTTCTGGACCAGACGAGACATGAATTTCTCCAGCACCTGTCAGGAAGTGTAAGGAACATATATATATAAATATACTGTGGGTCATCAATAATAGGCCATTTCCTGCTTTAGGGGGTAATGCATCAGACTGAAAGCTAGCACCCTGCTGCATAAGGCTGGAAAGTGCATCCGCGCACACACACACACACACACACACACACACACACACACACACACACACACACACACACACACACACACACACACTCTGTGACCACTTTGAGTCACACAGGTGTTCCTTTATTGGTAAACAAACCTGCACAGACTGAATAGGAGTCTTACTTCAACAAGAGACACAATCACACTGTAATGTGCTTTCTTTCTTTCCTCTCCCTGTCCTCATTTCCTAATAATGGAAGGAGAGATGGAAGCAATTTGTCAAACAGACAATTTTAACAATATCTATTCATCCTCACGACGGCAGATAATGGGAGGCTGGGTCATTACAATTTCAATTTAAGATGTGTGGAACAACTGCTCTGAAAATTGGCCAGAATAAAAGGCCGCCCTGAAAGAAGAAGTGGGCAGACACTCTTACATTTGTAAGTGCCGATTGTCTTATGAAATGGACACAAACCTTAATTATGGTACGATGTACAAAGTAGGCCAAACGGAGGAGGAGGAGGAGGAGGAGGAGCAGAAGAATAACAACAACAACATAGGCTATACTGTTTATATATTTATCATATAATTTAATATTTTTGTAATATTTCAAAATAAAATGTCAATAAATTTACACTATTTTAAAACATTTTGACAGTGATCGCTGCATAACAGTATATTTAAATCTAAACATAAAATATATTCTAAAATACTTTGACACATATTTTTTTCTCACCGATTAATTTCCAAGCAGTTTTCAAGCATCACAATCAAGAAAATAAGAGACGAACATGCCCAAAAAGAAACACATGTAGCTGTAGTTATCCAAGCATCCGTTGATCTTGACACACATCCTTTATATTAAAACACCTTCACAATCACCACTGGAACAAAAAGTGGCAATAATCAATACTAGGACAGAAAAGAGAAACCATTTTAAATGATGCTTCCTTCTTAAAGTGTTATTTCTGCTAAACCTCAGCCTGTTTCTCTGAGGTGAAATGCGAGTCTACTTCATAGAGCTTACAGAGACAAAAATGAAGGGTTAAATAACAACCATTAATTCCACTGACCTTTCGGAAAACATCAACAGCTATATCACCTAGCCCTAAATGCTCTTTCATGAGAGTGTGAGGAGGCCAGTCCATCTGGTTAGGTCTTTCCTTCATTACACATGATACGGTTTAAATCTGAGGACAGATCACTTAACAGGTGTTTGCCAGAGGAGAGGAGGTTTATTGAGAAACTGAGGAACCAACTGTGGCTTAAGAAACTCTACTTTACAGAAATGATGTTGTTATTCAAAATTTTGCAGGGTTTTTATTTTCATTAATGCATTGTGCAGTAGAGTGAGATTTCAAGAGTTTGCTAATTTAATAAAAGGTACAGACAACAGAGGATTATTTGATTAGAGGATTATTTTTTATCTTTTATTACATTTCTAATATTAATTCATCTGCTACTATGACGGCTTTAAACACAGAGAAATTGTTAACTTAAGACCAAGTGCAATAGTGAGTAATACTTTCAGTGTGTAGGTAAATGTACACAATAGGCATGTAAAGTGTGTGTAATTCTATGTGAACTGCATGTTTTGTTTTTTCTTTCTCTCTCTTTATCTACATTTTCATTTTATTGTGTAGTTTATATTATATTTACTTTATATTTTTGTATTCTTTCACATACCGTAGAATACCACATGGTAACAGCTCCGTTACAATTTGATTCAGTCATAGTTGTGACAGATGAAGGAAATGATGGACCACTGATGGGAGGAGATGGATGGAGATTAAATTGCGCAGTGAAGGTCTCATGTAATTCTGGGTACAGAAAAAGACAGACCAGATGGGCCAGAAAATACTGTAGGCTTCTACATAAATGGCTACAGAAGAAGACCAGAAAAAGAAGGGTTAATTTTTGGTTATGTTTGACAAGGATGGCTGAGGGGGAAAAATGATGTCTGTCAACACCCCTAAGGTGCGATTCAAACCTGTAGCATAAACACATGCAGCTCAACCTGCCGTGTGACAACAACAACCCTTCCAGCAGAATTGGGATCTCAGTTCATATTTACAAACACAGAGTCACGTTTGTGTCTGTTCCACATATTTCACAGCTTCTTCATCGCTGACTCAGAGTAATAAATGACATCCACTGCAAAATGATGAGCAGAATATAAAGTAGCTAGATTGAAGTCATGATGATTTCCATGTGCTTAATATTATAAAGTAAATGTTCATCCCATTTTCACATACTTTTTAGCCTCAAGTAATGTGGTTAATTCATCGTCCATCTAACACTTTTGTTCAGAGCTATTTGATGGATTTCCATGAAATTTGGAGAAGAAAACTCTGGTCTCAAGAGCATATCTTTTTCTTTTTATTTTAATTTCCACTTGTCCAACAACACTATAGCTCATGACAGGATTAAAGCTACCATATTTAGCATTTGACAATGCCAGCTTCACACGTCAACATGTATGTATTTGCCTATAATCTAAACTAGCTCATTTTTGTCTGATCGATCTATCCCAGCTCACATAGGGTGAGCAGGTCGCCAGTCTATTACATGTACAGAAACAACCATTCACACTCACAATTGCCTCTACAAGGCAATTTATAGTCACCTAACCTAACTCATCCTACATTATCCAATATGTTAATGTGTTATAAGTTTTATAGCCTCCATAATCTTTAGCACTTAGCCGTGTTAAATAGCCTTGTTGTCACACAAAATTTCTGACAATTCTGAAGCAATAAAAACTGATACTCTCATGGACTCTTCTGTAGTGTGTGTCCATCATGCTGCATATGCACGTCTGTGAGGTTGTGCGTGTCAACAACAACACTGAGTGAAAGGACCACAAGCTGGTTACAAGGCGCAATCCCCCCCTCCTCTAGTTAATTGACAGGTGGAGCACAGTGTGGGAATGTGTATGCAGCGGTCAAGGCCAGATTATGAGATTACACAGAACCAGATTAGTGAGGTCGCTGTTTTTGTCTGGTTGGAATGTGGAGTGAAATGACAAAATGTGCAGAGAGAAAACTGTGTGCTAGTTCAGCTATAATTTCAGTGCAATGTGCTTGTTTACTACACTTTTATAAAAATTGATTTATGCATGTCAATTAAATTTATCACATCAGGAGGCATTTTAATATACTTCGTCTTTGTTTACCAGAACTGTCAGGACCAGTTTGTCTGTAATTGTATTTATTAATTTGTTTACTTGCTTATTTTTCTATTTGTTGATTAATGCAGAGGATCACCAATAAAACAGAAAAAGCACCAAGTGTAAATTCAGTCGTTGCTGTTGCTTTGCTGTTGAATGCCACATGGCATGCTGGAGAGAGATGTGTGATATTGGGACTGTGGGCCTCTCCTTCACAGTTAAGGATAACAGGAGTGAGTGTGCCTGAGCGGTACAGCAGCACTAAAACATATGTATGTAAAACCTGTCACAATTAAGATCAAATAGATCGAAACTGTTAAACATTTTACAAGTGAAGTATCAACCACACACTTCACACCTACAGCTTAAATCTTGCATACAGTGATAATAAGAAGATACGTCATGACAAAAATAGTACAATATACTTTTTAATTTTAGCCACCTCTATCTGCACTGTATAAGAACAGGTCAGATTGCACAGGAAATTTTTTTTTAATTAATTTGAAGCAGAAACTGTGATAATAATGGTAATGATAAAAATTCTTTTTTTTAAATGCCTTAAGGTAGCAAACAATAAGGTGAGTTATGTTGTGGGTTGGCAATTAAACAAAATCAGTGTATGGCTCTCATAAAAAAGAGGAGAGGAGAGGAGAGGAGAAGAGAGGAGAAGAAAGGAGAAGAGAGGAGAGGAGAGGACGTGGGCCAAATGACAACATCATCGACGGGAGCCTCACTGAGCATGCTCGGCAGAGGCCAACAGCTGATTGGTTGAAGGGCATAGAGCTAAGTGACGTAGGGAATCAGTGAAAAAGCCAGTTGGCAGGCAGCTATTAATAACAGAAACTACACTAAGCTGAACTCACTCTTGTATGTCAACAATGCAAAGGACATATTGGTGTGTGCGTGTGTGTGTTTATGTGTGCGCATTGTAAAGCTTGCCTTGTCATCACTGAAAAGGAGGTTGCCATCACTGAAAAGGAGGTTGCCTGGCTAAAATAAAGTGTGGAAACCTCAAAAAGCTTAATCATGTGATAAAACTCTGTTACTATTATTATTATTATTATATCTACAATCATTATTATTATTATGAACACTAATGTTGCTGCGAGGGTGCTGTTGTAAATCAAAATGTAATCACTGTCCAGTTGTGTGGATTTACAAGGAACAGACATAAGGACAAAGACAACCCCTGTAGGGGTGTGGGTGGATAGATACAGGGGGCCTGTAGACTATTGTCAAATGTGTGTGTTTCAGTTTATGTGTGTTTGTGTTTGCATGTTTGCATGTGTGCATTTACATGGAGACTCCCCCACAGACTATAGGAGATTATATAACAGCCTCTCTACGTGCATGTTGAAGGGTGCAACATGGTGGAATGCTGTTGCAGTGACACAGATCAGAGGAAATCCTGCCTAGTCTGTCCAATAGCACACAAGTTCAAGTTTGTTTATTATCCTCAGCCTGGGAAGTTTTTTTAATTTATCATCATCCATATTAAAAGACTATTTAGATAATGATGTACCAATGCAAATAACACATGGGATAATTATTTAAAATGCCTTATTGTCCCTCTTTTTCAGGTCCTTAATGCTTATTTTGTATTTTACAGCATTTTACAATGAGTCTGTATTCTATCTCCTTTTACATTTACAAAGGCAGCCATGGCTGTCATGCAGATAAATGTATATGCGCACACACTCCTGATTCCCTCCCCGCCACCTCCTACCACTGGGTGTCCTGTTGTAAGGCATTCATCAATTTCTTAAAGGGTCAGGGTGTAAAGAGTCAAATGCAGCAAGGTGTCACTCNGTTTATTATCCTCAGCCTGGGAAGTTTTTTTAATTTATCATCATCCATATTAAAAGACTATTTAGATAATGATGTACCAATGCAAATAACACATGGGATAATTATTTAAAATGCCTTATTGTCCCTCTTTTTCAGGTCCTTAATGCTTATTTTGTATTTTACAGCATTTTACAATGAGTCTGTATTCTATCTCCTTTTACATTTACAAAGGCAGCCATGGCTGTCATGCAGATAAATGTATATGCGCACACACTCCTGATTCCCTCCCCGCCACCTCCTACCACTGGGTGTCCTGTTGTAAGGCATTCATCAATTTCTTAAAGGGTCAGGCCCTGACTCTTTACACCCTGACCGTCAGGGTGTAAAGAGTCAAATGCAGCAAGGTGTCACTGTCATAAACAGGGTGTTATAGGCAAATACATTAAAGCTGCCACCTCAACTAAACACATAAAAGAGTAATTTTGTTAATCTGTAAGTATACAGTGACAGGATGTTGATTGGTGTTATTGTGATGGACTTTTTTCCCCTATTTTCTGATAATAGTANGTAAGTATACAGTGACAGGATGTTGATTGGTGTTATTGTGTGGACATAGAATGTTTTTAATATACTGATGTAAAAACCATGAATGGTTAAATAGAAGGTTGAATACAAATCATTACTATATGCTACTACTAACACTAGACAAGGCAAGGAAGATTTATTTGTAAAGCACCTTTCAAACACAGGGACAATTCAAAATGTTCCACATAAGGTGAAGAAATGCATTTGAATGACTTAAAATGACAATTTGAAAAACACAATAACAAGCAAAGTAAAAGGGAATCAAATAACTTTAACAATTCAATAAAATATAAGTAGACAATAATAAGGGTGGAGCAGAAATATTGTTGTTTTTTTTATCTTAGTGTTTGTCAGACAAAGAAAAAAGCTAATTGAAGCTGACATTTTAACGAGACTTGTGATGGACTTTTTTCCCCTATTTTCTGATAATAGTCATTAGTTGCAGCTCTAGGCTACGTGCTACAGCGCACAATTAATCTGGCTCTGTGCTCACATACAACAGGTATATTATGAAATAATAACCACAAAGGGCATGGAAACTACTGCGAAGATGCTATGCAAGACTTCTCCCCCTTGATAGTAGCACCACCTCGGGTCCCTCCTGTTCAAATGTCTGTACGAGCGTGAGGGTCTCGCTTATTTATAGTCTCGGGCAGTAGGAGAGAGGGAGGGAAGGGAGGTCACGTGGTTCGCCCTGATCTCCTATAAACATCGCATTCACCTCCGGTTAAGACGAGGGAAGCGTCAGGCTGCGACGCATGGGAGAAGGAGACGACTTTTTTCTTGTTTTTAAGCGAATGAAAAGTGCACCCAGCAAAGGAGTATGGCTCGTTTAAGTCAGATATAATACAGCGAATGTAAACATGGCTAAATGCGTCGTATAAAGCTTTATAGTACCTGGTTTCTTGACCAAAAAGTAACGGTTGTCCCACCGAGGTCCGAAGAAAAAGACTAGCACTTAACCGAAGCCTAAATTCAGCGACGATTCATGAGTAATTGTAGCTTTTTTATGTTAAGTCAACCCTTTGCGGTGTTTTTCCTCGGCAAGTACTAGCTTTACTATCAGAAATGGACCGAGGTGGCTGCCAGATGAGTGGCGGCGGCGGCGGTGGCGGTGGTGGTGACGGTAGTGGGCCCGACCGACAGGGGATGATCACACTGGAGGACCTCGAGTCTTTCTCGGAAGACCAGCAGTCAGACTCGGGCAACGGCAGCCTGGAAGAGGAGGCAGAGACCACGGAGGAAGACGAAGACCGACTGCTTCATTACTGGCAGGACGTAGCGAGGGGACACCAAGTGGAAGTTTCTCAAGGTAAAAGAAAATATGGCGAGAAAAAAAACAACTAGACATACAAGCTACTTTTCTTAGCTAACAAATAACTTTAATGTTTTAGTCCCAGCTTTCTTATTTGGGGTTTTGTCTTTCACATGAGGTGTACAGACAAGTAAAAACAACCAACAACGTGTTTGACTCAAGTTAGGTTACTTTTGCTCAACTTCCTCAAGAAATACCACCACTGTATCACTGTACACTGACCTAGTTTCTAATGAGATACAACCAGTTCCAGCCAGGACAACACATTTCCTGCCATTAAGACGTCCATGTTTTTCAACTTTAAGAATATATTGTTAATGCATGAAGTGCAGGGCCAAACTTCGTGGCAGACAGTCAAAAAACTGTTCAACTCCTTGTATGCAGACAGATCATTTAAAGGGCCAAACTGTTATACAGCAAAAACTATAAAGCACACAATGTGTTGTTTCCCCAAGTGTGGTCATAGGACCTCTAGGGGTCCCTGGAGGGATTTGTAGTGGGTCCCAGAAAGATGAGAAATATTTCAGTACCTCTGTTATTTTAATTGCTAATGGTCTGCAAAATAGTAACAGCTTTTTGTGTTATCTTGATTTAGAGAGCTTGTAATTGGTCTTTGATTTAGTAGTCCTATTATTCTACCACAACATATATATTCTAGATGTTTCTTTAGCCCACTTTAGTAAATAGGGGTTTATTGTCAATTGCATATACTTTTTGAGGCACATTAAGTGGAAACAATTGGGAAAGTCCTCTGTCACACTTAACACTGTTGCACAGAAAGCAAGAAATTGCAATTTAACCATGGTGTTTGCAATGACAATTGAATTTGCATGTAAACTTGCATTTGTTTTCACGGTCAGGAATATAGGGTTTGTACGGCACTGACAAATATATATAATATATAATAATAGGAAATACCCGTTTCTTTTAGCTTAAAATACTTAAATAAAACAGTATAATATTACAGACATTATAATAATATGGTAGTGATATTACTGTAGTAGTACGGTCTAATACTAAAGCAGTAATATTATGGCTAATAGCATAGTAATACTAGAGTTTGTGGTGTCGAGCAGTTAACTTGATAGAAAATGAATGGTAAAATAATATAGATAATAATATACATTTAAGGAATTCAAAGTGCCTGGTTGTCAGACAAAGAGACAGCAAAACATGGAGTGATTTATGACTACGCATTACCACTATATCCGCCATTTTGTAAGGCATATTGCACCTGTGAATGGTTTAATACTGTTTATAGTTTGCCTATATTACCTGCAATATGGAATATTTAATTTACTGAATAAGCCAAAAAAGCACACCATGATCATGCATTCTGCATGCATCAGATAGTCTAACAAATCAGATAAGCCGTGATAAACACTGACAATCATGTTAATGAAGCAGATGAGGTTTTTTCTGCCTTTAATATGACACTACCGCATAGCCTGACACAACAGTAACTCAATAGGGTTATGTGGATGTAAAAACATATACTCAACTGTATTGACACTTTTATATTGCCACTTTTTGAGGTTAGTACAGTAACACCTTTGGTCTTAATTCTGACATTAAATTTGATGATGATGATGGGTTTTGTTTTCAAATACTGGTGGTACCACCTTGTTTTGTTTAGTTCAGTCTGACTGCAGCTTCACAGGTGGCATGGCACGAGGTATTATTGTTTTTATAGGAATATGGTCAGGACTGCTTGAGGTTGGACTGCTTAGCAACCCCTGAACTGAAAAGATGGCCACTAGACCAATCCAGTGAGTGAGTCTGATCTCAGCATGCAGTTGAGCTGTACCTCGGGCAGTAATGTTGCAGTATGAAAAATGTTCTACAATGTTCTGTACAAGTCCAGACATTGTGCGTAGCTGAAGACGCAACAGCAGTTGTTTTGAACTCTGGAACCTTCCAAGTCGCTGCTATTCACAGATCTTGAAAACACAGACCTGGACAATGGACCCACTGAGATAAGCTAAACTTGAACATTTTCATTCCCAATGCACAGCAATTAAATGCTGTTTTCAAAACACACTTCAGATATCTAACTTCTCCTTGTAGGGCACAAACCAGTAAACAGTAAAATTCAAAGCCTTCTTTATAAGTTCAGTTCAGTTGTGTGGTTGCCCTATGAAAATCAGGTAACACGCTGGCACATCCTTGTTCCTCTGCCCTCAGACCACCACACTAATTGAGGACTTAGTATAAAATCACTTGTTGGGGCTTCATGACTCAGGGGGATTAGTTACCTTGCTTGCACTGGTACTGAGTTTGTAGCTTCTAAGTCCTGCACTACAATGCTGTCACTCAGGACACATGCCAAGGCCACAGTAAACTTCTTTACTCTAATTGGGACGGAGACAGATGAAGTGGGGTTAGGTTAGGTTGGTTTTCAGCTCATCATGCAGAAATGCTAAAAGCTGCTGAGCTAGTAGTTGTAGCTATTCATGCCACATGAACACATACAAGTTTAATTCCACTGAAGCTACTTAATAATTGTTTTTAAATCAAGTACTGTAAAGAACTGAGATAGTTTATATGATATCCATGGCAACAGGTATGGCTGTAAACACAAATCTATAGCAGTGAAACGGCCCGTTGTTTTTGTATTTTTGACTCTTGCAGTACAACCATTTGATGCTGTATGAAAGACCTTTATAGACTGTATGATTTCCATGCCTCCTCAGTAACGCTATTTACTGGAAACAAAGATGATATTATTTGCAGTGAATATTCGCAATGGCTCATTCCAAAGTAAAAGGAGGTCAAAGGTGCAGATATAATCAACTGATGTGTGTGCATGAAGGCATTGTCGCTTGTAAACAAGATGACATTCATTGCTCCAAAGACGCAGGCCAAGTGCACTCTCAAATGGCCATTGCACAGTGTTCTTTTTAACTTCACATCAGTGAAAACCAAATAAACACTTAGTAAACAAATCTGACTGCCTGTCTTAGTCTCCCTTCATAAATTCGGACAGTAATAAGTGCATTAGCTCATCCAAGAAACTACAAACACACAGCAGTATCCTCATGCCAAATAACACAAACCCAATTGCATGCTGATCTTTTGGCAGCACTAATCCGTTGTGACAACGCTGATTTTTTTTCCATTTTGTCAGTGTGTTTGAAACAGATTAATTGAAAACAAGTGTTAGTATATTTATTTGGTCTTTTCCCATCAGTACGGAGTGGTTTTGCTTTGCCACTGTAAGCAAGTGTTAATATGACAGACCAGTCAACATCCTGTAGTGGCTGACAAAGAATGGAGTCAATCAGCTTGCATGTTATACAACATGCCTAAGTCTTGCCAAATTCAAAAAATTTTAATTACTGTATGGAGCCTGTTTACCCAGTTATGTATTTAAAGTTGGTACACACATGTTTATTGACATTAGTGCCAGTAATTGAGTCTTAAGCAATTTCCTACTTCTACACTCACACACCTGTTTTCCTGTTGTGCAATTTTTCATGTAATCAAAGCCACAAATTAAATCACAGTCATTACTCATTATGGAGAGTCAAACTCACTTCTGGGTTTGCTGTTGTGCGACTTAACCTCTGCTCTAGTATGTATTTTTGCATAAATCTTTTTACTTAAGTAATCTCTCTTAAGATGAGACATGCCAACAGGGTTTGTTTCATATTCCATACAAAATGTGTATCCATTACTGTTAAGGAAATTTGTGAAACATTGTTCCTAATTAATATACACATTGGTGCAATTTCAAAAATGAAGTGAAGGGTATGATGTTTGTTAAGGTGGTCCAAACCTCACTGGAAACGTAGTTGTTGAAAGCTACAAAAAAAAAAAAAAAAAACAGGTTCCAGACTGAAAGTGTACGTGACTACAGGCCTGTACAGATTAGAAAGCCCAGGCACAAAAATGAGTGTGTGTGTTGACTGGGCGTGTTGACTGTTCTGCCTCAACACTAAGCAGCTCTGGAGGAGCTGCCATAAAAACTGAGTTTGCTTGTGTGTGCAGTACTTGCCTGCATGTGTGGATAACCACGCAGTGCTTTAAGGCTGCAGTGTGTTTTCTTTCCCTCCCTGTCACTCTCATTGAAGATACACATACCAACTAGAAGGTCATATCTTATTGTCAAATGTTCATGCTTATTAGCCGTCCTAAGCAACTCCCCTCATTAGTGGTTTATACTGTAGCCTTAATTTCACAAGATGCTGCTAAATGAGTTTAGATGTACACACATTCGCAAACACTCACACCCCAACCATCAGCATTGTTCGTTTTCAAATAATTGATCACCTAAATATCACAGATTCCTCTGACCCAGTTGTCCTCCATGGTATTGATTGACAGAATGTGATTAAATTGGGTTCACCTTGAGTGCCTTGTATTTGACAGTTCAACAATGGAACATTATGCTGTTATTTAATCTGACAACCTGATTAGAGAGTTTGTGCATTTATGCTGTTACTGTTTGATGCGGATACTGGTCTGTGGATGAGTTGCCTCTATGGCCCTCCTGCAGTATTATGCAGTAGGGTCCACACTTCATTCATTTTAAGCATGTGCAGCTAAACTAAAATATCTGTAACATAAGTGTACTAAAAGAATCTATTACAGGGTTGAATTCCTTTGGTTGGAGAAAGGTTGCTCCTTAAGTCACAGCTCAATAAAGGAGTTAGCTACATTGTTGATACATAAAATACAGCAAAGCCACCACTGTCCATTATTGTAGTACATCTCTGTTAATGCCAGTCTATACCTGGCCCTGGGCAGCTTTAGTCAGTGTTCTCTCCATCAGCTCTAATAAACATTACTCTCTGTGACATCCTGGAACAGTGCTCTACCCATCTGGCAGCCTGCAAGCAGATTACTGGAAATGAGGATGTTTTATATAGATTAGAGAGAGGTAACTGCAAGTGTATATATGATGTGAGTGGAATAAAGTTATATGGAAGTATGTACTGTATGTACACTGTATGGTATATGAAAATTATGAGAGGTTGCACATAGCCTTAATGTATTTAATGGTGTCAATATGCAGGCCCAAAACACACAGTATCAGCAAAAGAAGCATAACTGTATTTTATGAATGGCTAAAAAAAACATCTGCTTTGTTCTTTTGACTAATATGCAAAGTTGGCATCTGATTTGAACATCTGATTAAAGGTTTTGGGTGTTCTTGTTAAACAAAAACATACCACGTTGAGTATTTGTTTGCTCTCCTGAAAATATTTTTATCTATGTTTATTCATGGTCCATTTTTTGACCATGGTTTAAAATGACCAAGTACAGTTTGTTTGTCTGTTGACAGAAATGGCAGAACCCATTCAGCAGCTAACCAGCAACAACCAAGGACGCAGCACTCGGGAACACATCCCTTTCACTCTCCTTGCACGCAAAGACAAGGTATCTACCTGAATTTTAATACTTGAACCATGACAAATCATTTATATACCCTCAACCTGTGTTGAATTGTTCACACAATTCGTCATGTTCTTATTATATTACTTGTTTTTCTTATAAGTATGTTAGCAATGACATACTGTAATGTAGAAAACTGTGTATGCACCTGGGACTAGATGTACAAATTATGAACTTGTATTACTACCCAGTCTTTAAAGAGTAGCAGTTGAAAACCTTAATCTACTTGACAGGACTACCAGACTAACTTCTGGATGCAAGAAGCTCACAACATTGCAAAATATCTAAAATGGAGTAGCTAATAAAATCCACTTTGAGTTACATTATTCAACATGAACATAGAAATAACTTCATGATGAGATTAAATATTTTCTTGGAGGAGAAAACCATTCTAGAGCCCCTTATTTCTGCAGTTCCAGTTAAATTTGATTTAACTGGTTGTTGGTTCATTTTAGGACAGAGCTTTCCTGTACATGGACATATGTGTGTGTGTAGATTATGACGTCTACAGAAGAACTTTCATTTTATTGTTCTAACCAATAATTGAGTGGTTTAAAATACAGAGACACACTTAACAGCATCTCTATAAACCTTTAACACATTGTAGTGCACATACAACAACGCCAAATAGATCGGTCCTCTAAAATAAATAGGATTGAGAACATGACCAGCGTCTCTGACAGTCTACGATCACATAGTGATCTTCTGTATGAGTATAGGTCAGCTATTTATTTTTGACAAGATGACAGTGTCACTCAATACAATAAGCCTTTTAAACTCCTTAAGGGACCATATAAATAAAGAGGGCTAATTGGTTTAACTTGAGTTAATTAGATCATTAAAACTTGGCTGGACACCCCGGTTAAACAAAAGGACAGTCATGGCACTCTATTCTTAGAGCAGGTTTCAGTGCAAACTGCACGTTGACAGCCTGCAGACCTGAACCAGTGGGTCTTATACCTGAGCTGCTGTGGTTACAGAGCAAAGACAATGCCAAAAAAGTACACATCACATAATGATATCCTGTAGCAAGAATGCATCTTATTTTCATCGTTGATGCCTAATGTATCTAAATATTTATCAGAAAAGTTCAGAGATATCAATCTGAAAGGACTGTTATAACCTGAGGTAAATTTTTTAGGTTTATTTAATAGAAGTTAAAAGACACCAGGATATTTATTGGCTGTATATAAAACTTCAGATCAAAATCACAGAAACACATCAGTCATGATTACACCACCTCCCTAGTGAAATTTATTTCATTTTTATTATTATTATTATTTTGTAAATCTGTGGAAAAACTCTCACACTCGGGATGTCACTTCCTGATTATTCTCAAAAGGCTAAAATACTGTATCTCTAGAATGATTTTAATTGCAAGTTGTTAAGGTTGTATGGGTTGGGTAGCTTCCAGTTTGTCAGAACATTTGCTGACATTTCCAATGCCATTCTCCACTTGTAACAGAAAATTGGTTTCATAAGGATACTTAAGGATAATTAAATTTAACACAGTATTCATAAGGTGTTTAAATCCTAACTCTGTCTTTACTTTTTCAGTGTGGGGAGCTGCTCTATGAGAAACGCAACTACGAAAAAGGCCACTGGGCTTGCATAACAATGCGTGAGGAAACTTACGAACAGAGCATCTGTTATGGTTTTATGAGGATAATGAGATACATCTGCCAACAGAACTCTTCAGGTGAGCCCACAATCAAGAGACCATTCATGCAATCAGAGTGTGGCCTTTTGAAACCCAGCCTTGTCCTCTATTTCATTGGCTAATGATCATCTCCAAACCAATCATTTTTCACGCCAGCCTGACTGGTAATATTGACAGTTGCCATTTTTGTAATCTAGGTGACTACTTGGGCATGACGCTCCCCATCATCACAGTGGTACGCACAGATGAGAACCATTCTGTGATCTCCCATGATGTCACTGTGGCGTACTACCTTCCTGTTGAGCATCAGGCCCAGCCCCCACAACCATATGACAGTGAGATCGTTATAGAGATGTGGCCTGCCACAGTTGTGTACACAAGGTCAGTGGAGAATAAAATTAAAATGACCAGTTCCACTGTTCTAAGTTAACTCAGAGATAGTGTTACTGTGTGAGTCAGTGATCACTAGGGCTAGAATTAATGGTTGGCTTGTTTTTTTTTCTGCTTTCAGGGCCTTCACCGGTCCCACCAATGAAGTGACCATCATTAACCAGATCAATGCCATGGCAGAGCTGCTAGACTCTCCTGGAATGTGCGTCAATGACTCGTTCATCGTGGCCGGCTACACCAACCCCGCTCACAGCAACCGTCAGAATGAGATCTGGTTCCTAGAGCGACGCTGAGGGACAAGAGGATTAAGCAGTGTCCTCCTATCTGTGACCCTTGACCCTCATAAAGACTCCCTTAACACTGCCCCAGCTCAGCTACAGCCTCAGGTGTAACATCCTCTGTAATCATCACCTTTACCTGAAACAACCACCAGCCCTACACACTCCAGAGCAGTTGGGTCTTGATAAAGAAAGAAAAACTTAGCCCTTGATCTACTCTCAGTAAATTTTCAATTATGTTCATTTACATGGATCCTCATTTCACTCATAAGAACCAACTAAACCACTGCCATACTCTCATGGACACAATCCAGATGCTAAGGTGAAGCATAGCATTAATTTCCTGTTCTTACACTGAGATGACTTAAACCTTTCCTAAGCACAGCACTCTCTTGTTAAAGTTGAAATAGTTTTAACTCTTACCACTTAGATCACAGTGAACATTGGGTACTGTCCGAAACATGCAACAGCCTGTGTTTTCCACAACAGAAACAGGCCATGGACATGCAGCCTTATTGTGCTCCCTTTCTGTTTGTTGCACAGCCACAACGTCTTGTCGTGGGGTGAAGGTCAATGCACAACAGAAAAAAACAGTTTCTCTCTCAGTCTCTAGCTTGTCGAGACAATGTCAAATCTGTAATTATTTATCAACTGTTTGTTTTTATTTCTGGAGTACATAATTCACTAAAGGTGACAAGTCTATGTGATGCCAGTCACACTTTTTTTGTTTTAAAATGAAGTGCAATATTCTCCAGATAACCAACATTCAAGAAGCCAGTTATTACAGTTCATCGGCCACTAACATAACCCAATCTAAGGGTGTGTTCAGTTGCAGGTATTGTGGGTAAGAGGCAGCATGCAACACAACCTGATAAACGACATCCAGACCAGAACTAGTGGCTTGAACCATAAATAAGCTCAACACAATAGGTGGCCATAATTTCGAAAATATGAATGTATAGCTACAGAGGGAGGGTGAAAATATATGCCACACATCTACGAACCAAACGCTGAAACACTCACTGGTTTAACTGCTGAATGACAATCAGAAAGTACTTAATATTATTATATACTTATATTATCTGCATCCTTTTCTCTTAAGAAAAGGCTGTAATGAATTCAATGCATTCCTCATGTTTCAAACCGCTTTCACACACAGGAATAGTTACCTCTTTCTCATGCTCTTTCTTATTGCTACTCTGTGTCAATGTTAGTGAGTATGCATTCACTACTGTATTGCAAATGCCACTGCTGCTGAGTAGAGACAGTGCAACAGAAAAATAGAGCTCAGAGAATATCTCTACTGTGATTATACTCTTTTTTTTTTTTTTTTTTTTTTTTAAATAGACAAAAGTTCAATTCTGTTTTAGTTCAAACTGTTTCTAATGTTCTATAACCAATCTAAAGAAGAGTCTATGAAGTCAGAGTATATATGTATATATTCACTATATTTTAAAATAAAACATACCAATGCAATGCAACAAAAAAGCGTTAAACCAGCTACACTTAGAGTTCACAGTAATGTACGAACGTTTCTGCTTTGGAAATTTACATTGAATTTACTGCTTGGGTGCCAGTGAAAAAAACTGGAAGTAAACTAGCCAAATCATCAGTGTCAGCATTTTTACCAGGACAAGGGTGTCCTATGAAATGCTTAGGCAGCTCACACTGTGAAAAAATTGGTTTCATCTTATTTAATCCACAAGAAAATGTAAAGGAACTGACAGTTAAGGAAGTGTATTATTGGGTTGGGAAGGTTGCCCAGTCTTAAAGTCAAGCAGTTTGGTTGACATCAAGACATTCAAATCCAAAGAGTTTATTTTGCATTTAATGATTTAAGAGTTGATCTGTGACAACTGTAGTGTGTAAACTTGCAAAGCCATGATACATGTAGGTTTGTTTTCCCTTTAAGAGCCTGGTTATATGGGAACATCAAGTTTGAGGATTTAATTTGTTTTCCTTTCTTTTCGCTTAATTTTTTTTTTGTGTGTTTTGCAAAAGTGTGCTGTACTGTGAAATTTCAAGTGCAACAACAAGAGCTACTGTGGTTTTCTTTGTTCAATAAAAATGTGCTTGTCTCCTGTCTTTTGAAATCTACAGTGATGCTGGGTTTTATTTATTTTATTTTATTTTATATGTATTTTATTCTACACAGTCCTGGGAGTATTCCTGCAGAAACTGCATTGAGTAAATGATGTTCAGAAATATGTTGCAGAGAAATAAAAAAATTGTTCAAAGACTCAAAATGAAATTCCCCAAAGTTTTGAAATGTTGAATATAAGTGACAATTTATATTCCTACTAATGCAACAACTGAGCAGTCTCAGCTTTATATTCTAAGTTGGGCATAGAAGGTTGTGTTTCAGACTAATCTGTCCGTACCAACTTACTGTAGAAAATCAGTGAAGGGATTCCTTTTAATGGGATCAAATGTGGCAAACAAAAGGGGTCACACCCTAGTTTGTTCTGAGACGTGTAGCTTAACCCATCTCACAAAAAGAACCAGTGCTCAGTTACTGGAACATAGTAACATGATGACCTCTCAGAAGAGGGACCCACTCACACACACACACTACAGTAGTGCTCATTGCACAATACAGTACACTGTATACAGTGACTGATGGAGATAGTACAAGAAAACAAAAGGAAACATTAATAATTTGTTTAGCAGTTATAAGTTTACAGTTGAGACAAAGGTTAAAAATGCAATATACTCTAATAAACACGAAAAACAGTATTGATATAGAACTGGTGTGTTAAAACATGACATCTGTTTTTCTGAAAGTACAGATTCCTCAGTCACAAATAAAAGCACATTTGTTTAAATACACGATAGGTTTTCTTTTTGGACAAATTAATTCTAATTTATGTAAAATGCCACTAAAACTTAAACCCTAAATTACACCATCAGTTTCCATCACAACACGACACAGGGTGTAAACTTTATGACGGATATCTCAGCACTTGTTTGGAGTTGTGGCCTAGTTGCTCACTGACATTGTCTAAAAAACCTCCTTCTACGCTCAATCAAAATCCCAGTGCCAGGGCATGAGAAGAGAGGAGGCTACTTCAGTGGTTATATGGACAAATACTAGCCTCTAACTAATGGCTGTGATAAAATGGGCCAAAAACACACACAACTAAGCTCAAAGCACCTGTCTGCATGACTGGTTCATTTTTCTGATTTGCCCAATAACCATTAAATTCCACCTGAATAACTGCAGTAATGCTCATTTTACACCTGACTACAGTGTTATCTCTGTTTTGTGTGCTGTCTGGTCAAATTAAGGGAGGGCAGCGGGGCATGGAGGATAACAAGCAGGTTGCAGACGCCTTCCAGTCGGGAGGTAATATGAAGAGAAGGTGAAAAATGAAAGTCAAAGTAACTAAGGAAGAGTTCTGACTGTTACTACAAACAATCCAAGAAGAATCAAGAGCAAATACACAACAGGTCTAAACTTTCAAATGCAGGTGTCACATTCCAGACAGATGAAGTGTAGCTGCACATTTACAGTGCAGTATACACAGGTAGTGAACTAACCCCCAAAGGAGAGAGGGTCCGTTAATAATCCGGAAAATCTACCAACATTGAAAGCCAGACCACCGAGTGTAACAGCATGCTGCTTTCAAGACAAATCAATCCATTTAATATTAACTGACCCAGTAAGAACCACACAGCAAAAGAAAATGTGTGTGATGCACAAAAAAGGATTACAACTGAGGATTTCTTAAAACAGAAGCAAGCAAACATTAACCACAAGATGGCAGCAAAGCACCAAAAAAACAAATGACACACACCCTACATAATAATAAATACAAACCTAATGTCTCCAACAGGGGAAAGTTTGAATATAAAACTAAGTTTTGTCTAAGTTTGAATGAGCTTATCAGTTTGTGTGTTTGTGTATTTATCATTGATACAAATGTGACAGTGAAAGCACCATGGACAATAAAGACTCAAACATGAATAAATTAGTAGATTAATTTGATATCAGCAAGGAAGAAAGCCATTCTTGGTGCTTGGCATTGTAAAAAAGTGACCTTTTTCAAATCCGCTAAACTCTGACTGTTATGTCAGGTGTTTATTTGTTGGAAAAGAGTAGAAGCTGTAAAGGTGCTTTGCTAAATATGATGCATCACTGCATGGGCCTACCTGCAGGTAGCGTGCCTGATGAGCAGAAAGGGCCTCTCCCAGAGGAACCACCACTTTCTCCACGCTGCGCTGGTGGGAATGTGCCTGGATGTCTGGGCTTTCTTCTGAACGCAGCTCAATGTGGGAGATGAGCAAATTAGAGATCACCGACTGCACCGACTGGAGGGATGGAGTAAGAGAGGAATATTGGAATCAGATTTCAGAACAATTAAATTGAGAATTAAAAAAACTTAGGGTATATTAGACCAGAGAGACAAAAAGGATTTACAGGCACAGATACTGTATATTGTTCCTACCTTTGTATCTCCCCCTGGAGTTGCGCTAAGGGCCAGGATGCGGAATTGCAGAGTCTGGCTGCCGAGCTGTCTGATCACCTGAGTAACAGGGAGAGGAGCAAGTACAGAACATTTCTAACACCTTATATGGATGGATTATTATGATTAGATTATTGTATGTAATGAACTAAAAGTCCAAAGAGGCAAACCTAAAGAGGCATTCCTGCTAGAAAATAGAAGTTGTTGATTAGATAAAGTCTGCTATTACGGTATGTGTAATTTTATATTACAATGTGGATAGAAATCATAATGCAGAATATTTTCTGGAGATTCAACTGAGAACCTCTTTATGGATAAAGTAACTAGATGGAAACTTAATTTTGGCTAGTTCAATGAATTAAAAACCTCACAAATCCTGGTACTTCAATACATTGATGCAAAAACCATATAAAATGGCCAAAAAGCAGGGCTGCTCACTGATTTACATTTTCCCCATGGGCAGCACAAAAAGAGAAGTTATAAGTAAAGCTACCTTGGCATACAGTATTTTGTCATATCACTTAATCCTTCCAAGAAATGCATCAATAGAAGTGAGTGAGGTCTCACATTGATATCAAGATGCTTTTTATTGTCACAAATCTAAATAGCTACAGTTATAGCAACAGCACCTTCACTGGTGTGTGAACATCCAAATGATGCTCTGAGCAAACACAAAGAGGTTTCACTATGGCCTCCACTCTCTGTAATGCACTTTTTGAAACCACTTTTCACATTCATGAGAGTGAATGTTGCTTAATGAAGAAATATTGTGGGTAGATTATCACTTTAAAATCATTTTATTGCAGGTTCAATCAGAATTGGACTTGACAAGTAAAATGTAACCTGAAAATATAGTCAGCAGTGATGCATAACTGAATCGAATGGCAAGCTGTGATCATCAGTGGAAGGTTTGTGTACCTGACAGTAAGCGTGGTTGCCCAGTGCTTTGTGGGCTTCATCGATCACCACACACTTGACCTGCTGAGCCGGGCAGGTGTCTCTAGTGAGATCATTCACCATGACCTGAGGGGTGAGGAAGAACACGCGCTTGGACCTCCACACCTCCTGTCTCTGCTTTGCTGCTGTGCTACCTGTGAATTGGTAGATGCTGTCTTGTTAATAATGGCTAAAAGGTGAAAGACATTTTTGTATGATATGTTTTTACCTGTCAACTCAGCCATGTGTGCCTGTGGGATCCCCATCACTTTATAACAGGCCTCGATCTGTTGTGCCACCAGAGGTTTAGTGGGAGCCATGAATACAATCTTCCCCGATGGATACCAGCGGTAGAAGTTGTACATAACCACAGAGGCTATAAAGGTTTTTCCCAGACCAGTGGGAAGACACACCAGTGTGTTCTGAAACAGGGCAGCCTCTGATATCTTCAGCTGGTACTCTCTGATGGGGTAGTTAGTAGGGTAGATCCATACCTTAGCTGAGGAGCTGTCAAACCCAGGGAAATCTGGATATGTCTGCACACCTGACAGGATGGGAGAGAGAACACTGTTCTCTGTTCCTACAGGGTTGTCATCTTGAAAAAAGTTTGCATTATCAAGCTGAAGGGTCTTTTCAGCTTCGTAGACAGCAACCACCATAAGATCATCGTCGTCATCTCCATCTTCATAAGCAGGTACAGGGTCCTCAATCCTCACTGGGATCTCTGGTGTGTATGTGGACCCCTGACCTATTTCAGTCCATAAAGGATTTCGCGGAGTGTGTGATGTAGCTACCTGAGCCGTGTTGCTTGGGGTTGTTCTGCGCCGTCGAGCGTCATCTTTCTTTGGTTGAACAAATTTGTTTTGGGAAACTGCGACACCCCAAGTCTGGAACAAAGTCCTCTGATTTGAACCAGTACTACTCATTTTCTTCAGTTGTGGCGTAAAAGTTTGAGAAAATGTTCCATGTGACGAGCAGCAACATTGCAAACTGAATATACAAACACCGGGTCTCTTCCGCTAACGGTTTTCCAAAATATAACACCACATACATAACAACAGTTTTATTCCAGAGCTATTTCGGTCGCTTGAATATAGTTGATATTGTAAAATTGTAACTGCATTGTGTTCACGGCAACATATGAAGCTAAATTCTCATGGTTTTCGTACATCGATAAATTTTACAAGGACAAGCTTTTAATTTTTGAGCTTGACACCGGAAGAAAATCAAAAGTTCGAGTTCATCTCCCGCTTTCCGCGATAGCGCTGTCATGTAACCATAGCAATGGACAGAGGCAAATGGGAGAAGATACTCACCCATTTTCAGGTAATTATGTTATCCAATTATTCTGCTTTAAAGTTGTAAAGCACCAAGCTTCTTCTTTATACCTACAGCAATTTGCAGCCAATTGTTTTCTGCTAGTTCGGGATGTTTAGCTACTTTTGCTAACCCTTGAAAACAACAGCTAATGTTGACTACACCTAATGGCACTGGCCAAACAAAAAAAAACAGTACTACAGTTACCGTTACTATAGTTACTCTCCTCTCCTCGATAGGCATGTGCACGTGGACACTTGGTGAGAAACGAAGTGCGACGTGCACGAAAAGACTTTGAAGACATCGTGAAAGAGATTGATGGAGGCTTGACCCATCTACAGTGGAGGGACTCGGTTATCCCCATCCCGCACTTCACAGACACTGTAGGTAACTGGAACTGTTATAAGAGTGGCTTGTAATGAGCTTTTTGATACTTTATTCATGTTGTTTTTTTGCTCACGCATAACCAGGACGGCCCGTTTCTACGACCCAGCAGCGCTGCCAGCAAAACTTCAGATCCAGGGCTAGATGTCAGTGCGAGTCCCCAGAGCCCAGCAGCAGCAGCAGCCTTAAGGCAGGAGAGAGGGGGAGATCATGATCTCTTTCCACAGAAGATAGCAGCTGAGAGAGATGATTCAGAAACGAAAGGCCAAGACCGTCATCCCAGGGACTGTTTCCCTAGCAGCCATACTGGGGGGGATGGGGTGGGCCAGAGACAGAGGGGTGTGAGGGACCAGGAGGGAGATAAAGATGGGGGGATCATGGAGAGCACAGGAGACTCCACCACCGTCTGGAGCAGTTTGGAGCTAGATGTGAACTACAGTCACTCTCACCAGGGTGAGAGATGTGCACATAATACTAGTGACGCTAGTGATACTTGCTCATTTTATGCTTCAAAGTGTTTTAAAAGTTTTGAAAGTAGAAAACCTTCAATTTATTTGGCTTATCTGTCACTACTTATTTATGTCAAGAGGTGGGGAAAAGATTGCATCTTGTACCTCCTTATTTTCACAATCAATTAGGCCTATAAAATATAATAAAATGTGTGAGAAAAAGCCTATCTCAACAATCCTGAACTCAAAGATACGCAATTTACAAATACATGAAAGAGAAAAACACAATATTTCTTTTTTAGAAGCTAGAAAAAGTGAGTGTTTGGCATTTTTCTGTGATTAATAAATGTACTAGTTCAACAGTTGCTAAAAAATATGTACTGACTCATCAATCAGTTGTTTCAGCACTGATCTTGTGTAAGCACTGCAAAAAATATCCATCACAAAATGACATGTTTACTATGAAATATATAAGTCAGTGACCTCTGTCAAAAAAATTTCATGGCTTCAAGAAAATTGTCCAAACAGAGAGAATTCTCCACTAGTCAGAGTGTTTGACCACACTGGGAGGTTTTCACTTGTTTAAAAGGGGGTAGGGGGTTGATCATAAGTAGTAATTTTATGATGCACATAAAGTGGACTTCTATTTCACATGTCTGGTTTGACTCATATCTGGTGCAGTGAAAAAACCTTATCAGTCATTTCAGATTTGCTATATCCCCTCCAGGTCCCCGGCAGTACTGCTTGGCTAAGGAGGTGCCCCATACACCAGAGGCCCTGCGTCTCCATAGAAACACCCTGACCATGGAGCTGGTTTGGCTACAACAGGCCATAGACAGCAGGAAAAAGGTAAGTTGGAGAAAGGAAGAGATGTAGTGTTTCCTTATGTTTATTCAGCAGTAGCAGTCTCCTGCTGTAAGGAAATTGCTTCTGCTGCAAGCCAGAATTCCATTTACTGACCTCGATAACAAATCAGTACAACAGGTCCAAGAAGTAGCATTTCTCACAGAAAAAAATACCTGCATTGTATCAGTATCAGAGTAATAACCATTGCCAGAAGCTACTTATTGACTACAATCAACATGGTCAGAAAGCTGCAACGTAGCCAACTTCTAAACATGGATCCTGAAGCTATCTACATGGTTCAATCTGCTTCTCCGGTCTTTGCATTAAGTACATAAATCTCTTAAGGCTGTGTCTTAGCATGTTCAACTGCCTGCATCCTTTGCACTCAGACTCTGCCGAACAAATCCTGTAACTTATGTTTAACCATAAAGCCATGAAGCACTTTGCAGCTGCAGGGGGCGTAAAGGTGCCAAGATATGGATAAATGTGCAAAGATAACACTTAATGTCAACTGCACTTGAACTCAGTAAAAGCAGGATTTGCTAATCCGCCCTAGCGTTTAATTTTTTTAATTCAGCTGAGCACAGAAAATCTTAACTGACATGAACTACCTCAGAAGAATCACACTGAAATGGCAATATGTTTGTAATAATTTTAGCTATAAAACCAAAAACGATCGTTTTCCCCTCTTTCTTCTTCCCCTGCAGTACTTGTCACTGAAGGATAGGCTGACCATATCCTGACAGCAGAAGTAATATGAACTGGACTTGATAATGCGAAGCCCTCACTCTAACTGCACATGTTTAACCTGTTATTATACCTATATTTAAAGCAATTGCTTTCAAAAAGTATTTATCATGTGCTTGACCAAACCTGTACTGTGTATGTTATTTGTTAATGTAAAATTATGAATAAATGTTATTTTTCTAAAATGGTTTCTTTCTCTTGTTTTTGTCACTGCACTTGTTTTTACTTATATGATCCTCTTTGCATTAATCGCAAGAGCCTGAGGTAGTTAACTATCGTGTAAGAGGAAGCTGTATTGAAAGGAATTCATGGGAGGATCCTCAGCTCTAAACAAGTTTGTTTTGTCTCACAGAAGTTCAAATTTCCCATTTGGATTACAATGAATGAGCTCTCACTTATCACATGAGGTGTTCATCTTACAAATATTCACACAAGAGTTTCCTATTAAGATGCAGTTGTCTTATGGTATTAACGTCATTAAAGAGCACCCCAGGAAAGAAGCATTTTAAAGCTAAAAATAATCATTTTTCAGGATTTTCAGCAATGGTTCTGTCACCTTGTGGTTCTTAACGCTTGCTTGCTAATGCAAATTCCCCTGATGTATTTGGTAATGGTTTTTAGGAAAATAAAGACAACTGGGTGTAGAAGTTATCTTATTGATTCAGCTTCACAACACAGCGACCCACCCATTCTCCCCTCCTCTTGTCTGTCTCTTTTGTTGTGGTTGCTGCCGATGGTTTGGCCAGCAAAGCCAGTCATTGCTGGCTGTGCTGCCATAGCAACCAGGAAATACTTACCGCCGTCAGTGGAGTAGTGTGTGTGTGTGTGTGTGTGTAAGGGGGACAGAGAGGAGCAGAACGTGTGTGGGAGTCCAGACAGACCACAACAACAGAAGGGACTAATTTTCACCTTTGCCTTCAATCCTGCGATTTCCCTGCTTCATCCTCCACCAGGCTTGTGACTGACTGAGCAGTGTGTATGGATCAAAGATCATGTGTTTGTATTAATGTGTGATTGTTGAACAAGTGTGACCCAAAAACTGTGGAGTGTATCTGCTGTATGAAAATGGTCAAAAAATGTAACTGGAAACTACATGATGGGAGATAATAATGTGCTATGTGTGTGTGTGTGTGTGTGTGTGTGTGTGTGTGTGCAATATGGCAGTAACAGCTGGCTCAGAGATGGCTGCGAGCACTGCAGCCACAACTGTCCTGCCTCCGGTGAAGAGCGTGATGGTGTACAGGAATGGTGACCCCTTCTACAATGGACGGAGGTTCGTGGTCAACCAGCGTCAAGTGGCCACTATGGAAGCTTTTCTCAATGAAGTGACCCAGAACATCGGTGCACCGCTTGCCGTCAGGACTTTGTACACCCCCAGGCAGGGCCACAGGGTCACAGACCTCCAGGACCTTCAGACAGGAGCCCAGTATGTTGCTGCGGGCTATGAAAGGTTCAAGAAACTGGAGTGAGTAGAAAAGCCATTTACAGAGCTGATACTGGGGGGTCAAGATCCATTAATAGAAGACATTCTGTCTCTTAAATGACAGTAAATGAATTTGTTGTTGGCTTTTCTTGTCATGTACTGTCTTCATGTATAGCTACCTGAACGTAGGAGCAAAAAAGCAGCCTGCTGCCCACAAAGAAACCCAGGTAGGCTTTTATTTTCTCACGTGGGCTGCTTCCTTTTTTTTTTTTTAAGTTTACAGCACAGTCCGTAACTCATTAATCCCAGTCTAACCAGGAGGAATGAGGAATGCACCACCAGGTCGCACTGCTCTTATCGAATTGATCCATTTGTGCTCTTGCCAAGTCAAATAGGAAATTGAGTGCAGGATTTTCCATTACCGAGCTGAGCTCATATTTGCCTATAAATGTGATGACATTGTTATGTTGGCATTAGTTAGATTAGATTACTTTGTTTGTGTGTGTGTGAGTGCGCACGGGTCACCCTTTGCGTGTACCTTCCCATTGATGTCACTGGTTGTCATGTAAATTACCATAAATAATAGGCTAATGATTGTGTTGTCCATCAACCAGTCTGTCAGGGTGGCTTTTCAAGGCTCTCATGTGACATTAGATTCAGTAATTATATCTGGAGTTCATCAGAGATTAGAAATCCCCAGAGTGTATCAAAGGTTATCATCTGTTTCTCTTTATTGATTAGAATTTAAACTTTTCTTTTCTGTCAATTGACAGGAGGATGGGAGTCTTACTGTATGCAGGCAGAAGCAACACACACACACACAGCCACTCAAGCTGACAAGTGCTCGCTTTGTATTCTGACCAGCTGGCAGGAATGAGTGTTCAGATGCAGAGTGTGCTCTCAGTCTTAAGCAATGTGTTACTTTTCTGCAAAACATAAAGGAGTGGAGAGTAATTGTGTGTGCCTTGGGTGTCTGCCATTTGGAAAGAAGATTTTTTTTTTTGGAGCTAGAGTCTCAGGTTTTAAAGTCTTAAATGCCTGTGTTGTGGTTGCTGTGGAGCAATGCAGGAGGAAGTGTGTCCATATAAGAGTGTGTTTGATCCTGCTGGTGAAACAAAGAGTTATGCTTCCACACAGTGTTATCAGGGCTATGTGCATGTCTGGGCAGGCCTCATGCCCATATTCACCTCCCCATGCCTCCCTCTCTGCTCAGACACACTGTCAATGCATTAAATGTCTGCCCTTTCAAAGTAAAAACAATAAGGGAAGATGATCAATGTCAGTTTTTGTTCTGAGTTGATTGATTTATTCTAGCTGTGTTATCGGAAGCAGACGCGGATATTGGCTCCAGATTTCTCAGAGAGGAGCCCAGCTCAGATCAAATGCAGCGTGTGAAAGTGCCATTGAAGAAGCCTTGAAGTGACGTTTAGTTTCCATGGCTGCAGCTTTCGAGCTGACATGAGCAGAATAGTTAGTCAGTCATTTCAAATTTGGGATAACTGATTTTGCTTTGATGGACGTGCAGTGTAATTGATGTGAAGGACACGAGTGACGTAAATCTAATGAGGGAATTTTCAATATTGCAGAGAAAATGACAAGATTATGATGTTCTGCTGTGCCATGCATCTGATTTTCTGAATGTCCCCTCCAGGCTAAAGTAACCCAGAGGCCAAATGTTTCAGCTAAATGGAGGAAGTTTATACCTGTACCTTGCATTATACAGTGAGTTGGTCAAACTACAGGCAAACACACACATCTAACTATCCATAGCACATGTAGATAGTATCTGGGAGAGACTTTCTTTAAAGGATAGCTTCACATGTTTTAAAGTCTGTTTTAAAATGAATTATGTATATTGACATCTATTGCTGTAATTGTTTCTCGCATCCATACTGGATGTGACTCTACGAAGTTGAGCCAAGGATAGTCTGAGGCCTCAGCAGTCAGACTTAGTCAAATCAAATTAGTATCTTCTAAATAAACTGTGTTTTTAAATGTGGTCTCAGGCTCTCGGTGGCTCAAATTCCAAATGCATTTGTCCACCAAACCAGCGCAGTAGATTTTGTTTCCCATGTCTTACACTGGAATAACATTAGGAGGAGATCTCGTTATGGCCAGTAGAGACAGGAGGAACAATTAGTGACCAAAAAACATTTTTATGGGCAAATGAGTATTGTTTAAGACAAACTTGAAAAAAAAAAGTGAACTCCTCCTTTAACGCTTTTGTCCAGTGTTTTCCGTAATGGAGATCTCCTGTGTCCACCATTTCGATTCATCATTCCTCGGAGCATGCAGCAGGATCTGGAGCAGATCCTGAGTCTGGTCACAGAAAAGGTCAGCCTACGAACCGGAGCTGTGCGCAGGTCAGTGACACCGACGGACAGGCAGACACAAACACACACACACATATATATACATGTATATATATATATACTCTCTGTGGAATTACAAATAAAGAGTGGGAGAGAAATCCACTGAATACCTCTCTAACGCCTTTGCTTCACCAGGTTGTGCTCTTTGGAAGGAGCAACTGTGTCCTCAGCTGGGGAGCTGGAGACTGGCCACTGCTATGTTGCCGTGGGAACCGAGAGGTTCAAGAAACTTCCATATGTGGAGCTGTTGGTTTCAAAAGCTACAGAGAGGTATTGATATGCAAGGTCCTCTGTGAGTGTGTGTAAAGACACATGTTGGTGTGCATCTGTGCTGGCTATTCTGCTTTATAGAATATAAACAATGATCGTCAGACAAGAGGGGACGTGAACACAAAGATACTGTGCACTTTTATCTCTTGCTTTCTTCACACTACAGTGCTTTGTCTTCATTTTGCAGATATTACCCAGGAAAGAGGAGGCTGTTGAGGAGAACTGAGGTACCTTCAGTTAATACTGTCATTCACTCACCTTATTTTAATTGTCATACTACAACCTACAGTTAATTTGTGTGTTTCCTCTCAGAACGGGAAAGCAGGAAGCGGTCCAGAAGACCAGTACAGTGACTCAGCTCTCCTCGACTCCCCAGAGGTAAAAAACAATCCTCCTCTGTCTCGTTTTCACACTACAGAAGCTATATCAGGACTGTTAATTTGTTTGGTGTACACTGCCTAACACATTCAATACACTAGTGAGACAAACACTGCAGGGAGCTTTTTTTTCTTTTTCTATGTGTAATATTCAGTTGCATCCTGTGAATTTCAGTCTGATGGTCGGAGGGTGAAGTCAACAGGAGATGAGGCTGCACCTCCACAAGCCACGCAGCAGAGGAGCAGGAGACAGGGAGCAGAGGAGACGTCTGCGTTCTTTGCCAGGCCGGTCAAGATCCGCAAAAACAGAGGACAGACAAGACTGCCACTCAGTAATGGATCTGGTCAGGAGCTCTCTAACAAATCTAATTTTATCTCATTTAAAATCGAATGTCTTCACATTCAAAAGGAGCATGAATATATATTTTTTTGTTAACGAGTAAAGCAGCAGCAGCTTTTCGATGTCTGTTTATCACAGTCCAGCCTAGCGTATTTAAACGAGCAGCACGGAGGAGGAGAGACGAGGTACGAGGAGCCGAGGAGGTGAAGGAGGATGAGAACACAGCTACAGAGCTTCCTGTTGACCAGGTTAATGTACCAGTCATCTCTGTGTTCATTAAGTCTTATACCTGTGTGGTACAATACTGCTATTAAATGTTAAAATATCAGTCAAGGAGATAAGTTTATTACATGTAAGTATATGCTTAAAGCACTAAATCTAAATCTGTCTCTCAATTCCTCTAAGAGAGTGGCAGAGGTGGTGGAGGATGAGGAACTCAACAACACAAACAATCCTCCGCACAGCACAAAGCAGGTAGACGTGACTCAAATCATTTTTTCACATTCATTCACTGAGGGTATAATTTAGAAAATGATCAATTCCAGAAGGTGGTGGATCCATGATAGTCTGGGTGAAAAAATATTTCATGTATTTATGCATTATTGTGCCCTTGCTAGATTAAAATCTACACAATGTGAGTGATGAATATGTTACATACTTTAATCTGAAAATGGAAAAGTAAAGAGCGCAATCAAACCAAACCAGTCCAAAAGTCATTGCAAGTTCTCTGTGTTATAATTCCTTAATTTCCATGTAAAGTAAAATGATTTTGTCACTGTCATAAACACTGATGATACTGTCTTCAGCGTGTGGGGAAAAAAAACAAACACATGAAACCCTGTTCTGTTTTTCTCAAGAGAGATGCACAAATTATAAAGATCGAGCAGCACAATGAGAGAGAGCCCCCACACAAATACAATGGAAAACAGGTAAAGTATGTGCGAGTGGGTGGTTACATTTAGATAATCAGAATACAAGTGTCAAATTGAAAAGGTTCAGATCACTTTTTCTGTATAAATGGGTTCAGAATATCATCTTTTTGTTCTATAAAAGGCTCAGTCATCTGAACAAAATGGTGTGGAACAGACAAAAGACTCTGCCAGGGCTGAGAAATCTGCTGCTGAAATACTGGTACACACAACTAACCCTAACCCAACTGCTTAAAGCAGTATGTAACAGCTTACGTTCAGTAGTGTACGGATACATAAAAATTAGTCATCAATGTGACTTTCATTTCAAAAGGAACCTGAGCTGAAGCACACATCTTCAACGTCAAGGCCTTCATCGTCCAGCTCTCAGGGAAAGAACAGGGGAGAAAAGGCAAGTTTACCCACCTCCCATCTTAAATCAGTGCCTGACCATTTTTTTCTGTAGCAAGGCCCGATGAAAATGTCTGCTTGATTACGCTGTTTGAATCATTTGCTCTAACAGGACAGCCCACAGGACGTCCTGTCAAATACAGCAGAACAGAACCATCATCAGGACGACTTGTGAAGCACAGAGGATTCATCAGAGGTCACATCGGCCAAAAGCACGGCAGATAACCAAGCATTTACTGTTTACTGCTTCAGCGTGACCCATGTGGCTAAATGAATGTTATTACTCGTAGTACTTTAACTGTGGTATTGAGCCAAGAACAACGTTCATAAATGTTGTTTTCTTTAGAAGACAAAAATGGGAACTTGCTCAGATAAAATAAGGAGAAACACGACAGGAGGAGGACACAATATCATAAACTCAACTCAAACTCAAGCACAATACAAACCACTGCAACAACTCCATAAAACTGACCCTGAAAATGATCACACAGGAAAGTCAACACCTCTCCTCAAGAAAACAAGAAGCCTGCAGCCATGCAAGCAGCTTTTTGTATGTTGGCACAGTGGCACTAAATGCTAACCTCACTGTGCTCACTAAGCATGCTCACATTAGCAGTAAACACAAAGTACAGCTGAGGAAGAATATTATTGGTTATGCAGGTATTTGTTTATAAACCAAAGTATTGGACCAACTGAAATTTTGTTAGAGGATCACCAAATATATGACACTTCATCCTGAGGTGGGGACGTGAATGTGTACATAATGTCATAGCAATTCATCCAACAGTTGATGAGGCATTTCACTAAAAACAACAAATGCCAACCTGTTGGAGGCACTCGAGGACATGTCATCACCAAACTCAGTGGGATTGATCCTCTTTTATAGCAATCTGTCTGACAGCTGTTGAGAGTGGTGGATCAGATTGCCACACTGCTTGCATGGCCAATAAAAAAAAAAAAAAAAACAGATTGTAAGCTTCACAAAGGCTGCATTTGTTACAGGGTTTTGCATTATATCGTGTAAGTGTTTTAGATATTGTGTCCATCCTGTTTTACGGGGATAATTCTGATGCAGATATTGAGTAGATGATCAATGATGCAATTAATTACATTTACAATATGTACGTAAGAAACAGTGTTCTGGGACATTTAAAGCCTAACTGTATTTTGATTTGGAGAAAAGCACAGATGAACAATCATGTTTTGCCAACAATTTATTATTAAAACATCAGCTACACGACAAGCTGAATAGATGCAACAATAACAAAGTCATCTGTACAGTGCTCTGCGTCAATTAAATACTGTGACAATAAAAATATATATTACTATGGATGTAATTTATTTCTGAATACTGAACAACTTGTGGTCAATCAAGGTCACTCACCCTTATAGCAACTAAGTCTTTTATTACTCTTCCTTCACAAAGAAAGAAAATTTCACTTTAAAAAAATAACAGTGGTACGTCTACCTCAGTAATACATCATGTATACAAGGAAAAAAAGGATTATCCTCCTGCTATACAGCAATTTGTCCTCTTCTGTGTCTAACACACATCACAGCAGAAGGAAAGAAGCAGCAGTAAAATGCCCCTGCTTAACCAGGAGGTGACATCTAATTGGTCCATTTCAAACTCCAGCCTTATTTGACAGTGGTCCCTATTTTTATGCAGATACCAGTCACATGGTGGGGCAGCAGAGTGTTTAAAAGTTAACAACCACCAACCACTGATTTTTATGTGAGCATCATAAATCTAATCTAGCTCTGGGGTGAACCCTACATGAACCCGCTTCCCCTTCAACTTCATCTTCTGAAGCTCACGCTGAGTTCATTCAGGCACAGTTCCCCCACCAGAACCGTTGCTTTGAGGAGACGTTGCCGGAATCTAAATTGCCCCCTGCAGTCCTGCTCTAACTCTGCCATGCCCTTCTCTCCTTCCCTACTAAGGAATCATTTGAAGGTACAGAAGAATTTCCACTCAATCTGATCTCTGTTAGTGCACAGGCTGAGCCATATCCCGCTTCCCAGTGTCTTGGTTGTCGATGGAGCTTATAACACACAGAGTGATGCCAGCCATGGTGAGAAACATTCCTACGACTGCCTCTGCAGAGAGAGAGGTGTGTGGGGGAGGATTTGACAGAAAATGAAAGTAAAAAAAATAAGACATAACACAACCAGTAGAGTATTCTTCAAGGAGAGGAGGGAATTAACTGCTCAGTAATGTATTCACAAGCCACTAAATTAATGTTGAGTAAATATCAGTTGTGTCTTGTTTATATGACTTTGCTGAATTAGTCACTAAAATCTCTAAATGTGTTCCAGTGTTTGATCCTAAAGCTTGTATCATCTAAATTCCTGGATCTGTTGTTATGGGAATCAATATCACTGGCTGTGATAATCTATCAGTATCACATGTGTATCATGTGTGTCTTACGTTTGCCTCCAAATTCTTCACCCAGTAGCTTGCCTGTGAGCAGAGTGCAAAGGAAGGTGAGAGAGTTGGCCACTGGAACAACAAGCGATAACTCTGGATAGGAAGAAAGTGAGAGAAAATGGATATAACATTTGCCAACATCTTACCATCTGCCCTAATTTAAACTCATCATTCACTTCATAAAAACATGGTCTAATGCAAAACGCCAAATGGAGAATGTCCAGCACAGAATGTTGTGCTCTGAGTAGGAAAAGAGGAAGAAAAAAAGACTTAAGAGGAATATGAATATTAGAATTAAGTGGGATTTGGAAAATCAACAGAAAACGTATTAGCAATTATTTTGATAATCCTGTTAAAAGTAATTTTTCAAGCAAAAATGCCAAATACTTTTATGTTCCAAATCATCAAATGTGAGGATTTGCTGCTTTGCCTCTTCTTAAATCATAGTAAATTAAATATTAATTATATATTACATAAATTTTCCAATGTTGGTCAGTCTAAAAAAGCAGTTTCAAATGAACAACTTTGGCTCTAAAGGATTGTGATTAACATTTAAAAAAAAAAAAATCAGATGATTCAGTAATAAAAATAACCATTGGTTGCAGACTGGTCTTAAGAGGACACGCAGGGTATGAATTTCTGACTTGTAAATAGTGTTTATGTCAACTTCGAAGTCATAAATGTGACTGTCAAACTCAGATTCTTCTGAAAGCTCAAATACATCTGACTTGGCGCTTATTAATTTGAAATTTCCTGAAAAATAAACATATGGATACCAATTACCATTGTTTTGTGTAATTAAACCCTAATTTAATTGCTATGTAGTTATATTGGCAATGCACATCATTTTAATCCTTACACAATCAGCATGGGAATCTTTCCAGTCTCTACCATCCACCTCACATGATGTGAACAAAGAAATTCCACATGGCATATTTGATGTGTCATGGCTGGAATAGCACAGGTGTAAGTAATCACACTGATGACAGCTACATTACATTTAGGTGAGTCAATGATGAAACCGTGCTATGATTGATGTTATTAGTTACACCTGTGCTTTTAATGCTAAGACAAGTTTAAATGTCTGCTGTGAAAGGGCTACTAGCCTGTGTTACAAATGAACCCTATATTTTCAGTATTACAGAGGCTACCATTAGACAGTGATGAAGACAAACCTCAAGTGCATGACTCACCTGAGGTGGAAAGTGTATAATAGTAGATCAAAGAGCCACTCTGGTTCAGAAGAAAAGGGATCAGGTACTGGACAAGGGAGAGGGTGCAATATAACCAATTATAAGGAAAAGTAATGATTTCGCATATATACAATATCAAAGGAGAAATAACATCAGGCTTACCTTGATGTTAAGGAAAAGAAACTTGATCTCAGCCAGTAGCTGTGACACTCTGTTGGTCTCTGTCACCTTTTCTAACCCATCTGTACCTCTCTTCAGGAAAGGGTTGGTGCAGCCCCACAGCAAAGACACCAACAAGAGACTCAGCAGCTCCACTGCAAGACATGTCAGTCACTCACCATTATCCTGTCACCTCATATCCTTCTTATATCATCTGCTAGTAACGTTATACGGCTTATCTGGTTAACAACAGCCGAACCGTGATCCGTTAAAGACGGGCCAAAACAGTAGAATAATGCGGTTAGCACCTGAGCTACTAACATTAGCTATTTAGCTTTCTTCCGTAGCATGGACGGTGAAATGTTAGCTCCTGTTGGGTTAGCTTTGTGTTATTAATGCTGGAAAGGAAGCGGATGGTTGTGTAATTCAAAATGCAAAAGATGTCATTAAAATCTTGACGAATATCATAATTTAAGAGAATGAATTAGCTGGTTGGCCACTCACCGACGGTCGCCATCGTAAGGTAAATTGTCACTGTGGAGTCGCATTCAATGACTATTCTTCAGTTGTTAGTAAACATTTTTTCAACGTTCACATAATGTATACCGGAGCTTTAAATGTATTTATTCATTAACTAACTAACTACCCCTGTATTTATAGCAAATTAAACGAATCCCAAATACCGAAGGGTTTTATAACGACGGTGTTCGTATGAAACACAAGACTTTGCAACATTTCGAGTCATCTTGAATGTAGCCTTGTCATTTTTCAAAGTTGTAGGACGAAAAGATACCAGCTGAGGGAGCAGTAACTTATTCAAAATACCATTTTTCTACTCTTTTAAATGCCCAATACCTTCTTTTCTTTTCTTTCTCATGGCCTTTGAAGCTTTTACAGCATAATTTTAGACTCCATTCCCAGTTTTAAATCATGCTCTCTCCAACAAAAAGTACAGATTCAGCCACAATAACAAATATTACATTTTATTTTCATTTCTTTTCATTTCATAAAGAACCACAAACAATACAAATACAGGGAGCAATGAAAATAAAGTGCAAAATCCTTTGGCGTCAAATTAAAAAGGATTCATGTCAATGTGTTAGACATACACCCAGATGTTTAACAAAATATCTTTGTGGTTTCTTCATTCTACATTGTAAAAAACACATTGGCATTTTATAGATTTCTTAAACAACAAACAAAAACTAATCTGACAGAATCTGTGGGCAGAAGACAAAGACAGTATGATGCAAGGAGAACCAGATTTTGTTGCTGATCAAAATATCAACATATTTCCTCAATCATACTGGTGCCATTACACGCCGAGTTACCCTCTACCATATTTTCTTTGTCTTGTACTGTAATTCTACATTTACTCCTGAACCTATATGGTTCTCCTTAATACAGAAATGTACACACTTAAGACCAACATTGTCAAGCCATTACAGTCTTTACTACATATTTTCTTCATTGTATTAGTACAAACAGTAAGAAACTTAAGGCATCTATACCCTGAACACTGACTGTAGCCTAAAAGCAACACTTCACAAAAAAGTCTCAGTTTTCTGTCATGCAACATCCTTCATGCAATCCACTGTGTCTCTTTCTGGTACCATTTTGTTCATGTTGTATATTTTTGTACGTTTGTACGTATCCATGTAGTCACCAGCAGTGGCTCAGTTGGTGGAGATTTACAGTGACAGCACTGATGTCACAGATTGAGTTTCCACAGGATTCAGTCAGCACACAGTATGTGTTCACGGATGACAACAGCACGTCAGTCAATGCCTGTTGTGAGGCTAGCCTGCTATATTGCTATGTGTTTCCTAATGATGGAGTGTCATGTATGGTGACCACAGTGGAGCCGCTGGTGGTGCTGAACTGCTCTATGTGGTTTCCCTCCACGCTGCTCAGCTCCACTCTGGGCAGTTGGAAGCCATTCTCTGTGGCCGGGTTTGAATTGGCGATGCTGCCTGACACAGAGTTGACTCCCATGGTGCTCAGCGGCACGCTGCTCTGACCAGTGGATTGCGACATCTTCGGACGAGGTTTGGAGCCACCACTGGCTCCCAGGACTCTGGACGCATGTGTCCGCCTGGCAACAATGAGACTCTGATGTTAAAACACATTACTCACATACTAGTAAGCCATTATGTAGCAAATTGGCATGCAATGCTCAGTAATTGTTCCTGCACTCAACAGTTATTTAAATTTATTGCAGATTTCTAATCTAGTTTTGCTCGTAGGCCTATTACTTCAGTTGTAAATTACAAAGATAATGGAATGATTGCAGAACCAAAAATACTTAACACATCAGTCATCCAAAAATGACAAAAAAGAAGGAAAAAAAGTAAACTGAGGAAGAAATCAATGGGAAAACAAATCTGTGAATAAAAGAACCTGCGTTGTATCAATATACTTTTGGCTTCTCTTTCTCTAAAATTAAGCCTTAAGTCTACATAATGTGTTCAGTATGTCTGTGATTTGTTAGCAGTTTATCCAAAGTTATTGTCGCTTTTTGAATCATGACCAGCTACAAAATAAAATGCATCTTACACAATTGTGTCTCAAAAATGATAATTCAGTGATATAATAATAAACTGATCTGGGTTTTTCTACAAACAAAATATATTTTAAGTACATTTTGCTGACACAACCACTGGACTTTTATTTTAATAAAAGTTCAATTCCTAAGGAATATTCCTCAGTGAATATTGCTACTTTTACTAAAATAAAATATTGAACTACTTCTGCCATTCAGACTTTGTTTGACCTTTCCTGGGTTTTGGGGAAAAAAAAAAAAATCAGCAACACAGACCCCTGATGATCTGTAAAAGGGGTTGTGAGTAGACACTGTGTCACACGGTTACAAACCAAAATCTTTGGGAGTGACTGTGACAGGGTAAGTATGAAAGTGATTATTTTCTATGACATTTCCCCAACTGAGCTTAATAAAAAGATAGAAAGCAGCAGCAGCTGTCTAGTCTTCCTAATGGTGGATAAAAATAGCATGATTGTTGTTGCGCCGCTCGTGACATTCAGAATACAGGAATTGTCCCGTCAAACAGGAATGTGACCCTACCTGTTGTATGTCTTCAGGATGAGCAGTAGAATGGTGAGAATGATGATGATACCTATGACAATGACAGCGATCATAGCCCCAGAACCTGAGAGACACAGAGAGAGGAGGAATCAGCGATCAGCACATTGAAAGCTTGTTTTTTTACTCGTGCTTTTACTGTCATGGTGCAACTTATTTTGCGTATCCTCCAGAAGTAGTGTGTAGTAGCTTAGCAACGGCTTCACTCACAGGCAAACAGAACAAGGCAAATATTTCCTATTAAATACATGGCTGCCACTCCTGCACAAAACATCCAGATTAGACTGTATGATGTAATAGATTGTTATATATGAGGCTTGGCTTATCATATCATATTTTTGATCTGAATCTCCTCCATTGAGGACACTCTTTGAGATCTGATGGTATCCACGACAAAAACCTCATTCACATGGGTGTGTCTTATCAATATGCAACTTCAGGGGACAAGGAGAACGATACACAAACATGAAAACAATGTGTGAACAGGCGCCCACACACACGTGAGGTGTCCTTACTTTGGATGAGTATTTGTTCTTTGGACTTTGTGACAGTGGCTGTATTTGAAGGTACTGTAGTGTTGGTCACAGGTGAGACAGTTGAAGCTTGCATCTTCAGCAATAACCTGCACAAGACAAGGAAACAAAACTAGGAATGAGGAAAGAATACGTGATTGGAAAACAAAAATATCACAACAACAACAGCAACACAGCTCTGAGTGCAAGCAGCAGATAGGTGGCGCAGTGGAGGGAGTGGCAAGAGTGAATGAATATTTTATAGGAACCACAGAAAGGCGGATCCTCAGCAGAACATTATGTATAAAGTACATATTGGCCTGTACACTTATTAACAATCAAAGCAATTGTTAATGGTTAAATCACTCATCACAATGCACTTTGTACTCCTACAGCGCTCAGCTGTTTTAGGAAACTATTTAACCTTTTTTTAACACCAGCAATTATAACATCCACTAAAGATTTTCTTCTCCACAGTGTAACGTGTATGAACCCATCACAAACATCTTTTTCTGCGTCTCTTAGTTTTGTTTTGGCAAAGAAAAACCGCAGGTGAAGAAAGGTGGCACACCCACCTAGAGAATGATCTACGATTCTATCATTCTATTGAATTCACACCTATAATGGAACTTTAATCGTGCCATGCACTGCCTAATAAAACGCTGTATTGTTGTGATTTGCATTCTTTTGATCATGACTTATATAATCATCCATCACAGACAATGCATATTCTCAGAAGTTGTAATCTTGATCTACATCTAATCTAATGCAATTGTTATGTGTCACGCTGAGATCCTCATTTAGGGAGGATCACTGATACTGTTCAGGAAACAATCTGGTCAGAGCTGTAAGTCAGGGCTGTCCCCATAACTGATATTTCCCCTGAATCTGGATAATATGCCTTTATAATGATAAACTTAATTTATGCAGCCCTTTTCTTAACAAGGTTAGAAAGTGATTTACAAAAAGAATTAAAACCAGACAAGGCAAATAAATGTGAAAAATTAATTAAAACATAATTTGCATGCTCTGGAAACTCTAAACTCACTTTGTTGTTAAGATCCATAAAAACAACAATCAATTATGATTACATTTAGATTTATAGTAGTAATTTCCACTGAGCCTTTGCTTAGAAATGTGTCTGACACTTCAGTTTCCACTTCTCCTGCACTACAATCATCATTCTGTGTGCAGTTTTGCAATTCTTATTGACTTGTGAAATAAGTGGTCAGTTATCTTTTTGTGCTTCTTCCCCTTCAACAGATTCAGTTACTAATCCCAACGGTGCAGTGTGTAAACATGTCATTATTCCACTATACTATCAGAGAAATGACCGGCTTTGCGATTGTGATGGACGTTTCATTTGGCAACAAAACCTTTTAGAGGAGATGGAAGAAGACAGAGACATGGCACCGAAACATTGTCACAATAATGACATGAGTTGGAGTGACGTTGCGTCGAGTCTGCTGGGAATGAAGCACAGCAGCACAATCAGAGCAGGTGCTTCAAGCGGACAAAATTTGCATTGGCTATAAAAAGCTGAAAACCCTGGCACACGGAAGAGCAGCCACACACACACACAAAACCCATCCCTCACTGTCTTTCTTCTCTAAGTTAGATTGACTGCTCCATTGATTACATTCAAATTCACAATAAAGTACGCAAAACCCTCAGGTCTGTAGCATCACAATGTGTGAAGTTACCGCTAAACAGCATGAGTGATATAAACCACCGGCTGACTTAATGAGGAGTTGCTGACAGAGCAAAAAAAAAAAAAATAGACACAGACTGAATGAGTTCACACATAAAACACCAGGCAGAATAATATATTACAAACTCCAGTGTTACATTTCATGTATGTAGCTGGTGTTCTTACAAAAAGCCTCTTAAAATAAATGAAAATGCTGGAAGATACACTTTGTCTTCTCTCTGTCACACACACTTACAGTAGCACGTCTGTATGTTAAATGAAGCTGGGGCCAGCAGCTGGTTGGCGTAGCATAAAGGCTGGAAACAGCTGGCCTGGCCCTTAAAGCTCATTAAGGAACAGGTTGTATCTCATTTGTTCAATCCGTGCAAAAACCAAAGAATAAAAATGACATTTTACAGTGGGTTGGGGTTATGTGTTTGACTATTTCTAGGCCTGGGGCAGGAACGACTGGGGCAGTAAAATGTGTTAACTGGTGAGCTTCAGTGCATACGGTTCCCCATTTCCAGTCTTTCTGTTAAGCTAAGCTAACCAGCTATATTTACCATACTGACATGAGAGCGGTATGGCAAGAAAATGAATAAGTGTAATTTCCAAAATGTCGAACAATTGTTCTAAAAACAAATAAATAAATAAATACTTTTTCAGTTTTAACCACTTCAGTTCACACGGGTTATGAGATTAGATTTCTCCTCCAGGCTCCTTGTTTGAAAGATTATCTGGATATAGAGTTTCAGCATGTAATGTACAGACAAATACAGTAGCTTGTGTACGCAGCCTTAACCATTAATGGAGCGGAAAAATGTAAATTTAACCTCCTGGCTGCGCATATGCTAGAAGCACTGTGAAAGGACCTTTTACGACACAATACGTGTGACGCCCATCACGAGACAGAGGGCACAACAGTGCATTTCCTGTGACAGGGTCGTCATAGAAAATATTCCCCAAACTAGGATTATGACATTTTCTCACTGAGATGTGATGAAAAGATTTTTAATTACAGCCATTACTCGATACTCTTGTGTACTGTACGTCTTATCCCGCTTCCTGCTCCACAGCAAATATTGCACAACCAACTCTCCCAGTGTTGACATACTATTAAACATAGAGATTAGTAATGACATACATCATGTTTGCTATTTGCAGAGGTGACAGCTGCTGATAAGTGGCTAACTGATCATATGCTGTATAAGGTTGGTAACACCACCGTTTTGGTAACATGGTGGAGAATACAGTATGCTGATGACGTTGGCGAGGCTATGCTAAAAGGGCACAATATGAACGATATGGCCTTAAGTGATGTGTATTTATTTGTACCGCTATTTACAGAACAATTAGTATAGTAGGCACCATCAGTTGTTTAAATGTACGGAAAATATAAATATATAAAGTTAATTTACCACATGAAAGAGACCTGATTCAATTATGTAAATACAAGATGGACTTTGTACGCCTGTATTGATACTTTAAAGTGCACAAGATATATACTGTTCACAGTGTCATAATTCTGGTGGACAGTATACCTGTACATAGCAAGTTTCATGCTGAAGGGACAGTTTAGAAAAGGTTCATTTATGATGTTTTACTTCAGGGAGCAAACTGACTTTTAATACAGTTAAAGTTTTTTTTTTTAAATTTAAAATACAATAGTTATGGCAGTAAATACCAGTACAACTGGCACAATGCAGGACCACATCTCATGCAGGTAATTTGCTGATTAATAAACTGTTATAACAAAAAAGTATATATATGATAATGTTAGAATATTTCCTTGTTCCTACAAGAAAGTTTTTAGCTAATACTTTAAACATATTTCTGCCAAACCTTTAGCGACGTATAGACGGATGAAAGCACAAGCTATCCCCTGAGCAAAAACTATTCTTTTTACTTCAAATACATCATCTGAAGTCAGCTGTAAACTAAACTTTGAGATCCAACAAACTGAGTATGAGTTTAAATCTAGCTATTCAGTTCAGGTTATTTGCGCTTCGTAGTCATAGCAGCACTGCTGCCTCTGCAGAGGACATCACTGCCATCTCCAAACAGAAACTGTCTTGGCCAGCACAACACAATTCTGCCAGGAGTTATTTGTACCAGCTTTTGTCAAAAAGAGGTGAGGGCATGATTGCAGAGAGCAAAAGACAGATAGATGTTCTTTACTGTCCCAGGAGGGAGATTTGTTGTCACAGCCCACACATGTTCTAGTAAAACTAGGTTATTAAATCCTTCACTGTCTGTCAATATCAAACTGCTGCAGGAGCACACAGTTGTTTTAACTGGTGAAATAAATATCTAATTGATTCTTTGACGTAACCTTCTGTTTAGGAAATCACAGTCTTCTTGATGGTATGTGATGCATGACCCTGAAAAATGCTGGCGTTTCATCAGTGATGGGTGGGTGTGACGTCTCCCACAGAACAGGGTGTGTTGACAGAAGTACGTAAGTTCATTAGACTAACTGCAGGGTAGGTTTAGGTGTAGGTTTGGTGTGGGCAAGGTCATGTAAGGATCGGGAGAGCCCTCACCTGAGGAAACACCTACAGTTAACACAGCTCATTCTCCAATACATAACTAACCCATGTACTAATCAGCATCTGACAGCCAGTTCATGACTTCATGAGTAATGTAAAAGTGTTACGCATGAAAATAAATAAATGAAGACCTGCTTGAAAGATGTTCCTTTTAGAAACTCTGGTGACGGTCTGAGATGAAAATGAAGTTTGATGTCTACTCTTTCTAAATCAGCCAAAAGAAACACTTGTATGGATGCACTGACCTCTGAGAAAATCCAACACGGACGGACTGGCAGTGTAACAATGTCTAGTGTTGCGTAATGTCACTCTACCAGGTTGCATACTAACAAAATACTGTATTAACCTTTGGTTAGTCACCTACAGAAAACTGTTGAGTCACATTCTCTATTGTCACAATGCGGGAAGGGAAATTCATTAGGGAAATTCAAATGTGACTGTCAGTAAAGCCCAATAACTTGGTCTAGAACAATCGCAGGTAATAAATTCAAAATTTGAGAAAGAACTCGTAGAGACCAACATTATCATGAAACTCTGCACAAAAACCCAGGATATTCTTATTGTAATGTAACAGTGCTGATCACAAAGTCAAATATATTGACGATTCGTTGGTTACATCATTGTACAATTATTATTATATTATAGACTTTATATGTGTTTAGCTGCAAGGATTTCTATCAATCAGCACTTTGATTCCCTAATTTCACATCTCAGATTAGTGTGTTAAATATGACTTTATATATGAACTCATTCATTTGAGTTCATGTTACATATAATGTGAGCATGAAAGCATGTTGTGCAGGAGTTTGCATTGACCTCACTGTCCAATTTCATTTCCCTTTTGTGCATCCATGTCAAAGTTATAGAGGATACACTTTATTGGAACTGATGGGTTATTTATAATTTGAACAGATTATTTTTTTTTAAATTGAGCTTTACATTTTGGAGGCTATACTTTTTGCTCTGACGTCAGTATCTTCCTCAGTGTAATAATAGTTTGTTTGTTGTTCTACAAATTACAGCTCTTCAACTACACTGCAGATTCAATATCCTTTCTCCCACCCTCAGTAAACAAATCATTTATTGGTCTGTTCAGAGAGTTGTCTCTCAACACAGAACAGGAACAATTTAGTTTCCTCTCTTTTATACGAGGAAAAACCAGACCAGAAGTTGGTAACCGGCTCAGCTATTTCCCCTCTGCGTGTTTTCAACCACACAGTAAGAACAACACAGTCTCCTGCGCACGCACATTCATAAACACATTAAGAGCATGACCTTCATCAAACGACGGTCAGGGTCAATATTTGAGCAGTCAATATGAAGCAGGGTAATAATAAGACAGGTGGAGCTATTAGTTCAGCTTCGCCTGGAAGAGCAGGCCTGCAGGGGGAAGTCAAAGCAGAGAGGTCATCTGTATCACATCAGATGTAAACTCCCCATACCACTTGTTTTCCAGATGTCACATTTAAGAGGGATTAAACTATGACTTTTATCGACCTCACTCAGTCACCAAGAGATTTGCAGCAGCACTTAAGAGTATATGGCACAGTGTAGAACGGCCTGTTGTTGATGTAAATAATGAAGTGACATCAAATATTTGAAAACTAGCTAATTAAAAAGAATGTGTGTAGTACAGAGGTAATATATCATAATTGTTAGTTCTGGCAGCTGCAAATCAAAGCATAAGTACTATTAAGTCTTAATATGTAGTACTGTCCCTGAAATATCTCTCTAAATCACAAAAGTGTGGATCGACCAAATACCAAACTCAAAGTATGATCTTTAAAATGAAATAGGACCAAAGAAAGCCTCTTCGTCATTGAGGATAAAGTAGCTTCAGCAGGTTTGCACAACTGCACAGTCTTAGCTTACAATGTATTGCTCCTGTGGTTATGAAAAGCATGACAAGTGGATATTGAAAGAAAGGCAACGAAAATAAAAGTGCTATGGTGAGACGGTGCAAGCATGCCAGTGCTTTTTTTTAAAAAGGGCTTTGACTGATCCAGTCATTGTCTGAAGTGGCCGAGTTTGAAGCAGATTAATGAGCGTCTGTTTTGATACAAAAGACTGATCTGACCGCTGATATTTGCAGTCAGGATATTCTGTTTCCTCGTGAGTTTTATAATCCAGTAACATAACCGATAGCTTTACTGTATAGCAAATGAAATGACTAATACTACCATGATGTAAATCTAAATAAAGTCATGTAGTAGAGGTGAGTTTCCTTTGGAGTTGTCCTTCTAACTGTATTACATTATCTAAAATGACCACTTCAGTGTGCTCCAGTGTGTCCCACAGTGTCTAAATAGTTTATCATCCTGAAATACTTCATCATTTGGTATGAGTATAGTATTTCTTTTTTTTAATCTAAGGTATGCACAGCTCAGTATGCTTTCTGAGACTTGCATATTTTCAAACAATCCTTATCAGAGTTAAAAATGATAACAATAGAAACTACATGCTTATCATCTACTGAGCCAGCCACAAGATTATTTTCTTTTTCATGGGAAAAAAGGCCACTTCATTAGAACTTCCCAGACAGGGGTGGGTGGGGGTGATGAATGAGTCTTGTGGCTTAATAAACTCTTAAAAGGAAGAATTTGATCTTTTAAATGAGCTGATCATATTGTGAAACCTGGACCGAGGGAATAGCTTGTTTATTGCAATTATGCACACTAGTATACCTTTTTTATATATATATATATATATATATATATATATAGAGTTATATATATATATATATATATATATATAGAGTTTTGTACTTTGGGGGTTTAAACTTCTCTTTTTGCGTTCCATCTCTTGTGTCAAAACTATAAACAAAAACACTTATGCCAATAACTACATGATAAAATAATAAAAGCATATTACTTTAACTAACATACTGTATAAACTATCCTCAATCCCAGTGACCCAATTCTAATTTTAGCCTAATTTTTGCTTGATCAGTATAGGTGTAGGTGGCATGTAAACATAGTCAGAAACCTTTACAAGAATGACTGTAGGCTGACTAAATGAGTGGGGGGGGGGGGGGACACACTAGAGGAACTGGAAAAAGGTGACCGAATCTATTCTTAGAACTAAACAGACATTTCCCCCTGGTCAGAAAACTGCAAATCATTGTTATTACAAAGTCAAACACATCACCATCATTCCCCTTGCATTACATGCAAACTGACACTGTTGAGCTTTTAATTAGCTCAGCAGTGCTGTACAAACAGCAGTCACATTTTCCTACAACGTAGTGGCAACTGATGAGATGATAAATGCAGCCATTCCATCACACAATCACTTATCAATAAGAGATACACAGGCAGATAAAGACGGGAACTGAAATTGGATCTTCCTCATTCAGCTGTAAATCTGTGTCGTTCCACTGGTTCAACAGCAGCAGCTAATTTATTAATCCAAGAGCTCTTTGGAATGTGAGCTATTCCCTTTCACCTGAGACTCACCTGCTGTCTCGCCACGTTGTCTGGGGAACCCACACACGCACACGCACACACACACACACACACACACACACACACACACTGATACAATCACAGTGCGCACACAAACATACGTAAATGACTCCCATCCACAAGTGACAAAGCTCAGATGGAAACTTTAAATCTACCAAGAGAAAGGAGCTATAAGCAGTGATTAGCCTCGTGACTTACCTAACCGTCTCCTCTTTGCCTTCTCCAGATGGGAGCCTGAGCAGTGCAGAGCCCCCTCCCTCAGCTGACTGAAGGGGGCATAGTCCACAGGTCTGGGGAGGGAGACACAAGGGAGTAGTAGAGTGTGTGAGCTACTCAAAGAGAGGAATATTAAGTCCCAGGTGCTGCTAAAGTGACAGTCCCACAGGTAAAAACAGACCGGACAGACAAAAACAACGGACAAAAGAGTGCAAAAACAAGCAGGGATTCCTGAGTGTGTGTGTGTGTGTGTGTGTATGTGTGTGTGTGTTTGTGTGTGGTTTCTGTGGGAATCAGAGTGTTTATGTGAAGAGGAGGAGGAGAGTGAAGAGGAGGAGGAGGCTCCTCGCTTGCTCACCCGCCGCTCTTTGCTGAGAGTAATAATGACAGGCAGCTGGTTTTTCAGGTCCTTCCGCCTGGCCCTCAGGCGCGCCGCGGCCACTGATCAAAAAAGCGAGGATCCTCTCCAGAGTTGTCTGCTCTGCTCGGCTCTCACCATGACTACTGCCTCTCATAATCAGTCTGTCTGCATCTGGCAGGATGTCACACGTGAAGTGCAGAGGGTGTGTCTCTGTGCATTCTGTCAAAAAGGATACAAATATCTCAAACATCTCTTATTTGAAAATTCACAGTATATCCCATAATTGTAGCTATATGCATCATTAAACTAAAAAAAAAAATCTAATCATTATCTCCTACTTATGGAGAATAATCACTACATGTTGCAATAATTGCATTTTTTGTGTTACTTTGTTGACTAAGTATGGGGTTTCAGTGTTATCACATATCTCTTCATGAATGTGTTCTATGTATGTAGTTGAAAATTAACTATGTGAATTACAATACTTGTTCAAAGGGTGCTGGGTGTGTTTGTAGAGCAGATACAGTCCTATGTAATGGCTTTTTCTTTTCTCCTATTCTATTATAAGGAAACAAGCTCCATTCAAACACTTGGCAACATTTGTGTGAAAGTTGTCCACTGAACAAACAAAACATTCTCACTGGCATTCATTTACTCTTCTTTCCAACTCTCAACTACGATCTCTCCCATTCATTTTCTAACACATAAGCTCCTGTGACACACTTTCCCTGGTAGTCTTTCCCCAAACACTGCCAACAAGTCGTCAGGATCAAGCCTCATGTTACCTCCAGGGATAGGTGTTGCCCACGACTATAAAGCAAGTCAGTGTTGTGCCTTTGTGAGAAAGTGTAACTAAACTTCATTTGGGAAGACACACATTGTTCTGCTTCACCAAATGGACTGAAAGCACTGACTTTATATGTGCACAGCACTGGTGTCCCCATGTCCCTGCATTTTGCTGTGGTGGAGGACCATTACATAAGTCTAAAAGCTGGAGGTCAGGTTTCATAGAGAAGAATACATCTTTCAAAATGGCATCCTGGCATTGTGTTGGTTTCAGTCCAGTAGAAATGCTGTAAACACGCTGTGTGCTAAAATAGTGTGACTCCACTGAAGGTGAAACAACAGGTGAGTCGTAGGGACAGGTGAAGTGAATCAGCTTTATTTGTCCATTAAATTAAATTATATATTATTTATTTATCAAATCTGTCTTTTATTGACAAAACTTTGTTGTGTTCCTCCTATTTGGCTTTTTCTTTATCTAACTGTCTGATAAGGTTTCTACATCTGCCTGTCATATTTTTCTTTCTTCTTTTAAGAGATAATTCTGCCTGGTACAGTGTATATCTAATGAAGGTTTCCCACAGTGAGGATGGAAAGGTATCAGCATTGATGACATTGAATTTCATATCTGAAAGTAAGTCTCCATACTTTTTCAGTTTTCTCATGATGTCAGCTTTTATTGTAAAAGTAACAGGAAAATGGTCTAAAATAATTATATTAAAGTGTTTTGAATCCATGAGGTATATGGTTTGTGTCTATTAGAAAATAATGATAAATTCTTGTGTATAGCTTATAGCCTGAGGAATAAAAGTATGTTCCCTGTCTGTTGGGTTAATGTTGCTCCTCCTATGAATGTTTTCAAGAAGATTAGCTAGTGATTCTGTGACGCTGTCCCAGGTGTTAATATAATACATCTTCTTAGGCACAGTGGCTAAATGCTAATATTAGCTTGTTAAATAGACCCGTGGCGATAACGTGCTCACAATAAAAGTGCTAACACAGTGATGCTAAGCAGTTGTAATCTGTACCATGGTCACCATCTTAGTTTAGCGTGTTAGCATGCTAACATGTGCTAATAGCGCTTAACACAAAGTGCAGCTCATAGTCCTAAACGAATCACAACAAAGTACTTAAGTTTATCCTCTGATGATCACGAACATCCATAACTTACCATATTCCACGGCAGTCCATTAAATCGTTGTTGAGATATTTAAGTCTCGACCGAAGCCGTGGACCAATTGACCACAGCATCCCTCGAGCCTTAGCTATAGCATGGCTAAATAGTCACTAGATTTAGAACCTACGGTTGTTTAAAAACGCCATAATCTCTTGGAAACCACAAACATTAAATTGTCATTGAAATCCTTTGATAATTTCTCTTAACTACAAACTGATTTCATTATCAAAACATAGGAAACGGTATTGTATCTGTACTTCCCCTAACAAAACAGTAGGACATGCACTCACTGTACTTTTCACTTATTTGCATCACAGTATCCATTATCAGTACTTTTAAGGACCCACTTTACCAAAAAAACGGTTTGTATATATATATATATATATATATATAAATCTGCTTGTTACTAATCCATCACTTAACATACTAACATAACATACTAACATACTTACTAATCCATCACTTTACATTCCTGCTTGAGCGACTGAGACATTTGTGTTGTGTAATTCTGGAAAGTACCTTTCTTTGAAGGAATCCGAAGGTATTGGTCCCATTAACTTTGACGGGTTCCACATTAACCTGATCTGTTCTCCTTAGGTGCACGCGCATGGTCACGTTCAACAGTGAGGGTCATTGTGAAGAGGAATTCCTCAATCCCTGCACCATGAAGAGAAGGCTTTTTGTATCATGGAGAAGAAGACACAGAGTGGTACAGAGCATGTCTCATCTCATAGTTATTACTCATTCCTCTACCTGTAAAACACTGACAGTCGTCCATTGTTTTGACCTCTAATACTATAGACCAGTAAGTGTGTCAGCGGTGACACGTGTAACCTTTATGACCTTGGATGTTCTGTATACCTGCTTTAACAATGTAGAGTTTTGGAAAGACTAGGACAAAATCATACAGAATTTCTAGATACCTTTTCCTTTGTTAGGAAACCTGTGCTTACAAAAACATCCTTTTGTGAAATCAGAGATGACAGTCTGCCAGTTTTGGCTTTGTTGTTTTTCGCTCCTCACACAATAATGAAATGCAGTTTGTCAGAAGGAAAGGGATGAGAGAAATCTATTGTTACAGGATTCAGCAGTCATCTGTCTTTTCTTCATGACTGACACGAGGAAACTGCAGCTGTGAAATTCAGCAGCTGAACTGCAAGTCATGGCCGTATTGCCACACAGTTAACTCACCTTTCATGTTTTAAATTTCATGTCCAGTGTAGCTCGCTAAAAGAATCATTAACTCAACATTGCTGTCATTTACCATCTGTCTTTACCGTTGAAACAAGGACCTGACCTGTTAGGTCCTTGGGAATAAATATGAGGTGGTAACTTCAAGTGACAGTACCACTGCCCTATTTTAGCATTATAAAGTAAGATTTAAATAAATCTCAGTGCAGTGATAAAAGCTTTTTTAGGCTAGTTTTATAGCCTTGTGCGTAATGCAAGTCAGTACAAAACCAATATGAATTTGAGACATTGTCATGAATAGTAAAAAGGAAATGGCAAAAGACTAGAGATTTTGAGAGGATGATAAATGTTTGGAACAGCATTGTGCATTTGTGTGTGGATGGATACTTATTATAGCATTTCATATTTTCATCTGCATGCCTGGACTGATAAAGTAAAGTGTCACCCTCTGTCTTTAAAGTATTATTACATTGCAGTTAAGCACCTAAGGATGTTTTTCCTGCTACCTTTATACAAGACTGAGTGTCTACAGCTATGCTAGCGGCTCTGTGAGGCTATACTTAGACATAGTGTATAGTAGTAAATGCTAACTCCAGCATGCTAACACGCTGATGTTGGCGTTTTAATATTGTTTATAATGACCAGTTGATTGAGAAAAAATTGTCAATTTCCCAGTTGCAACTTTATTTGCTAGCTGGCGGCTGTGAATGATAGCTCTTTGCTAATTTTGCAGAACACCAGAAATATAAGATTTTTGGTTTGTATGAAAATATAAAATAACTTAATAGATAACTACCTAATAAGAAAACTATTAAAAAATTTGGTTCACAGGGTAAAAAGTAAGCGTGGCTAACTTGGATTAGGAAATATAGCAACAACTTGCTATAACTTCAACTGTAGTAGTATTTTTAGGGGATGCTTAGCTGAGTTACGTTCAGATGAATATACATCAAGCAATCTGAACATAATGTGCAATAAATCTAGCAAGTGCTACATTTAAATCCTACATCGGAAATTTTGCTTGAGATTCTGTTTTTGTTCCTTTGTTTGCATGTCAAGTATAGCCCCTAAAGTAAAGAACCCCCTAAAATAAACAACACTAAACATGGCTTTTAAGAATAAGTCTTTATGTATTTCTCTATGTGAAACAAAGGACTAGTATACTACACAAATAGAAGCGGATACTGTAAGAGACAGAGACCATCTCTGAGAAATAAGTACAGAACATGAAAATACACATACCGGTATTATAGAACTGTAAATTATTGCTTGTTTTGCTACTTTGTTTTTTGGATTCCTACAATACAAGACACAATATTCATATTTCAACAGAAACAGTACAACAGTGACAAACTGTATTAATTGACCTTTTTAGTAGACGTTCCCCAGAAATAAAAGAAACATTCAAACAGAGTCCATGTTAAACTGTTGAACACAACACAATGACAGTTGGTTTTGATCGAGCATCTTCAGGACTTATTGTTACACATTTTTGTAATTATTTTTTTCCATTACAACATTGCCAAGAGAAGCCGTAACAAACTGCACACCGGGACTGGCCTCAGCAACAAAAAAACAAAAACAAAACAAAAAAAAAAACACTTGGCATATGTACATAAATATACATTTTCATTTCAACTGTCACCAAAATACACCCAGTTTTAAACACCATGACCAGAGTAAAAAATTCTTTCCTCCTGTTCCACCGCTTCCTCTTTATCATAATCCACCTCAGTAGTTCCACCAATCTGCTATCTGCTTAGATAACTGTGACAGCTTTACTGTAGTGCCAATAAAGCTGCACGCTGCCAGCATGGTGAATTTCAAAGAACTGTTTAACTTTCTCAGAAGATAAGATGAATGTTTCTTGTGGACAAACACGAAAACAAAGACATTGATTTTGTTCATCCTGCCTCATTTTAAACCTATAACTGTACTGCATGTCCACACGTTTTCAGTAGGAACACTCCCTTAGATCCAAAAGGCCTGAAATTCTCCAAGGTTCACACTAGCAAAAAGGAAGTGGAGTGTTTCACTCACTGCAATATGCTGGTGAAAAGGCTAACCAGGTGTTCAGCTTGAGATAAAAGAAGAAAAAAAAAAATACACAAGAAAGAAACAGAGAAGAAATGCAATGTGCTTCCTACTTTGTCTCAAGAAAGACAGTTTTATATCAAGGAAACAAACAAAACACTGACAATAAAGTGCTCACATGCAGATGGACTTTTGCTTACTAATATTGTTATATTGCAAAAAAGTTAAGATTACATGCTGCCTAATGACAAATAAGGTTTAGACTCACTGCTGACACCCTAAAGCCCTGTTAGAAACATTTGTTCCTGTTGCTTCTAAAGCACTGAATGATTTCATTAAATGAGTAAGTGAAGCACACTAATCTGATATGGGACTGTGGGGAGAATTAAATAAAAAAGAAGAGAAATGTTTAAGTAAGAACCTTATGATTTTTAGTGGAAATTTGTTTGAGTTTCCACTGAACAACATACTGCAGAAAAAGCATTATGTTAATATAAAATAAAAAATGCAATAAAGTACTGCAGTTAGGTTGGGAAAATATGATTTCTTTCTCGGTTTAACAAATATACAGCAGTGTCTTTGAGTAAGAAAAATCAGTTTATGTTTTGATGACAATGTGAGGTGAATAAATGCTTTGGTTGATATCTCATGAGGCTACCTAATTTTCCCTTTTCTCAGCAAAATGCTTCCAGGTAAACTACAAAATCTAAAAGGACTATTTCCACAAATCTATGCTACGCTCAGCTATTTACAGCGAAAAGCAGCGCAGTATTCTGGTGCGCAGCAGGAGACGTTCGAGAACCCCGCAATTGCTTGGAGATATCAAGAGATACTCAGTGCAAAACAAGCAGTAGGTTTCAGAAGAAAACCTGACACATAGAAAGTGGGTTTGATCAAACAACATAACCAAGACATTAAAGATATGAATTACAACAAACAGAATCAGAGAAAAAAAACAACAACATATCAAACCCCTTGAAGAAAATTAGGGGGATGAACTGTTTCTGATCCATCAAATACCCCCCCAAAAAACAAAAAAAACAACAAAAAAACAAAAAGGACAAATGCAAATTTTCCATCAAGTTGAAGACTGAACTTTCAATCTTCCAAAAAATCCGTTAAGCCTTTTTTTTCCCAAAGACGTCACTTTAAACTCTGCGTGGGGATATGCACTTGCGTCAAAAGCATCACACCATTTCCCTGTCATCACAAAGAACAATAAAAAAGACACCTCAGCTCCTCATCTACAGCAGTAACTAAGCATGCAAAAAGTGCTGGGGTATCAAATACATAGTAAGAATACACATCTAGTAGTTTAGCAAAAAACAACACCTCTCCAAATAAAAAAGACGAAAAGCGAAAACGAGCGGGAAAAAAGTCAAACAACCACCACAACTTTGTTAGTCACATATGGTGCTTCGTGCTGTGTGTGATGTTAAATAGGTTCCTTTTTCTTGATATATCTCGTTAGTATTTGTGTTTCTGTACGTATTTTTTGTAATACAGTATATACATGCAGACAAGAGCGGGAACATCACACACTCAATCTTGATGCAAGCTGAAGCTACAAACCAGCAGATATGATGGATGGATGAAATATATATATAGATTTATATATATTTTTATATATATAGATTTATATATAAATGAAAACAACTTATTATAAAAAAAGAAAAGAAAAATGTCTTTGTTTAGAGGTAACGCATGTCCTCAACCAAAGGTTATTGTACACACAACTGTGAGACGAAGGGAGAGGTACGGCTAACAAGCTAACTAACTAGCAAGCTACTGAGCAGGACTAGCAATGAGAGCTGAGTGTGTGTGATAAGTGACAGGTGCCTGCATTGGGACAGGTAATTGGACCCCTCTTGCTGAAAACGAGGGGGGTTGGTGGGGTGGAGGCAAGCGTGCCAGCCACTCCCCACGCTGTCCGCAGAATGTGATGAGTGTGTGTGTGATTCTCATCCATCCCCTTCAAGCCACCTCATTCCATCGCCACGCTCCCCACAAACACCGTCTTCGAGCAATGTTTGTTGGTTTGTTTTTGCTTGTAGTTGAACTGAAATGAGGGGCATCGACGCTCTCTGTGAGTGCAGAGACGAGAGAGAGAGGGCAGGTGTGTTGCGGGTTTAAAGGGCGGTCGGGGGCCGCGCCGGTGTCGGGGTGTGTGGGGGGGAGCCTCTCTAGTTGAAGACTTTGGGGGGTCCGTCGGGACGTCTGGTCTGGACGATCTGCTGCTTTGGCCGCGCCGCCTCATCCTCCTCTGTCTCGCTCTCGCACACATGGACGACCACGCTGGGGGTGGACTCTGTCCCCGCATGGAGCTCATACTTTTCACCTGTGGGGAGGAAGGGACGGAAAGAGAGAAAGAAAGAACAAGAGTTACTTCTAATATTAATATTAATATTATACTTATAATAATATTTCCAAACTAAATACCCTAACATTGTAGAGAATGGTGGTTACTGAGATGACTAACAAGTGGGTTATAATAACGATGACAGCTTCATGTTACTTTGCAGATTATGATTTTACATACAAAACCTTTGATCAGATTGTAAGTTGCAATGATTTGTTATACATTAAACCGCCTGTAATAATAATCCTATACTATAATGCCGCTCTTTCACTTTTAATACTGTAGCAACTACATTTGATGATAACAGTACTTTTAGTTAAGTACCATTTTGAATGCTCGACTGCTAGTTTTGCTTATGTAAAAAATTTACGTAATATATACTTCTTCCACCACTGTTGATAGGGAGACAAAAACCAATGTTTTTAAACGGTAAGACAGGCTGGAACAGCTCTAACAAGAATTATATGACTATGCAATTTATCATTTACTATTGAGATTCATTTAGAAAGCATTGAGAGGATTTTTACAGGACAAAATAATCTACTGTTTTTTTCTGTCTGTTCCATAATGGTTAAGCTCTCATGCTGTAGGACATGGATTCAAGAAAAAACAAATAAGACTTTTGCTTGGAATGGTGCTGCCATTTGTCCAGATGTCAGACTCAGTGGATTCAGACTGAAAACATACACTTGCAAGATTGTATCACAGTTGCCATGGAGATGAGATGAGACAGCTGGCAGACAGGAGGAAATTGGTCTAGTAGCTTTTCACTGTGGTGCCAAACAGAAAGATGGACAGTGAATAGAGTCCTGCTGTTACCGCAGGGAGTTGACAGAGGGAGTCAGCGCACTATGCTGCAGCCCAGTGCTAATCTGATTTTAGATGCCAGGATGCGAGGGGAAGAACAAAGCCATTTCCTGATGCCTTGTGTTGCTATGGTAACAGCAAAATGTGTCAAAAGTGGTCCTCTGGGCTGGACACTGTGTGTGTGTGTGTGTGTGTGTGTGGAAAGTTTAATTATGTTTTTATTAATAATAAAAATAATACTATATAATACTGTTCAACTGCATACAGACTTAAGACAATGTTTTCCACTTCATCAGCATGACTAGACCCACATACACAAACATGGAAAGACATTGTGGACATGGCACACCTTTCTGTGTGTGTTTGGTGACATTTTATAAAGGTTGCTGCAATCTAAAATCTTGTCGACAAGGCAGACAGAGGAGACATTACTGAGCACAAAAGCTGCCAGGGAACAAGGCTGCAGGGAAAGGTCTTAAAATCTTCCAAATCTAACTGTGCTGAACTGAGCTGCGACACATTTAATACACTTGCTAAAATTGTAATGGGACATGAACTGCAAAAAGATCCGTCTGTGGTGCAGTGAAACTGATCTACACTCTAATCATTACATTGGTTTTTGGTGTAGTGTTACATCATTGTATTCTTCATGGGAATTTACCATTCCCCCCCCTCACAATACACTGTTTACAATGATAATAGTGGTATGTCTAGCAGATGAACATTGTAGTAATTTCAGAAAAAATGTGCCACTGATTTCAGACAGAGGTAGACGAAAGCAGGCTTCTCATTTCTAGTCTGCAACTGTCAGTTTAGTTGGCTGAAATAAGTCTAACTGGACAAGTTAATTAGCTGTAGCTAGCTTTTAAGGGGTTAAGCAAATCTTAGCTCCATTGAAAAAGCTGTCTCTAGCTGACTTGTTTTAAAACTACAATCTTATAAAAAAGGCTCTTAAATATGCACGTCATGGCTCGTGCTGTACATAACATGATGCTAAAAGACTGAGGCTAAAGCTAACAGCTCCCAAACAAAAAGTTTGCCTTTTCACTAGCTAATAATCTGTGTGGAAGAAAAGTAAAGAAACACATTGTTCTTGTATTGCAAGGTAGAGCTGGTTAGTTGTATTATAAGGAAAAATGTAAGATTTAACACTTATTTTGATCTCACTGGTGGGGAGCTTAGCTTACATACTAGTCCATGCTTTACTCCATGTTTTAGCTAACCATATGTGTTTGGCAAATGAAGTGCTAACTCAGGGAATGTAAGCTGGAGCTCCCAGAGTGTAAAGTGTCCCAAACGAGAGGGAGGACAGTGCTATTAACGTTAACATCCAGAATTGGCTAAAATGTAACTCCACAAACTAATGTAGTTAGTTATTAATGTGGTCTTTGGCCATGGAAGTAACATTCGGTTACTCCTGTAGGTGGTAAGCTAGTTAGCCAGACATGCTAATGATCTCATGTTATGTTGGAGTGAACAAACACACAGTTTAATCTGTTCCCTAGACTTTTGCTATTGTGGGTTTTGGTTTCAGAAAGGCAAGAAGAAAAAAACAAACAAAAACCAACCAACCAACCAAACAAACAAACAAACAAGCAAAACAAGTATGTGTGGCATGGGGAGAAAGAAAAGACTGACCTGCTAAGTCCAGCCGCTAAAATATTAATTAATATTAGTAATTAATTAATATTATTAATTAATCAGTCACTATTTGATTGAAGGATTTAATTGTTAATTTACATTTTGCAAACGGGAACAGATACAAACATGGAAAGGAAAAAAGTGAAGAAAAATAAAGAATAAAACAGTGATGACTCAATGTCCACACCGATTCCTTTGTCCTAATTGCTTCCTAGACACAGCCTTTCTATAACACCCTGCTGAGAAGTGTGAAATGATTTCCTGTTTGTATCTGGGTTACCATTCAGAGATGAATGACACAAATTAGATTTCTTTATTACAGACTGTTTTCTCAGTGTTCTCGGTGTCTGTCTGTGTGTGTGTGTGTAACTATGAGCATACAGTACAAGCTTATTGAACCTAGTGAGTACTGACCAGGTCCTAGCTTGGCTACTGCACACAGCAGGTCGTAGTTGATAACGGGCGTAGCATCTTCGCTCTGGCTCCAGCCCACTGGTGGCGAGGCAGGCGGCGAGATCAGAAACTGTTTGACGGGCTGGGGAGGGGCCAGGTACGACTTGTCGATGTCCTCATCACCATTCTGGACCTATTGTAGATGATAACGATGAAGGATGACAACTGATTAGGGCTGTGGTGCTCTAAATAGGAGATCAAAGACATAATATTTGGACACATCTTGACAATGAGTAGAAGTAGGAGTAAATGGATGTGAACAGTTTTTTCTACTTTTGAAACACTAGTGCAAGGCTGTGCAAATTGGGTCAAATTGGGTGAAGCTGTTGAAGGTCCTGTACTTTATAAATTCTAATCATGAAACTTAAAAGCACATTAGGTTTACAGTCACAGCTTCAGTCTTTTAGTCTCAAATCGCAGGCTCCTTCCCATGAGGGGATTTTGGTGTTTTGATATCTGCCAATTGCCGTAATTACAATACCTACATGTGGCATCTGTCTGAGCTGTAAAATCCTTAATCCTCTTATATCAAAGTACTGAGAGGTGCAGCAGGGGTCATGTATTTATGACAAAGTGGGCATCAATTATAAGTTGACTCATGATTTCCCTGCATGAACTTGATTGTTTGCAGGCCATATGGCATCTAAGTATCTCAGGTAAAACCAGGTTATAAATGGGGTTAAAATTTGTATTTCTTTTTAAAGATATCCATATCAATGTTTTTTTCTGGACTTGCAACAAATTGAAATATAGTAATTTAAATGCTGTTGAAACAATGGTTATACAGTATATAACCAACGAGATGTCTAAACATTCAAATCCAGGCCTACTCTAATCTCCTGTTTATAGATATCACCGAGTATAATATGTCAGTTCATCACAGTACTCCTATTATGCGCTCTTCTTATTTTGTGTTTGTACTAGAAACACACTTCACTTTGTTTTACCACAGGCAACATGCAGGCACACACACACACACATACAAATCAAGAATTCATGTGCTCATGTGTTGAATTATGCGACTGTTGTTTTTTATAGGAACATTGGGGGAGTTGAGGAAACAGTCAGGTGTGGCTCAAAGAAGAAAGAATCAACCACAACAACATCAACAACAACAAAAGAAGAGTAAAAAAGAGAGAATGTGAAAGGAGGGTGAAGTAGAGGGAGTGTCACCCTCTTTTGATTTTTTGTCCCTGTTATACGTGTGTGTGTGTGTGTGTGTGTGTGTGTGTGTGTGTTCTGAAGAGAACGATGCACTAGGGCATAACCATCCACGTAAATAAGCAGTGCTCTTGCTTAGATGGTCCATGTCCCAGGCCCCCTGCCTGCCCTTTCCCAGACCCCTTAACTGACACTCACTTGGGCAAAGTACAGTTTCAGCTTCTTGCCGTTGAACTCTGACTCGTGCAGCTCGATGCGAGCGCGGGCAGCGGCCTCTGGGGTGCTGAAGTTGATCCGGACTCTCCGGAAGCTTTTGAACATCTGGAAAGTCGTCTGTTCGTCATAGATCCTAAACAACGCCTCAAACCTCTCCTGTAGAAGATAAAAACACACAAAGTGTACAAAATGTGATTAGAGACCGATATCGGTGTTTTCTGACTGAATGGACCATTGTTTAGCATCTTGCATCATGCTGATATTCTGCAGATACTGAGGTAGAATTCCATTTATCCATTCAAGGTAAAACACACTTCAAGGGAAGAATGCAAAATGTCATCAACAGCTAGTCGGCAAGAGCTACAGGTAGGACTGAACAATATTATATTTTGACTGTTTAATCACTAAATTGTCTACAAATTGTGACCAATGCCCATCACAATTTCCAAGAACCAAAGTAACATCTTCAGCTTCCTTCTCGTTTTATCTGACTACCTTTTAGAATCCCAAATGATACTCAATTTGCAATAATCTAAAATAGAGAAATTTTCAGTAGCTGGAAACAGCAAATAATTATCATTTTTGTTTAGTAAATTAATTGTTGTTAATTTGCTTTCTGTTGATCACCTTATTGGCTAACCAACTAATTGTTTCAGCAGTAGCTACACAGAGGAGTGGTTGCCTTCTGGCAAAATGTCCCTGGAGCAGCTTAATCAATACCATCTTCTATTATTTGATTTGTTACAGTATATGAATAAACTGTCAAATTAACTTTACTAAATTGCTCTCAATAAGTATATTCTGTGTAAATATCCAACACAAATTGCACCATCTGTTCTTTAATTTTTCGTGGAAAGATGACACATTTCATGGTGAGCTGAAGTTTGGGGGTTTAGTTATTATTCACCGACACCTCTGTCTGAGCAGCAGACGTGACTGTAACTGCTCTGCACCTATTTCATTTTCTATTGAGTTAATAGTGAAATTAGATTTCCTGCTCCATGTCATTTTCCTGCAATCTTCTCTGTCTGACTTACAGTCCTCTTTTCTCACTCTCCATTTCCTGTTTTTTTAAAATCTTTATGCAATTCTCTCCCGTCTCTGATCACTGCCCCCTCCTCCTTATGCATCACACTTTGTTTTTAACTATACCCGTATGATATATTCCCACATCTCCTATGTTTTTTGACGCAGTCCTCTCCATGGGCACCAAATTGGCCTCCTCAGCTGTGAACTCAATCAAGCAGCTCAGTAGGAGGGTGAAAGGAAAAGGAAAAAGGCCGCCGGGAGAGCTGGTTTTCTGAGTAATCAGTAGCGTAATTCTTTGTCTCCTAGCCGACCATCTTCAAGCACAGGCGGAAACATGACTATGGAGCCGAGTCTTCTTTCCAAGAATCAAGATGGACGATTGATTGAATGTGCCAGTCGAGAGGGAAGACGAACAGTACGGGCCTAACGTAGACCGACGCAAGTTTTCGCAGGTGCTTCTCAAGGGTGCTGTCATGTCATTTATTCAGTTATTGCTCTGTGACATATAGCCGAGTTTACACAGCATACCAAGCAAATGATCTTACTGTTGCCTTTTCCTATTCGTTGCTTTATTCATGTCCTGAGAGCCACATGTGTGCAGTCAATGGCCTCAAAATCAACTGGTAAGCACCACTATTGAATCAGTCCCTGATTGTGCTGTTGAATGACACCTTCTATCTGAATATATTTTCTTTTCTGTTACAAACTGTGGGAGACAGAAATCTGAAATACTCCCACAACACCTCCCTTGTTCGGCTGACACAGCACCTCTCACCATGATGGGAAGGGCGCCTGTTACCTGAAGGAACACAGGCAGCATGTCGGCTGTGAGATCTGCCTCTGCACATTAGTGACAGCTTTGTGATGGGAGACACCAGGTGTCTATAAACTCAGCACGCTGAAATGAAATGAGTGCTTGGTTCTGTCTATGTGTCCTGTTAGTTCCGAGTCCTTAAAAAACTCTCGTATATATCTGGTCTCAACTTGTTTGAGACTTTGTGATTCAAAAACTATTATACTTTAACACATAACAGGATTTATGTTGTACATTACGAAACGCATCACAAGGATTTGGATGTGCTTGTCATATGAACCGATTGTGAGAGTCGTGTCATAATCAGAGGGAGGACACGCTTTAATGACAATATTCTTCACAGAAATGCTTGAAGGAAGCTGTGCATTGCTATAGGGCTGCAACTAATAATGATTCTTTTCCATTTTTCTGTTATCTGCCATTTATTCTTCTTTAATCGACTAATTGTTTGGTCTATAAAATATCAGAAAACAGTGAAAATGTCCATCACAATCTGTCCGAGTCATCTGGAGTTGGTTTTTTTTCTGACCAACAGTCCCAAACTCAAAGATATTGAATCTACCATGATATGAAACAAGAACAAGCAGAATATCCTCACATTTGAGTAGGTGGAACCATCAAACGTTCTGCATTTTTGCATGGAAAATGACTCATGAATTGATCATTCGACTAATCTTTCAACTCTACCATGTTATATTGTACCTGAAAACTGGAAAATAATAGTGAAAAGCCCTTAAAAGTAAGATATACTGTAAGAATGTAGAACCACTGAATATCTTTCAAAAGCCTTACAGCATTATTTGTAATGTAGTAATTATTAATTGAAGTACTACTATTTAGAGTCTTTGATGACTGACTGTTTCCGTACAGCTAAGTACTGAGTGCTTTTAGCCGTTGTCAGTATGAGACAGAGAACATGCTCTAAAATACAGGATGGACTCTGCATCTCTGAAGAGAAATCTCATCATCACCCTGTCTGACACATGCCGAGTTATTAATGATTCAGCAAGCTGTGAAACACAGTTATGCTGCAGTGTGGTGTACACTGTGGTAATACAATTTGCATTTCAAAAATAAGCAGATTAACGCTTTTACTCATAATACCCTCTCTTTTCCCTCTTGTTTTATTTCCAGTTTTTCTCCCCATGTAAGTGCATCTGCTCTTCGCTTGCTAAACACCTCGGGGTGGCTGGCTAAACTTCAGAGCTGAGTTCACCTTCGGGCTCCGTGATACCATTTTTAGTCAGGTTTGTAGCTCACCATACAAGGTGCATTCTAAAGCAGAAGCATGGGAAAGAGGTCAAGTCAGGAATGTTGAATATCTTGACTCCTTTTATGCATTTTGAGGAGAATTAAAGACTAACTTAGCAATTAGAAAACAAGAATCTTAAAACACCAGAGGAGAGGGAAGAGTGTGACTCACCACGATACAGGGACAGCCAAGTGTTAAGTGTGCTCATTAAAAATTGACTACACGGTCAACTGCAAAACAGAAGTTAACCAAATAGCTCCTTTTCCTTTAATTCTATATAGGACAAGGAGTGATATGTCATATTTTATCAAAGAGGTTAATGAGTCACCCTCTGCGACACAGATCTGTGTTTTTATCCATCTCTTGTGAGCCCCCCCCCCTTTTTTTTTTTATGAGTCTTGTTTTTTTTGGGGGTTTCGAACCCTTGCTTAAAGCCAGAGCAACAGGACACCCTGTAGCAAAGCTGTATAGGAGGGTTTTAGGTGGGCACAACAAATTAACAGTTGATAGTTACAACATTAGCATTCATTTGGAGTCGTGTTTCTGGCCATGTGATGAATGTGAAGTCATTTTTACAGTAACCAGCTACTGTTTGTTTGCAAACCCTCCTGATTTGGGTTTAATTATAATCAGCCTGAGAACAATAATAACGATGATAGCACTTGCTTGGCCTATCTGCAGAGCCCACTTAAGCTTTTATTCAAACCGTGAATTTTCCATGAGCCTTAGTCAGCTACTATGACTCACATGTCATCAAACTCCATGTGTGATAACCGATAAGGTAATCTTTCTCATGCACACAAGCATATAAACACACACACACACACACACACAATGAATACTTCCTTAACCTAAATTGCTATTTTGGCATGAGCCGAGATGTGGGAAAGCTCCAAGATCATGTTCCATAATAGCATGTAGCCTACTGTTTGTGTTTAACCCCGCTGATACACCCACGGCCGATTGGTGTGTAACAAGTGAGCGTGCTGATCACTAATTCATGTGGTCTCTATGAGCGGACATCCTGAGGGAATGAGAGGAGGAAGAGGAGGGGGGAAACAAGGAAGAGGAGAGGGGGTGCTGAGTTACACACGGCTGAATAGTGGCCTGCTCATCTGCCATCGCAATGTTCCCTGCCGTGACCCACTCGCTTTGTTCTCTTTGTATATATGTGTGTGTGTGTGTGTGTGTGTGTGTGTGTGAGAGAGAGAGAGAGAGAGAGACAGAGAGAGACTTAGCAAGTGAGTTAGCATGTGTGTGATGTAGACAATGTGTCCGATGTGTTTCCACAACTAAGTAACTGGTATTTCTGTAGGCACCCACGCACACACACATGCACAGAGGGCACGGTCAAATAATACGACAGGTAGCACCATTAGTATCTAAGCACAACTGAAGGACGACCCGTTGACTGTCAGCAGAAAATACACACACACACACACACACACACACACACACACACACACACACACACACACACACACACACACACACACACAGCTTGATCCAGCACCTGCTACTACTGTATTTGCAGTGAGTGAGAGTTATAGGACAACAGGTGAGAGAGGGGAAGAGAACAGCATGTTCTTGTTTTTCATTCTCAACGAGGCAGACAACAACATCGATTGAAGATGCTGGACGAAAATATGATTTATCTCACATACTGTAGCTAGGTAACAGGAATCAAGAGGAAGTGTAATATATTTGGAAAACAAATCATGAAAAAAAAAAAAAAACTTTTATAAGCTGAAATTCACCTTCATGTTCCCATCGCACGTCAAAGTTTACTCACAGGTTTTGTTATTCTAGCAAAAAAGAAATCTGATGTGTTTAGGGTGGAGGCAGCGAAGAGGAGGAGGGTGTGAAGTCACAGCTCTCAAACAGTCGACAACTTGGCTTGATTAGAAACGGCGAGTGCGGTCATTCCTGCTGACTGCATGTTTCTCCATGTCACCTTTACATAACACGCAGTGTGCACCTCGACGGGCTGAATTCCCTTCCTTCCCCGACCTAGACTGTTGCATTATGCTGCACTGATGTTGCACAAATGAGCTGTTGCAC